ATCCGAGCACAGGTCAAGAGGTGCAGGAGCTGAAGGGACACACTAGTCCGGTGAACGCGGTGGCCTTCTCGCCCGACGGCTCACTGCTGGCCTCTACATCAAGCGATCAGACGGTTAGGCTCTGGAGCTCGAGCACGGAGATGCAGGAGCCGGAGGGACACACTGATTCGGTGAACGCGGTGGTCTTCTCGCCCGACGGCTCACTGCTGGCCTCTGCATCAAGCGATCAGACCGTCAGGCTCTGGAAACCCGGCACAGGTCAAGAGGTGCAGGAGCTGGAGGGACACACTGATTTAGTGTACGCGGTAGCCTTCTCGCCCGACGGCTCATTGCTGGCCTCTGCATCGGGCGATCAGACCGTCAGGCTCTGGAACCCGAGCACGGGTCAAGAGGTGCAGAAGTTGGAGGGACACACTAGTTGGGTGTTAGCGGTGGCCTTCTCGCCCGACGACTCACTGCTGGCCTCTGCATCAAACGATGAGACGGTCAGGCTCTGGAACCCGAGCACGGGTCAAGAGGTGCAGGAGCTGGAGGGACACACTGGTCCGGTGTTCGCGGTGGCCTTCTCGCCCGACGGCTCACTGCTGGCCTCTGCATCGTACGATCAGACGGTCAGGCTCTGGAACCCGAGTACAGGTCAAGAGGTGCAGGAGCCGGAGGGACACACTGGTTCGGTGAACGCGGTGGCCTTCTCGCCCGACGGCTCACTGTTGGCCTCTGCATCAAGCGATCAGACGGTCGGGCTCTGGAACCCGAGCACGGGTCAAGAGGTGCAGGAGCTGGAGGGACACACTAGTTCGGTGAGCGCGGTGGCCTTCTCGCCCGACGGCTCACTGCTGGCCTCTGCATCGGACGACGGGACGGTCAGGCTCTGGAACCCGAGCACGGGTCAAGAGGTGCAGGAGCCGGAGGGACACACTGGTTCGGTGAGCGCGGTAGCCTTCTCGCCCGACGGCTCACTGCTGGCCTCTGCATCGTACGATCAAATGGTCAGGCTCTGGAACCCGAGTACAGGTCAAGAGGTGCAGGAGCTGGAGGGACACACTGGTTGGGTGTTCGCGGTGGCCTTCTCGCCCGACGGCTCACTGCTGGCCTCTGCATCAAGCGATCGGACGGTCAGACTCTGGAACCCGGGCACAGGCCAAGAGGTGCAGGAGCTGAAGGGACATACTGGTTGGGTGAACGCGGTAACCTTCTCGCCCGACGGCTCACTGCTGGCCTCTGCATCGTACGATCAGACGGTCAGGCTCTGGAACCCGAGCACAGGTCAAGAGGTGCATGAATTCGAGGCCGTACCCTCTATCACGACTATGCGTTTTGCAATCGACAATAAGACCTTACTTACTAACCGAGGAGCTCTATCCATTGATACTCGATTAGTTCCTGAACAGGCTATCAGATCTTCAACCAATGAAACTATCGTGATCAAAAATGAGTGGATTCGACGAGGTGAATATAATTTCCTCTGGCTTCCACATGAGTATCGCAGTGGTTGTTCGACATTCTATGGCAATACGATTGCCATTGGTCTGAAGACTGGCCAAGTCAGATTTATTCAGCTTGATGGTCCTTAATATAGTATAATCTTTATTTTTATTCTCTTGGCATTGAAGAGGTCTGGGGAAATGCATAATTGGTGGGTGGCGTCGTGGGTGGCAACGCAACAAAGGCTGTCCTGATCAGATATTATAGCATCGTCCTCATCATCGCGGGGGATGTCGACGTTGAATTCTTTGCCGCTATTATGCCTCGAGGCGCTGAGTGGGCGCCATAGGTTCCCATGGAAAGTACTCGCGGATAAATACGTCGTATTTACGGAGTAGTGTGCAGCTCAAAAATTACAACGCTCTTGATTATGCTGTCGACCGTTCTTTTTGGAGCGTCTAGCTCTTCACCCCTGTTGCACCACGACTGTCTACAAAATTTCAAACTTCAGAGTATTACATTGATAGTTTCATGAGGAAAGAAGATAGTTCTGAGCTTTTAAAAGTATGCATTCCGGACTTATCCGTACGAAGGGAGCTACAGTGTGACTTGGCATGAGAACTTAGCCAGCCGTACTATATTCTACGCTATGCCTAACTGGTTCCAAATGTGGCGCTCTTCTAGAAACAGGTGACGCAAACCGCTGGCGGTTTGCCTAGAAGAGGAACGATGTTGGATGGGGCAGATTTGCCAAAGGGTAAATGTTTCAAGTCAGCAGTGGTCGCATTTGTGTCGCAATCTAGGGTGCTCCGGCTACAGGCTATGCTACGTGTGAATACGCTGTCTGGCGCCCTATCACGTGGACAGGCTCACCGAGGACCACCCACTCATCTAGATAGTCATCAATGAACAACAGAACTTGCGCTCTGAGAGAGCGACAACCCCCATACTGCGCTCCAGTTCCATTCCTAATTTATGGCCATAACTCCCACTTTACCGTGCAACACTACAGTAGAAAATTCCATCGCAGTGACGTGTGTCGATGCTGAGCCAGTGAACCCCGCCTAATCATGGTATTTGACCGCAACACGGGTATGCTTCAAGAGTTATTTTCTACCTGATCGAAATTATTTGCCCTGAACCTATTCTATTACGGATTATGGTCCTGCGAATCGTCATGGGCTCCCAACCTAACACAACCTCGGGCGTCGGCGTGGTACGGGAAATCGTCTTGCCAGATGGGCGGAACATACCAGACGGTCCAGACCCATGCCAGGTTTGCTACTGGGATCGCCGTCCTGAACACGTCCTGAAGCTCACTTGTCTATCCGAAAATATTTACACTGGACTTCGAAAATCTGCGGACGCTGGGTGCGTCGGATGCCAAATCTTGGAAAGCGTCATGAACACGACAAATCCCGGTTCTGGAACTGATCGCTTTATTTCTGCCTCGTGCGAGAACGGAATTTCCATCCTTCGCGCTAGCAGCGATCTGCGGTGGCTCCACTTTGACATCTTCATCCCAGAACACGCTCAAGACCCTCCCCGCGGTCTGCCCCAGCGCCGCCTGCTCGACCCCTACTCCTCAGGCCAGCGGTCCACTCGCTGGGCGCAGCGTCAGCTCACCGCCTGCGTACACTCTCACACCCGTTGTCGGGGCGATACGGCATCGTTTCTCCCCAAGCGGCTGATCAATGTGTTGCCGCTGAATACGAGCGGCGACGTCTCCCTCGAAGATTGTGCAAACATCCCGCCAGGCTCGCGGTACGCGGCACTCAGCTATTGCTGGGGTCAGATGCGGCCCGAATGCATGACTACGCCGGCGACGCTGCCCGCACGGTTAAAATGCATCCCCTGGACGAGCCTGCTGAGGACGTTCCAGGATGCGATCGCGTTCGTGAGAGAGCTGGGTATTTCGTACATATGGATCGACATCGTCTGCATCGTACAAGGCGATAAAAGGGACTGGCAGCGAGAGGGTGGCAGGATGTTCCACGTGTATAAGAACGCGTACGTGACTCTTGTCGCTCCAAGAGAGGATGGCTCCACGGGATTGTGGAGCGGCGACGATAGGCAGGTAACGCTGGCAGGAAGTGTGCGTTTCGGTCAGTGTTCTTGGCCTTTGTATACACGACCAAGCCACCCCAACTTCTATGACTGGGAGCCACGCCACCCCAAATTCTATGACTTAGGCGGGCCTGTAGTTAATGATTTTCCGCTATTTGATAGGGCCTGGGCCTATCAGGAGAGACTCATCTGCCCGCGCGTTATCTTCTTCATGGGCGTTGAAGTTGCGTTTCAGTGTTTTGAGGTGGTGGAATGCGAATGCGGTGCGGACGCAGCCTCGGAAGCCTCTAAATTCAGAGGAGAAAAGAAACGCTTTTTTGAGAATTTTGGGGCTGGCCAAGCTACGCACGCTGGAGACGCAGGGACCGCTGGACAGGAAAGACCAATCGCGAACGAGAGGTTCGAGCGTCGATCTCGGACGATCGTTGAGGGCAATTGGCAGTCCATGGTCTCGCATTATTCCAGACTACGTTTAACTCACGAAAGTGATAGGCTGGTAGCGCTCGGCGCCATAGCTGAACACGTCCAAGCCGTTCGTGTCGGGGAAAGTTACCTCGCTGGCCTCTGGTCCGGGTCGCTGCATACGGACTTGCTTTGGATATGCTCGTTCCTACCTGACTCGGGTCCACAACTATATCCACTGTCCGGTCTGAGTTGGTCATGGGCTTCGTGTACAGACAGATCGGCCGTGCAATACCCGGGGATCTTTGCGAATTTCGAGAAGCGCGCGGATGTTATCGAGGCGAGGTGTTGTTATGTTGATGATAATCCGTTCGGAAGCGTTGTTAATGGGAAGTTAGTGCTTCGCGGCCGTGTGTTGCGTTGTCGTGGTCTATCATCGATTGGGGCCTGGGGAGAAGACATAAAGCTATTACTATGCCAGTGGCAGATAGTAAATGTGTCTTCTTCTAAAATCTGGCTAGATGGTAACCTGCGGGAAAATGCCTTGACCTTTCGGCAATATCATTTGCTTGAGATTGGAATCGATCAGTCTGAGTTTCGGGGGCGGTGGTATTGTCTGATCTTGCGGCAATTGAGCAAGAAAGAGAAAGTCTATGCCAGAATCGGCGTTGCGGAATTTCAGGCGGAAACAAGGATTACAAAGATTATGGGGAAGTTGGGGAGGATTGACGTGTGCACGATCGTTTAGCAACGCAGGATTTGAATCATCTCACATTTTTACAACTACCCAAAACAATACATCCCGTTTCCTCTTCGTCAGATGCTGTGGGCGGCGTGCTAGCATATGGTGGGCAAATCACTATATTCAGGTCTACTTATAAGGTAGACGGTTTATGTATACGTAAAAAAAGACCCCCCTCCTATAATCCATCTCTAACGAACTTATAGATGGGGCGCCGCAGCCAGTGAAAGCTTCAGCCAGACAAGTTCAACCGAAGAAGAGTTTGAATCAGTGACCTCCCAACGGTATGAACAAGACGACATCATCAACAATCACTGGCTGGAGCATTACGTTACCCATCTAGGGCACCTAGAAAACTAGGCCGGACAACCCTCTTACCTTACCTATGATCGAACACTAGTAAGGCCCCTCAATTCTATCGGTTCGACTGCAAGCCGAGTGTCTTACCACTTGGTTACGTCCTTGATAGGTCAACCACGATTTGGTGTCAATTTTGAAGCAGTTTTTGGCATTATAAAATATAAACTTGATTTTTTTTTTTTTTTTTTTATTTTTCAATTTTGGAATCGCCTGGTTAGGGCTTGGCGTTGTGCGGCGACGCCAAGAGCGACGAACCGGCCAATCACGTAAGCATATGGCTTGGCGTTACCACGTAACTATTTTCCGTGATCACGTGCTCCCCCGAGGCCCATGTGGCGGGGGAGCACCCTACTCGATAGATATCGATATCCTCGATATCGAGATGATCCACGCATCGGATCCAGTCTGTGGACCACCTCAGACAAGCTCTACTAGTCACACTGAGATGGTTCGTCACGGAGCGTTAACGGACGAGCCTCGATGTCGACGTGGTCAATGGATTGGATCCGATAGGTCGTGGTATTTCATCGGATCCAATCTGTGGACCACCTAAGACGAGCTCTTACTGATCACACTCGAAATGGCTCGTGACGGGGCGTTAACGGACGAGCCTCGATATCGAGATGATCCATGGATTGGGTCCGATGAAAGACCACCGCCAATCCGTGGACGATGTGGCCGGGGGGCATCTTACTCGATAGGGGTCGACATCCTGATATCGAGAAGATCCACGCATCGGATCCAGTCTGTGGACCACCCAGAGAAGGGTACAGTATAGAGGAATATACTGACTCCACGAAAGAAAATGTTTGGGGAATGATGATGAAGTGGACAAAGTAGGAGCCTCGAATGATGAGTACGATGACAGCGGCGAAATGGAATCAGGTTAGGAGGATACCAAGACCCTCTATTATGAGAACGTAACACTTGTGATACTTCCGAATCCAGAGGGTACTGATGGGGTTAACTCTGAAGTATACGAAAGGATGGAAGAAGAGACCGATCCCGTAAGTGGGTTGCTACCGGACCAGCACTTTGATGCTAACTGTTCTCCAGGAAACTTATATTCTCACTGAAATCGATGCTCTCATTTCTCGATTCGATCCTGCCTATGATCACGATTGCCATCCTAGACGAGGCGTTTGAATCCAAGGTCACCTCGATGGAAAATGTACTCCGGGTTCGAGTTCGCCCTCTACGAAGCAGCGTGGAGTTTCGTTAGTGTGCGGATAAACTAAAGACGCCAGTTTTCCGGCCAGCAGAACGCACACCTAAAGGGATCCAGACATCCCCCGTAAAAACGATTGAGCCTCCAGGCTGGATTTATGCAAATTTTGGGGGCCTACTTAATCTGAAGATGATCTGGCGAGGCTGTTGAAGGTTCGTGATGTTCATCTTGCCGCAAGGCAAATCGAACTTATACTGACATCTCACCGTTGTTGCAGCTCGAGCCCAGCTTTAACAAGTCGTGTGCCACGGAGACGCTGGTGTCTATCAAGCGTACATCAATCAACTTGATGTGCAAGCTGCCTTCCTTGGCCGCGTTCTTTGTTCATAGATTGGCTTAACCGATAGGCAACCAGGAAGCACTTTCGGTCGACTGTTCCCTCTTCACCAGCCACCCACCCCTAAAAAAAACCCCTTCAGGCCCTATCCATCTGTGCTGTTCATGCTCGATGAACATCTCCCTGCACTTCTAGCCAGACGCATCACACATCACAACCTGACTAGCGGTTCAAGACGTCCAAGACGGAGACACTCGAGCGATGAATGATTCCGATCAGAAATTGCATAAAATCTGGGACATGGGATCATTCTTGCGGAGACAGAAGGTCCGTCGATTCCTGTGCAGGTTGAGCGACTGACTCCTGTACAGGCTGAGTGTCTGTTGACTCCTGTGCAGACTGAAGGACTAATGACTCGAACCATTGTTGGAAGTTTGTCGTACCCCATTCGCTGAGAATGCGAATAGCTGTCATCACCTTATAGCAGCCAAGCATGGTACTGGTATTTCCAACGAGATATCTTGACAGTATTAACTGATGACAGTTGTAAGAATCTGGAGTTCTCGACACCAATGCGCAACTTACTGTGCTGTCCGCTGTATCGCAAGCGAACATGAGGAACCACAGGTCACCATACACGTACAAGAGTGGTAAGGCGATCTGGACAGGACCGTTCTTGCAAAGCTTGTGAATACGCTTAAAGTACGCCGATTCCCACACAACAAGTTGTATATCCGCGTCCTGCGCCGATCCACCTGGTCGTTTTGTTTCAACGCTGACAAAGGCTGGTGCACATCGAAGAGGGTGATACATGGACTGATTGATGGTTCTGAGACTCGGATGTTGACTGTCAAGTAACTCAATGATGCGACGCTCCATATCTTTGTCAGTTACCAATTTGATGGTGAAATCGACCATCTTTGATTGCAAGGGTTTCCCAACGATGTCACGATGGTCAAACTCGGGGCAGATTTTGGCTGTTGTGCTGGTAGGGTCAGCAAATTCGGAATTAATGTGGGAATGATCTCCATACACATTTTGGAATATAACACCCTTACAGACTTCTAGAGCCAGGTCTAGTATAGGGCTGTGTACATGACAATTCCAGGAAGGCTCTGCTTCTTGATCAAGTGAACACTGCGACGTGGCGTCGCAGATCTTTTTGACACAGCGTAGTTCCCAAAGCAACTGGGTCCTTGATCTGGTGTTCGCTATCGAAGTCTCATCGAACATATGAGGGAGTAGAAGGTCTATTTCGTTGTTGCATTCGGAGATCTCATCTTGTAGAGGGTTATCATTGCCAAAGTTGTTTAATCATGGCCAGTTCACCTTGATGTGGGCAGGCAGGACTCCGGTAGCCGCGCCAACCGCGCGTAGTTTGTCATAAAGACCCCTGGCGTCAGATGGCAGCTTCTCCAGGTTCTTCGAAAGGTCTTCATACTCAATAGGCATCCTAGCAAAGAGAAGGTCCCCTACTCGTTTGACTGGACTTTTAGAAGAGGCTTTTGAATTATCGACTGATGAATCTAATGGCTCCATAGACCCCAAGCCGAAGGCTGCCTTGTTTTGGAGAGCGGGCACATAGGCTGAGCCCTTGGTTTGGGCTAGAGTCGAGTTACGAGCTCGAGGTCGTGGTGTTAAGTCTTCCTGTGCTGCATCATTGTCTTCCTCTTCTTTGAAATATCTACGCCGCCGGTTTTGGGGTTTGGCAACACTAGATCGCTTTGCGGGTGGAGGTTGCCGTGTCAGGTCTCCCTCCCCTTTGGAGTCTCGAGTCCGCTTCTTTTTTGGAGGCATGGGGCGTGGATGTTTCTCTGGCGTGAAAACGGGGCGGTTCCTCTTCACGGTTGAGTCGCGGTCTCCGAGCGCAGGTGCCTTTCTCCTGGCACCTGTCGGACCAGTTGTGCCGGTTAAAGATCTAGAAGAACCTGGCGTTGGTGTGTGTTGAAAGATATATCTGCCCAGGCCGGAGGCAACGCAGACGTCATGCACCCATGCAGCGACAACAGCGTTAGGGGAGAAATCGCCGTCGGTAGCAACGTTGCACATGTTAATTCAGAGAAAATGATGCATATATTCGAATCGTACTGCACGGTAAAGGATCCTCGTTGAAGTTTTGAGAGTTTGTGACAACGCCAAGCCCGTAACGGGAGTCACGTAGTCACGTGCTTAGTCTCACATGCTGATTTCTGCCAAGAGCTCTGGCTTGCGCTAAACTACATTTGTTTACGGAACATATATGAGTAAAGCGGCCACCCTGAGCAGATCGTTCTAGTTAGTTCATCCTAGCGGAGCGTGAGCCGTAGTTAGGTATTAACTGCAAAACTCGACCAGAAAGTCGCGAAAGCCGCGATGCCGATTGGCTAATCCAGAATCCGGCTCTCTGATTGGTCAAAGACGATGGAAAGATCATGTGATAAGGCTTGGCAAGGTTGGTCTCCCTGCCCCGTGACCTCGCGGCCACCCCCTTTGCCATCATTACTACTGCCGTCAACAAGCTCTCTTCTCGTTATTCTCAACATTCAACCCCTCTTAATCTTTCAAGTCCATCCTTCAAATCCGACCCTCTCGAACCTCTCGGAGAGCGCTGGGCTTTCTCTCGATCTCAAAAGGCAGGAATCCGTTGGCTGTACAAAAAGGTCAGTCTGCTGCCAAAAGATACTACTTCATTGACTCCTCCCGCTGGAGAACCGCCGAACTCATTCAATCCTCCAGATCCTCCACTGCCTCCTAATCAACCGAATATTTCACCGGAGACCCGAACCTGTTCCAATTGCGGTCAGGTCAAGCCAATCGACGACTTTAAGCCTAGGCGAGGGATAAAGCTTACAGCGACCTGCATAGATTGTCGTGAGGGTGCATCAAAGAAGCGGAGTACGACACCTATAATGAGCCCCGCTCTTGAACAACGCAAACCGAGCTTTATGCAACCGACGGTGGCTTCTGGAGCTCGTCACCGAACCCCTCGGCCTATTCTCCCTCGCAATCTTAACATTCAGGACACGCCCGCAGAAAGAGATGCACGTCGACGACAAGCCGCAATTAGCAGAGAACATCGATCTATTCGTCACGGCGGTGGCGAGCCTTCACCCACGCCCAATCTAGAGGAACTATTAAGGACTACACAAACTCAGTCTTCTCCAGAGGGCAGGGAACTTTCCAGTCAGCGTTTATCGCTCGGGATATCGAAGTCTCTCCGTCCTAATACCTACTTTATCTGTTAAGTCTGTCAAATATCGAGAGCAACTAGCAGACGCATTCACGCAGCGATTAATACTTATTGTCTAGAGGAAGACGGTGAGTCTCAAACGCCAGTCTCCCCTTGAGAAGTACAAGCTCCGGCCCGAGGAACCTACCTAAGGTTCTTCCGTCTCTATGACGTTCGTAGTCCTCCGGAAAAGATGACACGTCGTCCCCGTGCATGACTTCGTATCCCAAATTACTTCCCTCGCTACAGACTCACTGTTGACGTGGAGGAATACGCACGTGTAAAGCCAACACTCCATGTTCCCTTTCGAGCCGTGGATGACTTGCTTCGTCTTGACAACTTTGATCCTCCTTTTGCGCCTTTTACTGATGCATGGAGCTACTGGCAAGTGACCCATTCGCACAACGCGGAGAATGACTACATGGAGGAGCTACCTCCTGAACCCGAGGAAGATGATTTCGAGGATCTTCACGTCGATGACAACGCCGACGTTCAAGCTTCATGGGAACTGCTCGCCCAGCAACTTCCTGATCGTGATGCCGCCGTCCGACTGGAAGATCCAGACAAGCTCGGTGATCGTGACCTTGATCGCTCGTATGATTGGAGCCCTCACGTGGGCCGATATCCCACCCTTTCTGACGACTTTTGGAAGCAAATGAAGGCCACATCTCCGGCTCACTTGGTCGTCGTCTCATCCGCTAATCCGGATGATCTCGAGGTGAAACAGCGACAGCTATTTAACCATATCATCAGTCATTACAGTCAAGTCCTTACCAGGCACACCATCCGGACCAATTCCTCATGAATCTCGACGGCAAGGCCGGGACTGGTAAGTCGTACGTGATTATGCTGATCTCTACTACCCTTTAAGGGATGGCTAGTGCCCATAATCTCCCTAATCCGATTCTCCGTGTCGCTCCTACTGGTATGGCGGCCCATGCAATTAATGGGCGGACTCTGCACGCTTTATTCCGACTCCCGGTCAGATTCACCAAGGAATATGAGAAACTGAGCCCGCAGAACTTACAGGCCACCGAGGCGAGTCTCCGCGACGTGCGGTACCTCATTATTGACGAGAAATCGATGATTGGCTCGAAGATGCTATCGTGGCTCGATCAGCGTTGCCGCGAGATCTTTCCCGCTAAATCGGATATGCTTTTCGGCGGTCTCAATGTTGTGATGACGGGCGACTTTTCTCAATTGCCTCCGGTGATGATGAAGCCCCTGTACTATGATAGGCCGTTAAAGGACATGCAGGAGATCGCGGCTCGAAACCTCCATCGCGCCTTTAATCAGACGATCGAACTCGACGTCATTCGTGGTCAAGAGGGACGGGATGAAGAAGCCTCGGCGTTCAGAAAGACGCTGGACAGTCTCCGGGACGACAGGGTTTCCGTGGACGATTGGCAACTCCTGTCGACTCGTGTTCAGTCAGTCGTGCCGTTGGAGATTCCAGCGATTCTCGTCCGCTTTGACGGTTACGATGGGCCTTCTCTAGGCGACGAAGGTGGCCATTCTTTGGTGCCGACCTTTCGCCCGAGGCGAGATTTCTACTGCGCTGCCGTCAGCTGTTCTCGGACACAGTTCCCCATCACCAATGCCTATGCTATCACGGTCCATAAGGCGCAAGGAATGACGGTGAAAAAGGCCGTCCTTAACCTCACTGCTCGTGATTTGTGGCGGATCTCAGCTACGTCGCGGTGTCTCACGTCAAATCACTCCGAGGTATCCTATTCGAGGAGCATTTTGATTTCGAGCGTTTTCGAGTGAGAATGTCTGACGCGGTCAAATCACGCCTAGCCGATCGAGAACGACGTCTTCCCGAGCATGTTAGCTTAGCTGAACGGGAAGAGCGTGATATTCCTCTCCGCAGCAGTCCTCCGCCTATAGAAGAGTCCAGAAAACGAGAGTCATCGACGACGAAGTTGATCCTGCTCCCACACGACCAGTATCCAGCTGAAATAGAAATGGCCTTCGTGTTCCGACAGTAAATACTCTTCTCCCTTTGTAACTAATGGATTTTCCTGTCGATTTCTTCTAATCGTACCCCCGGTTGGCAATTGCCTTTACAGTAATACTGCCAACGGCCCCTGAGGTGGTCATAGACTGGATCCGATGGGGGTGGTTGTTGAGCGGATCTAGTTAATCACCCTCCTGAGGTCCATAGACTGGATCCGATGGGGGTTGTTGACAGGATCTAGTTAAGTGACCTAGTTAATCGCACGTGATCAAGTGCCACGTATCACGTGTTCAACACCCGCTCGAGGTGGTCCGATGGGCTGTGACACGTGACTCGAGTTATTTTATTTGACTGAATATGTGGGGCGCCAAGCCCGTCGTTTTGACCAATAAGGTTAGCAAGTGGCTTGGCATTGTCACGTGATGACGTTGGCTTGGCACTGAAATGCGCTTAGCGCTCCACCCTACGATATATTTTACTGTACTGAATTGCTTGTCTGAGCTCTAATACGTGTAATGGGCCTTTCTTAACGTTCGTCAGATCAAAAGTTTTACTAGTAAAATTCTCTGCACTTTCATAGAACTATACTTCACCGTAGCTGTCATTCAAGTCATTTAAACGTATTTCAAAAATTACTCATACTGATTATATGTCATTACATAATGAACGCGAAGGACAGGGGTTTTCGCGTACTGGAGCTCAGACCCTTCTGGCGCCGCCAGAAGGGTCTGAGATGCTGAGACAACTGAATTGCATGCATGCACTTCCTCGTGTGCACTCGAAAAGCACATACTTTTCGTTTTCGCTACCAACTAGTGTGTGACCTCCCCAGTTCCCCCAAGTTCCCCCGACTTTGACCTCGGTTTTTGGGCCGGCTGAGTTGACAAACCTTTGGCATGGCACCTTTCAAGGCCTAGTAAACCGGGAATTCCTCGTCACTACCACTAGGGAACGCACAGTTCCCACATCCTGCGCTGCAATGCGTACATAACAAGTCAAGCAATGCCGACTGTCTGATGATTGGCCAGCGAATTGTGAACGAGTTACAAGTTTGAAATATATCCGACTGCCCCTGTTTGCTGCACACGCTATGCCAGCGAAAGTGTGTTTGTCTCAGTATCACCGTGCAGGGCATTTTGCTGTATAAATTTCCAGGCATTCTTATCCCAGATGAGAATATTAAATAGGTTTAGCGTTAAACTTGGGAATTTCTTTGCCCGACGTTGAATGGGCTAGGGGTATCTTGTGACGTAACTCCTCTTCGGAATCATTACGGTTCTTCGAATTGGCTGAATGGGGAATGCTGGATGGTGCGTTGGGGCTTCAGATGAGGAAGCGGACAGATTCTGGTTGCGTACGTAAAGCTATCAGTCTTGAGCCCCTTGGAGTACATGACAAATCAGACTCACCATTCTTGATTTTCTCCTCTAGCTCCGCGTTCTTATGTCGAAGTCTCCTACAAGAGTGTCTCATGCTCTGAGAGGCCCTCGATTGGGATTTCGTAAAGTTATCCAAGACAACAGCCATTCTGACCTTGAAAACTTGTTCCTGGAAACTATAGGATTTAGCTGAGGGCCAGATAAAGTAGAATGGCAATAATCTTTTACCAGGCTGATGGAGACTCGATATTGTTCATTATTGAAACACCATAGAGCAGCCGCCCGAACAGGTCGGGTGTATTCCTCATCATTGTCAAAAATATCTGTTACCCGTGGCCGTGAACTGGGTGTTGGCGCCGTTAGATCGGCCATATCGAAGGAAACTGATTCGTGCTCGGCTAGAGAGGGCATCGTTGTCGAGTCGCCATCGACTGTTTCAATGGCGAAAGCCGGCAGACTTGTCAAGTTGGACGAGCCCAGTGGATTGCTTGCTTGCTGGCCATCATACTGTCTCGAGATATAGCAATGTTAATGCTATTTATCAGTCTCCGCACGGGACGTCATACACCATGTTGCCTCAATCCTGTAAAGATGACCTGTCAGAAGGCAGCCGGAGTTAATATCCGCAACCCCTGTCCTTGAAATCCGGGCTTGATGTCACATACCATGCCCAGGTTCGACAGGAATTAAATGTGCTTGACTTCTGCAAGATTTTCCTCGACAAGTCTCTCATCACCTCGAGATATTGGGGCACGCGAAGTTCATGAGAGCATACTGAATTTCCAATCCACAGAATGGCCACGCCACCTCATTCTCTGCCAAGCAACTGCAAGGTCGATTTTTGCATCCATCCGGTGAGTCTCTCGTGTTTTGGCTGTAGAAGGACGTCAATATCTGAGATATGTGATTCAGATAGGGACAACGTCGGCTTCAATCTCCGGGTACATTGATAAACTTGAGACTCTAGTCAAGCAGAGCGGGCTGCCGTATAAAGTTCACGACACAGGGACTATTGTTGGTAAGTGCATCCCCCTTTTCTCCTCGGCATTTTGAGTATTTGAAAGAACAATGCTGAGTGACGTCCACACAATCAATCAGAGGGTCCATGGACAGAAGTCATGAATCTCGTGGGCAAATCTCATCATGAACTGCATGATCAGGGGGTGCAGAGAGTACACTCGGATATCAGGATTGCGACTAGGTGGGTAATCATACAGTCTGTGGGGTTAGCTAAGGAGTTTCTCAGGACCGACAAAGGGTGAGCCATGAGTCCGTAGAAGAGTGAAGATGAAGATGCCTACATAGCGACATAGCCATTGATGTTGAGATTGACTTGGTTGTCAAGATACTCATTGCCGCAATCCGCGTGGTCACCCGCTTTCAATAGAAAGAGGCAGATAGAAAGCAGCGAGAAATTTCCCCGAGTTTCTCTGCCAAGCCCACTAATAGCAGCAAGACATTGTGCCTCGTTCCCTTCTCCGCATTTCATTGCCTGCAAAAATCATCACCTTCCAGTACAATCCACAGTTCCAGTCTCCAACTCATTTCAGCCAAACTAGAAACTTTCCCTCACTATGTCCGAGCCACGAGAATCTTCACCGACTCCTTCTGAGCGAGCACGCAAAGACGAAGAAGACCGCAAACGAGAAGAGGAAGAACAAGCCAAATTACCCTACAAATGGACGCAGACACTGGAAGAGGCCGATGTCAATGTCCCTATACCCGGCAACCTCAAAGCGCGCGACTTGATTGTGGAACTGAAGAAGACACATATCAAAGTGGGTATCAAGGGACAAGAACCTATAATTGACGTATGTATACTCTCCTAACCAACTCACATGGATCTCGTGATCCAAGGCTAGATACAGTCCGAAATTGTTCTATTGGCTTCATACTGACCATCTCTTTCTCCTGCTGGTAGGGCGACTTCCCCCATCCTATCCAAACCGACGACTCGACCTGGGTCCTATCGACTAAACCCGATGGGAGCAAAGAAATCGTCATCAACCTCGCCAAAGCCCGCGGTTCGTACTGGTGGGCACACATTGTAACGTCTGCGCCGAAGATCGACACCACCAAGATCCAGCCTGAGAATTCAAAGTTAAGCGAACTAGACGGTGAGACACGCGGTATGGTCGAGAAGATGATGTATGATCAGGAAATGAAGAGGCAGGGGAAACCCACGAGTGATGAGCAAAAGAAAGATGAGATGCTGAAGAAGTTTATGGCACAGCATCCGGAGATGGATTTTAGTCAGGCGAAAATTGGTTAGCCAAACACGATTTGGCCACCAGCAGCAGCAGCAGCAGTGCCGCCATTGGGGAAGAAAGGACAACGGTGGTAAACTGGGGGTGGAAGACGCAGAAAATCGGACGGACATGATATGAGAGATGCGATAACGACATTAATTAGCTAAAAATACAACACAAAACACCACCATCACAAACAGAAAGAAAATATGTGTATCACAGCATAGGTCAGCAAAGGGATGGATCCTTTCCCCGGGGTTACAAAGAGGCTTCGAGTCGAGAAAGGTACGACAGCACAAGCATAGCGTTACAGCTAAGTCAGCCCGGTCCAGTCAAGCAAGGTACAAAGGTAACAATTCTTCTTTTATTTCCATACCACGAACAAGTCCTCTCTTCACATGGCACCCTTCAGACCAGTATTTTCTCGCTCATCTACAGTTACAATTCATCTCTCTTTCTCATCCCACTCTCTACTTCTCTCAACCTCCACATCTGAATCCCATGCCTAGGTACCTCTGCAGAAAGCGAACCACCCGCCTCAACACCCCCCACCGGGGTGCCGAACAACAATGTTTCGCTCTGATTCAGACCCTGCGCCCAACTCCTCTCGGTCGCATTGTAGTAGCCTGTGGCATTGCCCACGTCCAAAGTCCCATTGAGGACTCGGCTCGCGACGTCGTTGCTCATGACGGTTTCGTTGCCCCAAACGTCAAACAGATCCCAGTTCTTCTGCGCGTTTTCATTCGTCCTCAACCCGCCAAATACGTCGACGAGCGAGAACTCCATTGTTCGAGAACTGTTTCCCGCGTTGAGGAATGCTACTACTTGATCTCCGTTAGCTAGGCTGCCGGACCAGACCTGGATCTCCCCGACACCATATTGATCTCTATCGTCCACTTCGACTCTGGCCCTGCGCTGGATCGCGCTCCCGCTTGGATCCTGACTGATCGCCAAAACTGCCGGGTTGATCAAAATAGCGTAGTCCTCTGGACTGAGCTTGTCGAGCTTATTCCCCATGATCAACGGACTTTTGATGGCCGCCCACATGCTGAAGTGTAATTTATATTCCTCATAGTCCATGCCTCCGTTTCCCACTTCGAGCATGTCCAGATCGTTGAAGTAGCCTGGCTGGTTCTTGCTGACGATGTGGCTGGCCTTGCCTAAAATGTTCATCACACTGCACCCATACCCAGGCAGTTGGCAATAGTATTCCTCCGGACCACAAGGACAACTGGTCGTCGGCATGGAGAAGCTATCCTGAATATCACCGGACATTCTGGCACTGTTGGCGATGGTGCTGGCCCACTCCCACGGCTTGTCGTCTCCCCAGTTACAGAGACTGTAGACGAATTGTCGACCGGTCGTATTCAGCGCGTTTGACATAGCCGCGTATCGATCCTGACTGAGTTTCGGAGTCCCCGACAGTCCTTCGTTGTAACAGTTATCGTACTTGAGATAGTCGGCGCCCAAGCTCGCCCACCATTCGGCGTCCGTTTCCTCATAGCCCAAGCTGGCGGGATATCCGCCACAGGTGAATTTTCCAGCCGAGCTATACACGCCGAAATACAGTCCGTCGCTGTGTAATCGGTCCACGATGTTTGCAAGACCCGAGGGAAATTTGGAACGGTTTTCCACCAACGAGCCATCGGAGCTGCGGTCCCGCTCGGTCATGGCGTCATCGAATATAACGACTCGGTATCCCAGGTCGCGGAATCCGAGTGTCACGAGATGCTCGGCGTTGGTGAGGATCGTCGTCTCGTTGTACGCGAGGCCGTAGGCGTTGTAGGTGTCCTGTCAATGCGTAAGAGCGGTTAGCTTACCTTTCGCGTGGGACTCAAGAGGTGAGAACCCGGTCGAGTCGGTACAGGGAAGGCGCCAGCCAGAAAGTAAGGCTGATAGATTGACTTTGGGGTACATTGTGTTGCAGGTCTCACCCATCCCATCTGAGGCGTCTGCGCAAGTCCATTGTAGCTCAGACCGGGTGCTGCGATGGTAGCTTTGAATAAGGCCGCAAGAACGCCGTATTTGATCATATGAAACGGTGATGTTGTGTCAAGCATCATCAGTCAAATAAAATGTATGCAGTTGGAAGATCGTAAGAGAGACGACAGTGAGGGTGTTCGAGTACAAAAGAAGTCGGGCATTGGAGCACTCCACACTGAAAGGTTCATATTGATTGACCGATACCTTGTATATGTTACATGGGCCAATATGGTGTGTGTGTTGTAGTTGATGGTCTGTTGCACCGACAGCTTTCCCCGCATTCTTACTGAGGTCGATCTTCGGATGGATGACGCGACGCCTGTAGATATTTGGTTATCCCCGGCAGATCATTCGGTGGAAAGCGACCAAATTTCCGCGAGATCCTTGTCTTGCGGAGAGGGAAAAAGGAAGCCTTTGAGCGGTGACAATTCCCGGCGACACCGAACTGGCAAAATAGCTGGCTGGATCCCAATTTCTACCGGCACGGGCTAGCAAGTAGTCAACCCTGTGGCATTCTGTTGAAGATTCCCCAAATCATCTGTGAATTGGGTGGTATGACGGACGCGGTGGCAATGGCAGGTGTTGAGCTTCTAGGGTATAGACCCCGGAACTGTTTCCGTGTTGGGATCCGTGAGCTCGAACAAGTGCATATTCACGAGGACTATGTGTCTCGTCACCAATCCGTCACTGCATTCATATTGCGGGCAATTGTCGGCAGGATACATGCTTTCTCGATGATGTTTCGTTTCGTCTCGTCGATGTTTCAAGTTGGTCGCTTGAATCCCATCATCGCTAAATTGATATCCGGGGGAGGTTTGGGCCTTGCTCTCTCCATACCCAGGCCATCGCCGTCACTCTCAGGTTCACGTTCGTCATATATGCTGGCGGACTCCTTGGTGCCAAAGAAACCATCCCATAGACCTCTCTTGCACACCAAAGCTCCAACAAGCACCAGTGGAAGCTGCCAGACGCTTGCCCAAAAGAGTCCTCGTGCACTGCCTCCAGCACCCTGCTTTCTCCAGAAGCGTATCGCTTCACGAGTCATCCAGATATTGCAAGCAGTGCTGACGACAAGAAAGCCCGAATCCACATAGCCCGCCCAATATAGCAGTCCACATATGGGGAACATTGCGATGGAATATCGAAGAGCGACACGAGCATTTCGAGCAGGATTGGTCCAAGCTAACATTTTATGCCCTGCACTCCGGTAGTCTTCTCGTATGGTGTGGGATAAAGACATAAAATGTGGGAACTGCCACGCAAATAGTAACGCAGCCAGAGCCCAGCCACCGAGAGAGTCCTCTGAAAAGAGTAGATCTTGCCATGAATGATGTTCTGACGTGGCCACCTCGCCAGCCGCCGCACACCAACCCATCAAGGGAGGAATACCACCCACGATAGCACCAATCCACGTATTTGCAGCCGACACTCGCTTCATCGGAGTATAGACTCCAGCATAGAGGAATATGTTCAGAGCTGAAAGTCCGGCCACCGTAGGATTCGTGCCCAGTGCCAGAAGCGTGAGACCTGAGGCTCCACAGAGTATTGCAAATATTGAAGCTGCACGAGGAGATAACAGCTTTCGGACGAGAGGCCTGTTGCGAGTCCGCGACATTTTCGCATCATACTTTGGTTCGAAGAGCATGTTGAGGGTGTTTGCACACGCACATGATAAAAAGGTGCCCGTAGTCAGGAACAGGAATGTCAAGGTCGATGTGGAAAATGATGATTCCACGGACGAAGCTGCGGATGATAGAAGCTCAGGAATGGGATATAATGAGTAGGCTGAGGTGGTCGTGAGCAAGATCAAAAATGATAATCGAGGTTTCGTCAACGAGAGGTATGTTGCAAATTTGCGACGGAAGAGGGCGGATTTCGGCATGGACGATGCTGCTGCTGTCAACCGTGACGAGGCGTCTAAGGGCAAGGAACCTTCCGTTTCTTTTGGAGATGTGTCATTGCTCTTTCGTCTCTTCCTTCTTCTGTGCGGTAATAGTCCACCGTCATCTACGCCAGAGAGGATTTGGACAGGCTCTGCGTTCTTTCTTCCCGGATCGGCCTTTTGACTCTCGTTTCTTCCTATTGTAGCTTCTTTATGGTCCAACACAATTCTTTTTAGGTCTTCATGTGCTCGAATTTGACTTTTTTCGCGGGTCCAAGAGCTGTCCCTTTCCCCGTGAGGTTCTGCGGCGGTGCGCATGGCTGCCAAAAGCCCGCTGGTAACCCATCCTCTCTCAATGGAACTGTTGGCAGAGAAATAGTCCCGAACGAAGCTCTGTGAATCTGAAACGGTATTCCGGGGCCTTCCATTTGCATCAAATAGAGCACCGTGAAGCTCCCGCTTCGCAGTCACTGAAGGTCTGAGAAGGACATCGACCACATAGGAATGGCGGGAGATTCGTGCCAAACAAGCCGAGCAAACAGCTTGTCTTGACAGACGAGTGGCTGCCGGGGCAGCCATGATGAGATCGCCTAAGCGGGCGGAAGAGGATGAAGCGGCATTGACTGGACAATCTGGAGGGCAAAAAGTGAAGAATCTCAATTCGTACGGAAATGGAAATGCTGCGGAGTGGGTGGAGATGCCAGCCGACTTCAGGCAAGAACTTCTACACAAATATTGCACTTCCACTCACGTAATCACCACGTTGCTTCTTAACAAGTTTAGTGTAAAGCAACGCCGGCGTCATGGCTACTCTGTCTCCTGATGAGGTCAGGTCTCTCGACCAAGCAAGGCAACGACTCCTGGCTCTTCACACCTCGCTAATTGCCCTTCGATCAGACATCGCGGCCCAGAGCCAACTCCCGTCCTGGTATGTCAAGCTGCGTTGAGTTGGTTTTCGAGTTGAACTGATGGTTTCGAGGCCTGCATTGCAGACCCATGCCAATCTGATCTCAAACAATTTACAAACCATCGTCGCACAGCTGTCAGAGCACCGCGATACGTTCCAATCCACTGTCGCTTATCCACTGCCTCAGTTTCCCGCGAAGGAACGCCATTTCATCCTTGAGACATTACTGCGAACGAAACTAGAACCCAATGTGGAAGACTGGGTAGAAGAAGGCGAGAATATATCGGCGCGACAGCACAAAAGTGCCCAACAAGGGCTATCCGATGAAGACCGCAACTCTCTTTGGCGGTGGGCTCCAGGTGCTGCGAATAAGGAGGCACGAAGACAAAAATGGGGTGCCGATTTTACGTTGGAAGAGAAGCAACATGGAATAGAAGATGTGATTACGGGCCTGCGGAGGGCGTTAGTGGAGCCACCAGATGAAGAAGGCGATGAAGAGCAGGAAGAGGAAGAAGAAGAGTATGAGGTTACTGATGATGAAGATGAAGACAAAATGGAAGTGGAACAAGCCAAACCCGAGAGCATACCCCAACAAGCTGCTGGAGAGATTCCACCCGCTACGTTGACCGTAAACCAGATGCCGTTTCAAACGATACATAAGTTTATGACGACAGGACGATGATATTGATTTTATCCGTGCGACTTGAGGGAATACAGCCCAATCCAGAGACAGGCAGATTGTGGCCTAATTATATCAACACCCTTTTCGGGTCATCAGAAATGGGCCTATCGGATTGGACTCGTTAGTCTCCTGACGATCCACGATGCAATTCGATCATGGTGGCCTTCTCGGATTTGATTAAACAGCCCTTGTTCGCTCAAAGCAGTCCCTATCCAGACACAACCGATCATGTCGAACTTCATTGAAACGGGTCGGGCCAAGTACGACCCTCCCTAACTCTCCAACCCCCAAAATCTGGCATTCCTATGAAACTAGGCGGAAGAAAGCGTGGGCAAAAGTCACGCCCACAGGATTCCAGCTATCGCCATGACCACGAATTCCGACATTTGACCTGACAGACTCATCTATATTTATGATGGGACCCCGAGCCAATTGGCAAAGCCGACCTTCGCATTACCGCTCACAGGGGCCTCTGCAGTGGTTCCATCTCCGCCCACCTGCCCAAGCCCTGGGATGGCAAAGATGGTCACTGCGTCATTCAACCACATAAAATCCATCCATTCATGATCGTCCATGCCTAAGATCATTCTCTCTTGTATTTTCCACTGGACATTAATTGTCAATACCCGCGGCATGGATGCGCTGAGTGCGTCCACGAATCGACGCCGTTCAAACACTGAGAAATGCTTCCCGATCGGAACGCTCATCTCCACAACCATGGTCAGCTGTCTGAGAGACGTGAGATATATCAGACCTTCCGTGACCCATGTCGCGCAAGCGATTGAAGAGCCGGACTGTAAAGATGAAGAACAGGGTGGAAATGTCAGCATATTTCTCAGTCCAGCCAGCGAATCGGCTTGTGGTAGCAGAAGGTCACGTGTGCTGATATGGATGGTGAGACATCGCAATTCGGGTCCCTGGGAATTTTCGATGTCTTTCTCCTCATGCTTCTCCATGTCGTCCATGCCGGCTATTGATCTTATGATCGATCTCAAAGACCATGCATCCGTCACGCTTGCAAGTAGTTGTACTTCAAGCTCTCTGATCGCGTGTTTTTGGAATCTCCTCAACCTATCAAGAAACTGTTTTGTCGTTGATACGTTTGAACCGAATGTGGATGGACAGTTTATTGGACTGAGCTGAAACGGCAGCCGTCGTGTTTCATTATGGATCTGGCGGCAAAGGAGGGGAATTGTCTGGTAATCACTGGTCGTCGTCGCCCGTGAACAGAATGGATGTTTGTCAGTGAAACCGAACAATCTCGATGGCGCATACAACTCCTGTGGTGGGAATGGAACATTTGCTGATGGTGTCAAGACATATTCAAAAATCCTTTGCCGGAGCTCGAACGGTAGGTTGAGAAGATGCGATGTTGAAGTTGCTAAACTCGACCCCAGACCAGCAGTATGATCTCGACCTTCCCTCCGTAGATATACATTCCTGGGCTGATGGCCATTTATGGCCCAAAATGATGATTGAGGATGCACATACTCTTGCGAGTGCAATTGATTCACTTCCCAGCAAACCGACATGCCAAGTTGAGCGCTGAGGACAGCTGAAATCTAAATTGAACAGCTTGAATACCGGTATTTCAGTTGTTCGGGGGACCCGTTGAGTTGTATCAACTTTCAACAGCCTGAATTTGCAGAATATGGGGCGGGAAGCAATATAGATCAATCAATGAGAAACTAAGGATGAACGATATCAACAACTATGATTTCAAGCGGGCACAGATTGTTCGGCACTTGGTTCGGGTTGGTGCAGAGAGGAAAACCGTCAATCGCAAAATCCTACCAAATGGAGACGAGGCTGTCGACAGGTCAAGGAAGTTATCATTTCATTCCCATTTTAACTCCCTCCGATGGGTCAGATTTCCTTGTTTTGTCGTCATCTGGCTGACGTTGACTTGGCCCGCCCAACCTCTACGGATCCAAATCGAGACCACCTAGAATTCAGCACCAAGGAACCCCAAAAGGAATGATGGGGTATAAAAGTCCAATTCCAATTGAATCAAGACACCCTGGAGAAAACAATGTGGGTGGTACGCCTCCCTTGAAGAAAGATTGCTCGGGGAAAATACTTGACAAAGCGATTTATTGAACTGACCGCCAGAGTCCTCTTACCTCAGCTGACATCTAGAAGTCGAGATTTGTCAAAACACGACGAAAAGGCGCGAACCCCCGGTGCCCATGAGTGAGAAGCCACAGTCTTAGGACACGACTGTACACCTCCAAGAAATATCTGGTTTAGTTCTTTGCCGACACAGACGGTGTAGATCAATCTTCCACAAATGGTTATACCAACGGGAAATGGCTGGGTGGCATGACCCCAATTGCACATCACTTTGAACCCATCAGTTTGAGATTCAGGGCTGAGTTGACTGGTACAGCGCCCATCGTCGCTAGTCGCTTCGCTCGCTAGATGACGCCAATTACGGAAAAGCCCTGCTAGACCAGGGTTCGGATCAGAGTTTGGGAGGTCACGTACAGTGGTCCGACACAAAGTAAACTCGTATTGCAGTTTAAAGCATGGCTTTTGGCATCTGCTTCATGGCCTGACGCACCCCCAGGTCGGCCAACACCTCTTCGGCACCACCGAGTATCGCGTCAAACTTGTACGTACGATGAAACTGCTCGACCACCCTGCCCATACCGGTCTGCGTAATTCCACGCCCTCCAAAGATATTGACGGCGTCGTCTGCGACATCGTGTGCACACCTCGTGGCATATGACTTGAGCAGACCAATGGGACCGCCGAGCAATTTCGACTGCTGTGCATAGTCCATTTGGCACATTTGGTACGTGATGGATTCGAGCCACGACTGGCACGCTTCAGTCAGGGATATCATCTTGGCCAACTTTTGACGAATCACGGGCTGAGAAATTAAGGGCTTCCCAAATACGATGCGCTGGTGTGTCCATTTCAAGCATTCTTCCACGATGATGCGCATCCAGCGGATCACCGAGCAGGCCATGGCCCAGCGTTCGTGGTTGAAATTGCTCATGATCACAATGAAGCCGTTGTCTTCTTTGCCTAAAAGATGGTTCGCGGGAACCTTGACGTTGTCGAATTGGATGAACGTCGTGGCTGCCGCGGTGGAATACGAGGTCTTGATCCGCTTGGTCTCGATGTTGTCATCTCTGGGTACCAAAATTACTGAGAACCCTTTCTCCGTCTTGCATCCTGTCACAAAGTAGTCCGCGAACATGCCGTTTGTGATCCACTTCTTCGTGCCGTTGATGATGAAGTGTTTGCCATCTGGTGTTTTTGTAGCGGTGGTCCGGATTCCAGCGACGTCTGACCCGGCAAAGGCTTCGGTGATGGCCAGACACATGAACTTCTTGCCCGACAGGCATTCTTCAGTGACTTTGTCGCGGAGCGCAGTGTCGTTGGCCCACTGACGCACAGCGGTCAGGGAAATCATCATGCCCGCCATATTGCCGTCCTGGAATCCTCGAGCGACCGCCCTCGACAGCTCCTGTGCGACGATCAAATCGTGGAAGTAATCGAATTCCTCGCCCTTGACGCCGCCTGGAAGTGTCCGCCCCGCAAGATGCTTACCCGGGCCCAATCGCATAGCTAGCATATTGTTCGCCGCCATCTTATCCACCAGTTTCTGCGAGATGTATGTGCCATCCAACTCCTTCTCTTGCGCTTCGGGGTAAATGTCCTCATCCACAAACTCCCGTACCGCCCGCTGCAATTTTCGATGTGATTCGTTGTAATACGGGCTCTTGAATGCAGGTGTTAACCACAGCGGCTCCGCATAGGGAACTTTACTCAGATCTCCGGGTTGGGGGTCTATGACTTCGGGTTTCTCGCCCTCGACGGTCCCGACACAGAGGCTTGCATACTTTTGTAAAACTTCGTGGCGGTGCAAGTTGTAGAAAGCAGAGGTAGCATCCTGGCCGGCGATTTGTTGAAGGACGACGCTGCCGCCTGGGTGTGCGTCGAGGAAGTCGGTCACGTCGTAGACCTTGTGGTCGATGATGCACCAGAGGCTATCCTCGGTGTTGTTCTTGGCCACTTCAGCTCGTGTAAGTATTTTGCTCGGTCTTTGAGAGGTCTTTTGAGCCATGTTTTATTGTATTTCTCCCTCGCGCACTCTCTTTCTCTCCCTCTGGTGGAATTGCCGGTTGGAGAGGACAGGGCAGGAAAAGGTAGAAGGGGCGCTGTACCCTGGTACTGTACAAACTGAGCAGACTCTAAATCAATCGCCCTCAGAATCGAGATATGTATCCAGTTCAAATAATGAAGTTAAAGAACTGTGACAATTACCTCGAGAGGGATTGGCTGAGATATACAAAGCACAAGTCTCCATCCCTGTAGTATTCTCCAGAATTTGTCTTTGTTCTCCGACCTTGATGAACCGAGGTTCAAATATATCGTCAAGCCGAAATTTCCCTCTTCCGATTGGAGCCGCTGACTCGATACGCCCACCAGAGGTTGGCCTTGAGCTGAGGTCAGTCCGCAAGGTCACGGCAATCGTTCGGCTGAAGCTGTACTAGTTCAAACAACGGCTCTTTTTGACTGAGATAGGAACTGCGGATGAAATAATTTCTAAAGCATAGGTGCTCATGGCCGTTGATAGAGGCAATTGTTGCTGCATCGACTGTTGGCGCTGAATTGACAGCTGTAACGATGTCTTCTTTCGTGCCACCAGCTCCATCTGCTGAGTTTGAACCGGCCATCATAGGCAAAGCCTGAGTGATGGGGCCGAACAAGGCTACAAACTTGATGGCGTGCATGGTCTGCTGGTGTTTTTGAGGGACTGAGGTGCCTTGGTCGGGACGGTCGGATGCAGAATAGCTCCGAATTGAGATACTGTACGTTCGAGGAATCTTTTGGCAGCAGAGAAAAGCGTGTGAATATATCTTGCGCGATATGATTAGAAGGTAGTATGGCTATTGCCTTGTAATATCGTCTCTGATTGTGGCACGTACAAAAGGATACAATCGAACAAAGTAAATAAGGGCGTCAAAAATAAAATTTATAAGGGCCAAAGAGTTGATCTTACCACGACAATAATGCTGGGAATGTCTGATGCGATAGCAAAGAGAGCTTGAGTCAAGTTGGATGCCAGGAGGCCAACCATACAGCCCCGACAGCGGGCTCATGAAGTGGCCAAAGTCGCAAGAGAGGGTCTGCAGAACGCCGCCAATGTGATGGACGCGCGTCAGCGACATCCTCGGATACTTGGATGAGTTTTGGTACCTGCAATGACCATGTCGCTTCCATGTTTGGTTGTGAAGGATAGTCACATAGTGCCATGGCGTACAGACTGCCCCAAACCAGATGGGATTGTATGTTATCTCCCACCGTAGAAATTGATTTTCCACAAATTCTTATACGCCTCGATTGGCAAAAGCTGCTTCTGCACCCTGGACCGCACCTTGATGACTGACTATGAGGTAGTGCATTTTCCACTAATACTGCGGGGATTTGGTGAAGAGATACCTGAGAAAGGTATCGAGCCAGGTCCCACCGTTCCCCTAGCTGATGCCAAATGCGGAGACCGTTGTGATGCTATCTCTAATCTCGAAAACATCCTCCATAACGGTGGCCCAGTCTGCCATGATTAGAGATTGAAACATCGGTCGTGTGCCTGTGGATATCGAAAGAAGACAGTGCTGAGGTCCACCTGGCAAGGCGCACGGGTCAGCCTTACCAGGGTTGAATTGAGTCGAGGTACTTCCGTCGATCCCTGAAAGGCTCGTGCGGTGGATCGAAAGTATTACGCGGACAGGCTTACTTGATGAATAAAGCCGGATCGTCGTGGGCAGTGGCGGAATGTCTGCTAGCAGGTGGAATTCCCGAATTCAGACATCTGGCCAATGGAGTGTGAAAAGTCTTTCAGAGCAAGTGGTGGGCTGGGAGAGACAAAAAGCGCAGTACATATCAAGAGGAGGTCTTGGTCAGTGGCTGCACAGTCATTCTGCTGGCAGAGCACAACTGTAAATATGTCTTCTGAGACCTCCAGCCCCATGAGACGTGTACTCGCCTCACTAATGGCTCTGGGTGGCTGTTGACAAGACCGAGTGTCGGACAAGCATTGAGTAAGCATTGAGCATCTGGGGAGCAGAGGTCATGGTCACCGCATTTCCATGAAAGCTCGATGAGGTCTCTTGTGATACACCAAAGCTCACCTGCACGGCCGACTCCTGAAGCAACGTTAACTGCGCTGCCTGTTTTCAGCCTTTTCCGTCTACCAGAGCTCATTTCCGGGCAGTGACACGCATTCTCTGCCAATTTTAGTTTGAACAAGTCCAGTCAAAAGCAATTCTCTCCGGCAGAAAGAATGCCAAGTGAGGTTTGCACCATCGAGCGTGCCACTGACGAAGGAAAGAATGGATTCAATGGTGACTGTCAGGCCCGAAAAAGCTGACTAACCTTGCGCATTGAAACGATATCTTCCTCAAGTCTTGCTCGGACACTTTTCGGGGATGGAATGTGTTCCATAAGGCTGGAACGGGAGGTTTGAGAGAACCGAGAAATGACGGACAGTACCCAGAATTGCTTTTATCGGATCACATCAACATGATACGCATATTCTTCCGGTTAGCGGACAGCGAGCCGGGGGGAGAACATTACCATGACGTATGAGAATCAAAGGACGGATAGGAATGAACTGGCCCATCAGCCCTGTCGACGGTAGCTTGTACACTACTTCGATTTGGCAGGATCTCAATGTCTTAGGAGCAAGACCCTCGGTAGCCTTCTCTGGGCCATATGGCTGCCAATCCTATCTGTTTAAACAGAACTTTCGCTGTGAAGAAATTACCATTCACAAATTGTCGAGAATCGTTGACTCGAAGTTCTGATCGGGGCTGGCAAGGGGACCCGGTTTCTTTTCATTCCGAGTCTTGAAAGACGGATTTCACGTGAAAGATATTTCTTCGCTCTGATTGGCTGACCGTGACCACAAGGAAATTGTTAGTATACTATCGGAGAGCCGCAGGGTTGGGTGCTCATCTCTCGAAAACTCAGGACTTGCAACTATCATTGTATGGATGGCCATAGGAGCCTAGGTATACCAAAGTCCACCTCAGGCGACCTGAAGACCTGAGTCGCACCATGGGTTCGTCTCCGCCGTATATCGTCTACAAAGATATTCTCCAACATGGTCATCAACTCTTATGTCCGGTCGTACATCTTGAACGGCCTCATCACGTCGGTGATAAGGCTAAGATCCGATCGGAAGCAAAGCAGCTGGTGTTCCTGCATAATGAATGACGATATGGCCCCCAGTCAAAAGAGGCTCCTGCTGAGAATGTTATTTGGTGTTCGACCTAGCCTTCTGTCGGTTCTGTCACTCTATTCCGCCTTTCGACCACTTGCAACATGCCTCCCAAATCAAATCCAGGAGATCAGTCTAGCTTTGGCTTTACCTTTACATCCACAAGGCACGATGACACGTATCCTTTCATTAATCCCCTGAAAAGCAACGCTTCAGATCTCAGGGTGTTGGTCACGGGCGCATCCAAAGGCATCGGCCGTGCCACTGTTATTTCTTTCGCACGTTCCGGAGTATCCGGCATCGCCATGCTTGCACGTTCAAATCTCGATGCAGTCGCACGAGAGGTGCTTGAAGCGGCACGTGCTGCGGGCCGGAAGGAACCAAAGCTTCTCAAACTCCAGGCGGACATGACTGACCAGATTGCTGTCGAGAAGGCCATGGCGACGGTGGAACAGGAATTTGGGAGTCTCGACGTCGTGATCAATAATGCGTCATATCTCGAGAAGTGGATACCTATTGCCGAGAGTGACGTGAATGACTGGTGGCGAACCTGGGAGGTAAATATCAAAGGAACCTATCTGGTGTGTCGGGCTTCCGTGCCATTGTTGCTCAAAGGAAAGCAGAAGATGATGGTGATGGTGACCAGCGCCGGCGCTTTTAATACAAGGTTGGTGTCGGCAACAATATTTGATATATGGATGCGATCAGCTCATTTGAGGAACAGACCTGGAGGCAGCGCATATCAAACCACCAAAACAGCTCAGATTAGGTTAAGTTATTTCTTGATGGCAGAATATGGTGAACAAGTATGTGATCCCCCAATCCGGCATCAAAGTCCGGTTATGAATAACCGGTTTCAGGGCCTACTGGCGTACGCCATCCATCCAGGAGGTGTCAAGACTGAGCTTGCCATGAACATGCCAGAGGACATGTACGAGATCCTCACTTGTACACCCGAACTGGCAGCTGATACGATGGTGTGGCTGACTAGGGAAAGGAGGGAATGGTAAGATCCACCATTGCTCGTAAAATTCGAAGCACAATGTTTATGGCTGACCGAATCTTCAGGATCGCCGGTCGATATATCAATGCTCCCTGGGATATGGAAGAATTCCTAGCAAAGAAAGATGCGATCGTCCAAAACGACCTGTTAAAAATAAAGTTGCATGTCTGAACGATCTAACGTCGCTTATCTGGATGATCCAAGCCTACACCCCTCAGATACACCACTATGAAAGAGGAAAATTGAGGTAGCTCTTCACTCAAAACTACCGCTTCTGTCTAAGTCGGACATTTTCAAACGCAGCACGAAGGCTTCCTTCCAGATGTATGTGCGGAAACCGATGACTATCCCAAGGCTGAGACAACAACGTAGCCTCCCTTCTTGAACTTATGACTTGCCGACAATTTGGCATCCATGTCACTCCTGGCTTGGGCTTGGGCTTCTTCTTCTTTCGACATCCAAATATGTTACCTCGTACTTCCCTCCGGTCACGCGCTCGAGTATCTCAACGATCTTAGCATCGGTCGGAGAGCTTCCTGATATGCGATACGTTCTTCAGATAGGCTTCACACTCTGAAGCCCTATCCCATGTCCGGGGAACAGGTCTTTCGGCTTTTCAACTAGGTAATGCGTGCTGTCCTCGACATTCATTAGACTTTGTCTCTCAGATGCCGTCCCCCAAGATCCTCGCTTGCGCACGGTTGTTGTCGAAGCCAAAATGCTCGGATACGGACCATTCTGTTGGCGACCGGAGGACGTAATAAGTCCACCTAAGATTTGGAACGTCACGTCCTCATGTCACGTCCTCTCGCTTCCAAAGGTTCCTTTGTTTTGGACCTTGTATCTGTAGTATCGTTGTATCCTGTTCTACCCGATTGGCACCCGTACTCGTTTTGGTAAAGGTGGCGGGCACCAGCTTTCAATAACTGTATCAATGACGGTGGGTTGCATGTGTAGAGCATGATTACCCGGGAAGATCATCACGTAGTCGAAATATCGATGTGGTTCCGGGAATTCATGCCCCGAGCTGCAACAATTCCGAAGCCTTGTGTTCCTAGATCCCGTATTTCCATGAGATGGACATTTTGACTGACTGAAAGAATAAATGAAACTCGTCGCGCTTTTCCGGTCGAAAAAGGCACCTCTTTTTCAAAGGCGGCGCCCGATTCACAACACACTTCCCAATTATAACACCAGCGAATGACAAAAAGGTACAAGTGGGACGCGTGGTGTGGAGAGGTGGGAGCTAAGTTAGAAGTACATATGAAGCAGGGAGGAATCTTGTGCCAATAAACATAGCACTCTTCTATAGTAAATAGGCTTGTCTATTTGATATGAGCTCCTGTACTCGTTTGGGTCTCAGGTTATGCCATAAGAGTTCTCATGGGGCAACGTGCCGAGACAAGGCACCGCTCTTGACGAGGCTGAGCCCCCCTTTCTAGGCCCAATATGACCCACGATACGGTACCTTCAAATTAAAGCACATGCATAGCAAGACAAAAGTGATTATTCTTTTGAGGGTGGTTTCGGCGGCGAGTCTCATAATACTAGGTATTGAGCGCCACTCGACATTTCCAGTGGACTGCAAAGGGTCTCTTTCTCATGCAGTGAAATGTCCCTGGAAGCTATCAACAATTTCACCAACTTGGAACAACCCGATGCCGTCCCTTTGCCGCAAGCTTGGTCTCATTCCTACAAAGAGAATATTGGATCGGGGAGGAAATGGCCCATCTGGTATGTAAACAGAATTTTTCAATACTTTCCTGATCTGGCCGAGGAAATCCGTGAGTCCGACAAGGTTCTCGGGGAGTTTAAAGCGCAGGATCGGGATGTTGTATGGCCCTGTGGATGCTCATGGCAGCCCGAGGGCAGCCAATCAAATCAGGCCCTTTTTCTCGAGATGAGGTCACGCAGTGGGCGACATCGCTTTGCTGGAACTCGACAGTAAGTTGAAATGGCCAAAGTTGCGTAGATTAGCAATTCTGTAACGTGGTCGCAGTTCCTTGCATGCGAGCGTAATTCAAGATATTTTGACTCTGGTGCATCCTGCTTTCAAGTCTTGATATTCTTCAATTCAGGCTTGGTCTCTAACGTTTGAGAGATGAACCCTCTGAGGGCTGCCCACCTCTCACTTGTCGATGGAATAGGCCGTTGGGTCTCACTTCCTCTCCTCAGTTTTTCCTTTCCATCTCCAGGGGACGGGGCCGACGCGGAAAGCTGTGCCATATTTTTCGCGAATCTCTCGCGCTCTCCTTTGTCAAGCTTCTCCCTCCTCCTCATTGCTCCCGGGCGGGATTTCACGCTCTTGCGTGTGATGATGCTGATCTGCTCTTCAGGCTTTCCTCCTGCCGCCACTTTTGCACCCGTGTCAATATCACTTCCTGCAGCTTCGGGTAAGGCATCAGCCAAGGAATCCAGAGTTGTGACCAGCTTCCTGTTGGGTCGTCTCCGCCTGGGCTTCTTCGCCGACAACTTTGTGATTTTGTTCATCAGCTGAGCATGTCTGATTCGGCGCTTGTCTTTCTTCGAGGCGGGAAACAGAAGGTCATGCTTGGAGAAACTCGAAGTGGAAGGTTTCTTGAGGATCGACTTTGTTGGTTGTGCTGTGCGCGATGGAGGTTCGCGCAGGGGAGCCTGGACAAGATAGATCAGATCGGCATTTGCTTCAAGTTGGGGAGAGTCTGCTTTACCATATCCAAGTCTAAAAGAGCACACGGAGCTCGCACTAAATGAGTTGTGTTGAATATTCAGGATGCGCAGCGGTCTCGAGGAAACAAATTTGCTTATCGATAAGAAATTCGGCATTGGGCAGATCATTGCTAGCACAACGTTATGCTGTCTCCTTTTCCTGACTGAAAGAATTATTTAATGAATAGACGATATTCTATCACATCTCTACTTCACCGAACAAATCAAGAGAACTTTCAACGATATTTCACTCTGGTACACGGGGAGGTGGACCAAAGGCCCCCCCCCCCAGCAAACCACCTTATTCATCCATAAGGTGGGTAGACATGGAGCTCTCAACTATTTGGACAAATCACTGCTTGCTCTAACACGTGTACAGACATTGGACCGAGAGAGTTGAATTATCTTGGACTTTACGGAAGACTGGAAATACTAGAATGCAATTGTAAGCGACAGTCGTTTGGATACAATCACAACATAACTCCAACAGGATACATGGTCGCAAACCTCATACCAGGTTTATGGATGGAGCATAAATTGCAGGCTCTGCCTCCCTCACTTCGATTGGAGATCCAAGAGAGGCATGTTGGCAGTCCACATTGGGACTAGCCTAGTCACGTGCAACGCGGCCTTCGTGGCCTTTTTGTAGCTTGCGCCTCAGTCAGATAGATTCAATCAATCAATCTTCTCTCGGCCCAACAAGGCAATTCCCGTCCAAAGAAACATGACGTGCGATCCATATCAATGGACAGATTTCACTCCGAGCCTGGACAATCGCATTCGGGCGTGTTTGAAAAATTGTCATAGCGGATCTTTGACTATCTGAGTTCAACAGGCAGAATTCATGCACTCAACTCCGCCGGGTCGTAGAAGCGAAGGACCAGTTAGCATGTGTTACAACATATTCTCCATGCGAAGAGAATCCTTTCCGCCGAATCCAGAACGGACACATCATTTGGCACCCAGAACTCAAAAGTGACATCTTGGTCTTGATCCAATCCTTTGACTCAGTTCGCCGAAACAAAGGATTTACCTCGGCCACAGATAGGACAATTTCCTACCTACCCTTGCTCCTCAGCTTGCGTCTGTTTCTCCTCCCCGCATCTGCGGACATCGATATAAACATGCCACTTCCCCCCTCCTTTTTGCGGACGAACTCCACAATCTACAAAGCCAAAGTCCACATCAGAAAACACCACTCAATCCCAAGTCAGAAGAGAAAACATACACCCTGTGCCATTTCATCAATAGCACACACATTCAAAATGCCTTTCCACACAACCGTCCTCTACCCCAACGACCCGGACACCAAGTTCGACATGTCGTACTACCTCAAAACGCACATGCCACTCGTCATGCAACACTTCGGCAAGCACGGCCTGAAGGGATACGAAGTTACCGAGTACGGTCCTGGAGGTGACGGCGCGAAACCCCCTTACTGCACGGGATGCACTTTGAAATGGGACAGCCCCGATCAAGTGGGCGCGGCCGTGGGTTCACCAGACTCGAAGCCCGTGTTTGACGATATCCCGAATTTCAGCAACAAGGAACCCATCTTTATGGGTGGTGCAGTTGTGGATGCGAAATGATCCAAGATATGTCTCATGACAAAACCGTTTCAATTCGCGCCTCGGAGAGAAAAGAGATCCTAAACAATATACAATACTTTGAGAGCAGATGGATCAACTATTTATCGAGGAAGTGAATCAACGAAAATCTCCCTCGGACCAAGAACCTGCCACTGTTTCAGTTTCAATTCCTCAATCTTTAATCCTTATTCATTATCCCTGACTTCCTCAAGCACCACCACCTAGCGTCATGACCACAGTCCTATCTCCCTGCTGACTTTCACTGTATTCTTGCCGCCCAGATTGACTCTTCTTTCCGCCCCTGTCCCGTCCTTGGTGATCCAAAGATTCACGCCTGCCTGGCCATGGCCGCCGTTCGGCATGCCCTAAGGCCTGTGTAGTCTGCGCTCACTGAAAACCGAGCACTGGGGGACATGCTCGAGAAATTCGATTTCTCTCGCCACTCCATCGCCGCCGGGCCGTGCATCGATCCGGTCCGAGCCGTCACGTAGCGTAAATTCTCGTAGCACGCACAGATATCTCTTCTAGAAGATCTCCGAGTCCGTAATACACGTGTTAGTTATGTGCGTGTGAACGCCGTTCTGGCCGTTCCCACGCGGCCCGGCCCTGGGCCCGGCACCCGGGGCAATAATCTCTAATGTGCGGGAGAAGTCAAGGCGCTTGTCGAGACCGACGTCTCTTGTACTGTGCAGTCCATTTGTTCGACAATCGACATGAATCTGTGGCTGAAAATGGATAGTCGGACTGCATCGATGGGGAATTTCGTCTGTTTTCTTTGGGGCTGATGTGGTTCCCGGCTTGCGCGATTCTCCTTCCCCTTCAAGTCAGGAATAATACAGGTTTCAAGGACAGTGGCTTCTGCATTTGGAGCCACCACAATAGTTTGAGTTTCGTCAACGATAACGGCCGGTCCTCCGATTTGCATATTCTTCTCAACACTCTTGAACAAATAAATTGGAATATCGGTGTGGCCGACAGAGTCGAAATAGACCCTTGTAATCTCATTCGGAGCTTGCATCATGTCTTTCATCTGGGCTTCTTTGAGTTGAACGGCCGGGGTTTCTCTGAACCCAGCTCGTGGCAGCAAATCCGACAACGCCAGCGGCCGGGACAGACAAAATGGATTTCAGACTGCTGAAGTTGCGGAAGTCAACGAAACCTCCATAAATTCAAAGCGGCAAGCATGGGGATTCTCCAAACCGCCCCTCAAAATTTGAATTGATCGAGTTAATGTAGTCCTTTATAACAAGCGTAAGGTATGCGTCTGCCAAAGCTGACATGCTTCGAGGCACGACTTTGATTGTGGGGTGTAATCATGAGGACAATGTGACTGAGAAGCCCATTGACGAAGCAATTACGCCAATCTTCAGTTCATTTTCAGGGTATGCATATGAGTGTAGAAGTACAACAGCAAGCAATCTATAGTCCGGTTCCAAAGGCTTTGCCACTCATCGATAATTTCTTGCCTGTCAAGTTACCGTAGAATTCGAAAATTTTCACCTATCACACCAACGACTAGTCGACATCGAAGATATCCGTATGCTTCGCTTTTCTTGGGACAGGGGATGATTCTCTCGTTGATCTCAATGATCTATTCATATAACACCTCTGGTTTCGCAGCAGAGTGATTGAAAATTTTGGGCCTGGACTGATCGCCAATTTTCAGCAGATCTTTTGTGGTCATCAATGCCGATTTTGCGCCTTCCCGCCCCAGGAGGGCATTAGTGGCCACGGCCATCCCCATTCTCAGTCTGTCGATGTACTTTAAATTGAGTGGCTTGCCTTTTGGAAAGTCTTCGCCAGTGGCTATTTCAAAGTACTCAACGGAATGCCTTTGGTGGGAGCATCTTGACAATTTGCAGGATCGACCGATAAAAGCTTCAAAATTATGTTAGGCTTCCCAGCCACCGAGGCGTGGATATCGGTAAATGTTCCTCCCCGGTCAACGGACATGTCTGAATTTTGTGGCTTTGAACATGATGATTGTCGGCGAACCTTGGAGGGCGGATCAAGTGTAGTCTGGTCGGACATGCCGCATAGGATCTCAAGGAGGATGATGCGGAGAATGCGGCGTTAGGAAAATGGACCCGTGACAGACGCAACTGACCGGGAACGTTCTCCCTAGCGTCGTTTTATCCCTCCCTTGTCTGAGAATTTCTGTGCAATTCTCGGTTCGGAGAAGGGCGCGATGTTATCGTTTGGTTGAGACTTCTCGGGGGGTTTGCGAGTGCAGTATGATTGTCACTGGCAGTAGTACAGGTGTGCTTTTCTCGAGAATGCAGACGTGTCGAGCGCAAGGTAGACGCCAGGACTGAGCCCGCAGGATACCTTGTTTCTGCTCTTGACCGCGACCGAATCAATATGAAACCACAGTTCGCCATGGCACCGATTGCAAAGCTTAACGATGTCGTTGATGTCGTCACTCTGAAGAAGTCTATCGGCACAAATTCGAACATTCAAGAGTCAGGAGAGAGAGTTCGCCTTGCCGCAAGGTCGGGAACATATACCAAACAAACCTCTGGTGCAGCACCCACTTACGTCCAGGCAAATCTCATAGTCCTCCCGTCGAGATACGCCGACGATTTCCGCCTTCTCTGCCGAAGAAATCCAGTCCCTTGCCCGCTATTAGCGGAATCCGAAGGAATTGGGAAATGGAATCAGCTCAAATCCTGGATCGAGGGGTTGACAGGCGACGAAATGGCAAAGAATGTGGATCTTCGCCATGACTTCCCCAAATACATGGTCTATCAAGACGGTGTATTGACAAAATCGCATTGCCTCAATGTCGAGGCCGAATGGACTGAAGATCATGTCGCTTTCTTGATCGGTTGCTCATACAGTTTCGAGTCAGCACTCGTGGCCGCAGGGTTGGTCCCTGCACACATGGTTCATGGAAGGAATGTCCCCATGTATCGAACAAGCATTCCATTGGCACCAGCGGGGGCATTCAGATACTCCACATATGTGGTATCAATGAGACCATATCGAAGAAAGGACATTGATCGAGTACGGGATATTACTCGTCCATATGTGGCTACTCACGGAGAGCCGATTGACTGGGGTTGGGATGCTGTGACTCGACTGGGAATTAAAGATATTTGCCGGCCAGAGTATGGAGAGACTCCTGTTACCGCGGACGGGTCTCCATTTGCTGGAAGCCTTGGGACTGGAGATGAAGAAATTGTGCCGGTATTCTGGGGATGTGGAGTAACTCCTCAAGAAGCAGTCCGGAGAGCTGGCCTCAAAGGTACGGTTATCGGTCATGCTCCCGGGTATATGCTTGTTTTGGACGCAAGAGACTGGAACATCATCCTGAAGTCCTGATCGTGAACCAATCACACAAATACTTCACAATGAAAAGTATAAGCAGTTTTCGCCACATAAATCGATCGGAAATATGAACGATACCGAAGGAAGGAGCCCAGATACTAAACGTGAAGCTGGCTTTTAGTTCGCAAAGCACTTTCAATCTAATCGAGGTCCATGTCGATGTCAATGTTTCCGGATATCTCCTCCCAGAGTTTTGGGGCATCATTGATGTCAAATTTGAAAGACATATCCTGGAAAGGTTGGAGCTTGCTTTCGAATTGTACTGTACTATCCTGGGAGCGGGTATTTGAGTTGTCGCTGGAAAACTACCAGAATGGACAGCTTGTGCCGGATCTAGACCACACAAAGTTGATGATGCCATAGGTCCTGTCAGACATGAATGAAATTCGATATTCGAGGTCCGAATGCGGAGCGAAGGTCCATCAATAGGGTCATTCGTGCCTGTATGTATTCGTTCCACTTTCAGTCATTTCTCGGAGCCACCGAAAGGGCAGATTGTATAGCTGCGGCATTCTTTTCGTTATATGGAAGTGCAACATTCACCATTACGAGCGTCCGTGGGGGCTGAGAAGGCGTGCTCTCCATCCGTGAAGCCGTAGGTATGCTGCCGATAATCATCACTATGAGTTCGTCTCGGATCATGCAAAACTCACCGAACAGATTTTGTCTCGCCGCAGCACTCATAATCATCGTGCTGGCACGAGCAGCGGCAATTGTCGTATTAATGACTGCCACAACGTTTGTCGGCAAACATTCCTGCCGGGTCCGTGCAGCTGTTCCGTTTGCAAGGCCCCAAGTCTTCTCTGGGGGACGTAGAGTAGTAATGGCCTTGTTGTCATGATGATACATTGATAATAGTGGAGAAATGTTGTAACGCCTTCGCGAGAAATATGCCGATCCGGTGCTTTGAAGCCAATTCTTAGCGCTGGAGGTCCGTCTTTCAACCAATTCGCCAGGTCATCTAGGATGTTTTGCATCGAAGTAAGCAGATCTGTTCTAGACTTATGTTTATTTGGACATATTCCTTCTCCAGTACTATCCGATATCCTTGACAACTGAATGTAGAGAGCCAAACCCCTGGGAGGTGACAAGTCCGGATCGACTCCTGGAATGGGACTTGGCCAGGCGACATCAATATCTTCGTCGTGAATGGATATCGGATGAATCTGTCCATACTATAAACTGACCACCACTGTCATAGCGCGGGGCACCCTAACATTAAGACAACCATACGAACCCAGTAAGCCGGTACTCTTCGAATCGCCTGTGAGGTGTATGTTGCCCTCATGTCCCCTCAAAGCGCGATTAGGCGATGTAATATGGACTGCCTCGCTATCATTTAGATCATTGCCTAGCTCCCGCGGCCTCATATCATTACGATTCCATCATGAGGACCTCAAACAAAAATAGAAGACAGAAGACAGAGAACTCGACTCCAAGTATTACTGGTAGAAAGGCTGAGCTGCTGTACCATGGACATAAGGATCTAGTTCTTCCGTAGACTCTCGATTTCGGTTCAAGACGAAGGACGCGTGGTGGGCTCTCAGGGATTGAGTGGTTGGTGAGAGGAGAAAGAAATTGTAAACACGATGCTGGATGGGGAGGCGAAGACAACGCAAACTGGTAGTTAGGCTGAGTGCTGCTTTGGTAGAAACCGTCCGCTTTTTTGTCTCCTGACATACCTTCAAGCTCCACCACCTGTCCACATTTTTCTCGGTTATGAACAGCTGTTTCTCGCCGTCAACAATGCCATGCCGCCGAGGCGAGACAAAAATGTCTTCCAAGAAACTAGAACACCCATTTGACTTTGGGGATCTTTTCAGGCTAAATACCCCAAATGAATGCACTCGCCCCTCAGCCCTTCAGGACCCATAAAATGGCCGAGTCCACGATTCGTTTCAAAACGAAAGTTCATCAAAACTCCATTCGGTGCATCAATTGACTAGTGGTTTGCCTAGTGCGGCAGGTAAAAAGAGACCATACTATGGCTACTGGAATCTTAAAGGTCAAGGGGACTCGAGTCGTCGACAGCAACGATTCTCCAGTCATTCTAAGGGGTGCTGCAATTGGGGGATGGCTCAAGCATGTTTCGCAACCCTTCCGCTTTCTCGACCGATGCTGACGAGATGAAGTATGGAAAACTTCATCACAGGTTATCCTGGCCATGAGTCCAGTATCCGTGCCGCCATGCTTGAAGTCATGGGTCGGAAAAAGTATGACTTTTTCTTCGACCGATGGCTATACTACTTCTTCACAGAATTGGACGCAAAGTTCTTCAAATCTCTGGGGTTAAATTGTATTCGAATTCCATTCAACTACCGGCACTTCGAGGATGATATGAATCCACGAGTGTTAAAAGAAGATGGCTTCAAGCACTTAGATCGCGTGATCGATCTCTGCGCCAAAGAAGGGATTTATACCATTCTCGACATGCACACTGTTCCAGGTGGTCAAAGTCCTGGCTGGCATGCTGATAACACTACGAGTCATGCCGCATTCTGGGACTACAAAGACCATCAAGATCGGACCATTTGGCTCTGGGAACAATTCGCACGACGATATAAAAATAACCCTTGGATAGCTGGATATAACCCTATCAACGAGCCTTGTGACCCTAAGCATGTTCGCCTCCCGGCCTACTATGCACGACTAGAACAAGCCATCAGAGCCATTGATCCAGAGCACATCCTGTGGCTTGATGGAAATACTTTTGCCGCAGAGTGGAAAGGATTTGACACCGTTCTTCCCAATTGTGTGTATTCTCTGCATGATTACAGCATGATGGGATTTCCAACCGGCAGGCCTTACAAAGGAACTGCTGAACAAAAAGAAAGGCTAGAAGCACAATTCCTTCGGAAATCGGAATTCCAGAGAACCCATAAGACGGCGATCTGGAATGGCGAATTCGGCCCCGTGTATGCAAACCCGAGATGGGACGAAAATGCGGATGAAATCAACCAGGATCGTTATAATATGCTGGGAGAACAGTTGCGAATATATGACCGGTTCCAAATTCCTTGGTCAATTTGGCTATTCAAAGACGTTGGCCTTCAAGGGATGGTATACACCTCAGCAGACTCGGCCTGGTACAGACTCATTGAGCCTATCCTGGAGAAGAAAAAACGATTGCAACTGGATGCTTGGGGAAAGTATCCCTCCAAAGAGGTCGAAGACCTCATTCAGCCCCTGGTTAGCTGGATAGACTCGGTCTCACCGACAGCCAAAAACGTCTATCCCTCCACGTGGAGCACGGCGAGGCACATTGAGCGTGCCGTTCTGCAGACTTTTCTGGCCGAGACCTTCTGTCAAGAATTTGCCGAGTTGTTTCGCGATAAGGATGAAGCTGCATTGGAAGAGCTTGCGAAAAGCTTCAGCTTCGAGAATTGCGTCCAACGAGAGGGGCTTAACAAGATCATGTCAAATTATGCGGCAGTGGCCTCCCAGCCTATGGGAAACTAGCCTAGCCAAAGGTCGATCCCCTGCAAGCGTTCGGCGGTCATTCCTACGGTCAAGTTCATAGAATAAATGATGGACGGCCATTCTCCGGGAGACCCCAGGCCGTTTTGCCATTTTGCCTCAATATGTTTTCTCGCCTAAATTCATGGATAGGTACAGGCGTCCAATACCAAACTCCAACGGACTCGCCCACGTTTGGGGAATTCTGGAGTCTCTGCGGGGAAAAGGGAATTCGCAAGGCTGAGATCAACAATAGGATTGCTGTGAGGTTTCTCGGCAGTTGTCTACAGCACATACATGGGGTGCCGATAGCTGATTCTCTATTTAAGAAGATCCTAGCACCCATATGGCCCTCCAGACTCTCTTATTGATCCCGACTGCGGAACCTACAATTATCTTATCGCAATCTCAATATCTGCGGTCGAATTTCAGTGGGATCAGACCAAGATGTCCAAGGCAGTGGCAGGTCATGACCTTGCCGCTAATGATGTCGCAAAGGTATCGGAAATTGCGCGCTTGCTGAAACAAGACCAAACACCGTGGTACAAAAAGAAGAATCTTCGAGAACTGTACTTTTGCCTTGTGCCTGCTGCTCTTGGTGTCGAAATGACCTCCGGCTATGATGGCAGTGTCCTGAATGGCCTTCAGGCTGTGCAACCCTGGGAGGATTGTGAGTTTGCGACTTTCCGGGCATCTTCGACCTTCTTAACCCTGTTCCAGACTTCAACAATCCAAATGGTGCCTTGCTCGGTGTCATGACAGCAGCATTCTCAATCGGGGCGGTGATGGCTGTCCCCCTCGTGCCCTATGTCAACGACCGATTCGGACGAAAAGCCTGCGTAGTGACAGGCTCCAGTATCATCACTGTCGGGGCCATTTTGCAAACAGCAGCTGTGGATAGTATGTGCATCGTGTTCATAATAGTCATTGAGCTAACATTTTGCTCGGCAGTTGCCATGTTTTTGGTGGCAAGAATCATTCTCGGAATGGGAATTGTGTATGCAATCAGCGGAGCCTCCCAGCTCATCGCTGAATTGGCATACCCCAAGGAGCGATCGGTGATCACCGGATTATTCAACGAAAGTTGGTATGCGGGAGCAATTTTGGCTGCGGGTGTGACGCTTGGGACGTTTTCGTGGGAGAGCAGTTGGAGTTGGCGACTTCCCTCCTTACTCCAGCTTCTGCCATCAACATTGCAGCTTATCTTCATATGGTGAGCGCATCTGAACGGCCGTTTCCACTCGGGCTGATCTGTCAGGTTCATTCCCGAATCGCCACGTTTCCTTGTTTCACGAGACCGCCACGAAGAAGCCCTCGAAATCTTGATCCAATATCATGCTGAAGGAGACCGCTCGAGTCCTTTGGTCGCAGCAGAATTTCAACAAATTCGGGAAACCATCCGCATGGAGCTGGAGAGCACCAAGACACCCTGGAAAGAGATTGTAGCCACTGGCGTCAATCGACGACGAGTCTTCATCGCGGCTTGTGTTGGATTGTTTTCTCAATGGTCGGGAAACGGCCTTGTTAGCTATTATCTTTCGAAAGTACTCACGACGGTCGGAATAACCGAGAAAAGGACTCAGAATGAAATCAATCTTGGTCTGTCGTGCTGGAACCTCATTACCGGAGTCACGGGGGCCCTCCTGGCGCATATCCTCCCACGCCGACGCCAGTACCTGACTTCATATACGGGAATGACCGTCATGTTCGCATGCTGGACCGCGGCCTCGGCGACTTATTCCAAGGACCACACGAACCATTCGGCCGCCATTGCAGTTGTCGCCCTCATCTTTATCTACTACGCGTTCTACAACCTCATGATGCCGCTGACTTACATCTTTATCTGCGAAGTCTTCCCGTTCATACATCGCAGCAAAGGTGTGGCCATAACTCAGTTTTTCTCTCGTGGAGGCAGCGCATTCAATCAATTTGTCAACCCGATTGGCCTCCAGAATATAACGTGGCATTATTATATCGTGTACGTCGTCTGGCTCGCTATCGAGACAACCACAATCTTCTTCATATATCCAGAAACGAAAGGACCTAGTCTTGAGGAGGTTGCGATGGTCATGGAAGGCAACAATGCAAAAGTCGAAGTCATTGAGATTGGAGCCCTGACAGGGAAGAGTGGGGTTGACGTTCAAGAGGTCGAGAAAGTGTGAAATGAAGAGCACGATAATCATTGACCTAGCTGGTCGGCGATGGTCGCTCCCGAGGACGAAAATCCGCATCAAACAGCGAAAACTCTCAAGAGTCAAATACGTCCGTGATAAATATAAATATAATATTTAAATCTCGACATCAGCACTCGTACCCGTTTGATGGTCAACATTTAGCACGAACAGTAAGGGGCCAGTGCATCGAATTGCCCGTGATTGAATTCGACCCCGTTGCGCTCACAACTGGAACAACATTAACCGCTAACTAGGATCGCTCCCTTGGATCCCTTTTTAGGGTGCAATGGTCGAACCCACCAGGGATGGCATCCCTCGTCAAGGATTTGTGGGTCACAACGCTCCGTATGATTAGCCCCTCCCTACCTGAAACCCCGTTTTGACTCCCGCTTTCAACGTATCCCGGGCGTTGAAAGCTTGGTCAGCGGGACGCCTGACTTGGCCCCAAGGCAATAAAAACAGCTCCTCTGATCCCTCATCTAATATTTCTCAATTATTTCGTGACCTTCTCGCACGAAAATGTCCGAAAGGACTCGTGTGAAACGCTTGGTGGTGTGTGTCGATGCGGAAGAAGTTTCTGCAGATGGGACATTAGGTGCGAGAGTTATGCGACGCCATCGATGCGATCACACTGACTGGCAAAGGGTACGGAAACACCAGTAACATCTTCAGACTCAAGAGTATCATTCCTACTGCCATCTGTTATGATGCACAAGGTCGGGAGGTCGAACAAATTGTTCGCTACTGCCGAGCGGTTCAGGATGGGCCAAGTCTGGTTGAGAAGCTGAAAGGCCGGTCCTCATCACCCTACTATGAGCAACAGATCAAAGATATAGTGAAAGAGGCATGTGAGACCCTAGAAGAGCCGACAGATGAACTGTTCCTCTATGGCTATGGCCGCGGAGCATTTATCGTGCGTGCCGTCGCCGGAATCCTTGGGACGATGCGATTGCCCAAGAGGACATCTCTCCGACATTTCGACACACTCTACAAAAGTACTTTGGACGTATTCAGGGCGCGACACGAAGACGACAACAGAAATGGACCCAGAATTATCGAGTTCCTCACCTCTCACACCACTCTTCCTCCGCAAATCCAATTTGTTGGTGCATTTGACACCGTGAAGTATACGGCCGAGGGAAGCATGCATGATTTATCACTGGTAGGGTCTATTCGAAACATGAGGCACGCATTGGCACTCAATGAAACACGAGCGCAACTGAATCCCGAGATTATCCAAGTTCCCGCCTCGCAAGAAATGCAAGGACGAAGTCTTGTCCAAGCGTGGTTCATGGGGTCTCATCAAGACATTGGGGGCGGTGCACGTCACGACGGCTTGTCTTTGTACCCGCTACAGTGGATGATCGTGGAAAGTGTGAGAGCTGGACTCATCATACAATCCGGAGGTGAGGAGAAAAAGAAGACGGAGGCGCCCCTCGCTTTAGCTTTCCCTCAGTATGCGGGTGATATCCCTAAACTTGATGGGGATGAGAAAATTGAGTGGCGAATCCGTTTCACAAACGGGATTCAGATCAGTCTTTACGATCTTCAGAGCCTCCATGGAGGCTCTTCTGATGAAGATCAAACGCACACCGTCCACATCAACAGCTCCAATATGATATACAATAGCCAGCGCAAGGTTTTTGGAGCCAAGGAATTGATCGGTTGGTGCGACACGGGTAGGTCGCGATTTTCAGGATCCGCCTTGCGCATCGAATGCACGGACTGACCTTGGACAGCGAGCTATGGTACCATTATTCATCCTTCGGTGTTTTGCTTGCTCGATAGATATCCAAGGTTTTATGAGCAGTCTCGATTCAAGTCGATGAAGAAGAACCTAGCCGATTACCGCGATCGTTGTTTGCAAGGCGAGGAAGGGCGCCTGCCTCCTTGGCTGGAAGGCTTGCAATTGCAAGAAAGTGGCGTGAAAGCATTCAGAATCCTTGTCTGCGGCAAGACTGGTGTTGGGAAGTCAACTTTGATCAACAAGATTTTCGGTGTGGAGATGGTAATATCTTCCCAAATGATGGCCTCCACCAAGAGATTTGCCGCTGATGATGCAGTTCAGACCGAGGAGTCCAACTCCTACAAACAAGGGGATCACAACATCAACCAAGCCTTTGAATCACCCAATCATCCCGGTTTAATGATTCATGATTCTCGAGGTTGGCAGGCCGGAAGCGATAAAGAACTCGAATTGATCGCGAAATTTCTTCGCCATCGAGCATTTCAGCGCGATCCGGCCGAAGCCCTTCATGTTATTTGGTAAGTCGTAACTTGACCGTATATTTCTTCCCGTTTCTGGGTTGACTCACCCCAACGTCTTCCAGGTTTTGCGTGGATTCCGATGTCAGTCGCATCGAAGATGCGGACAAGAGGACATTTGAAACAATTGCGCAATTCTCCCACAACGTTCCGGTTTTCGTCGTTGGTACTAAAAAGGATAAGCTGATTGCCTACCGGAAGATCAAGCTACTGGAGAAGTACATGGAACAGACCAACAACTATCAAGAGTCAAGTCGATTGGCGAACGAGGAGGCAAGCAAACTCGCAGATGAGCAATTCATGGCACTCCGCGATGAGTTGTCACAAATCAAGCACTACAAGGCAGACGGATACTGTTGCCTTTCCAAAGGTACGGCTTTCGCGACTGTTGTAACTTCGGCGATAACAGAACTGATGGGGATTTTCCTTTTCCAGATGATGACCAAGGAGTCAGAAAGCTCTTGACCCAAACCTTGGAACTAATAACCGATGACCGAGTTCGTCTCTTCTGCGTGGCCGCGCAAGTCGTTGACGTTGAGCAAAAAATTGACTCGGCAATTACAGAATGTATGCGGCTAGGTATGCACGCGGTTCGAACTGCAATGGTCCCTCTTCCACTTTCCAGCGCCGTTGGGACACCCACTGTTGCTAGGATTCTTTGCGAACATATTCTTCAATGCTTCGGATTTCCCAAGGCCGTGCCAGATGCCGTCGAAGACATCATGACGAGAATTGTGCTAGGCCACCTTAAGAGTTTCATGACGGTGACTATGGTAGAGTTCGTTGGAGTCGGCGTGGTGACTGCCGGTGTGGTGGTGGGCACGATGGGCGCTGGGGGTGCTCTCGCTCTCGCCCTGTGTATCCTCGCCGCCCCTCCCACGGCAAGGATGTTGTTTAAATGCGCCTGTGATATGATTCTCATCCTCGAGCGAGCTTTTCGGTACCAGGGCAAGTTTGTTTCGGTGAAGCAAATTGAGGACGCCGCACTTTACTATACCACGGCAATGACCAAAACCTTTGCGGGAAAGGAATTGTTACTGCAAAAGCATGTCCACAATGAGGTTGATCGACTTATTCCTCTGACCAAATTGTCTGCCGGAGTGAGATTTAGCAGACTGAGACCTGGGTTGGAAGAAATCATTTACAAGAATCGATTTGGAAAGGAGGCCCTGGGGAAACAACAAGAACAAGACTCGTCGTCCATGGTTCCAGAAATCGGCGGAAAAGAGGTTTTCGAGTTGGACGCCGCCGCCGCAACCGCCGTGGAACTTGATAGCCAGAAAAGTCAAATTGCAGAACTGCCAGCCGAGGTGCATGTACCAGCAGTCGCCGCCAAAGACTCTCCCAAGCTCCGATCTAACACCAGCAACACGACAACCACCGACGATCTGTTGAGCTGGGATGAGAGAACGAGCATAACGCAGACACTGAGTGATATGGAACTGAAAAGCGAGCTTTCGCCTGTGTCGCCTTTGTCGTCACAGGCAAACCAGACCACGGTAGAGAGGGTGAAGAGCGAGAATCTCTTGGCCCGAGGAACCCGCATGTTTTCGTCGAAATTCAGGTTGAAGAAGTCCAAGACACAGGTTTGAGTTGCAGTATTTGTTTTCTATGCGGTATGCAATATACGACGTAAAAGACGAGATTCCCGATAAGAGTGGTGTTGAATTTGGAAGCGTCAAAGTGGGATATAAACGACGGAAAGAGTTAAGGTTGCATATAACTTTAACAAGTTCAGTCGGGTGTTTGTTTCATTGTCGATCAACCCAGGAATTTCGGTGCCCCAAGTCGCCATTTCCGGCGTTTTGGGTGTCGTTGTCGTTGCCGGCCCCTTTAGCACCCGGCTCTTAAACCCTGACGCGATCGAAGGTACCGAATACGCCAATCTTTCACGATATCAAGCGCATCATGGATGGGGGCGTACCAGCTCCCTCTCTGTCCATCTTCTTCGTCACTTCACCACTCACGGGATCCTACGCTCCAGCTGGACATGATCATGAGCTTTCGTCACCGGATAATAGCGTACCGACACCATCTATAGATGTGAGCATTCCATTACGGAGTTGCCTCGCACGAGGCGAATACGCTTTGAGCTCCTAGATTATGAATTCTGTTGCTGTTTGAAATCACCAGGACAAAATTCCACGCTCCAGTCTTCCACTCCGCTTCGGAGTAGTCCCTAGTCCAGCCTCATCCGACAGCTGCTGACAGTCCTTGTCCATGCTTGCGAGAAGAGAAACCACGCCGAAACCTCCATCGATAGGTGAGCTGGGCCACTGGAGAACAGGGAAGAGAAAACCAACCGAACAGAAGCAATGGATTCAGAAGTACCAGCCAGATGTACCGGTCTCTCTTGATTGTGACTGCTCCCTTCTGGCTGCTCATGAGTCTGTTGTAAAGCCGTGTTGACCTTTGTGCTTCGGAAAGAAATTGGGCGGGTTGGGATCCCGAGTCTCTGGTCCCCAAAAACGCAACAAATCGTGCCTAGGCTGCTAGAGCTGGCGGCATCGCATCTTAACATTTGGGGTATGACTGGCAATATTGAAACCTTCCAGCAAGGTACCACTGGGCGAAGGAGCAGGGAGAAAGGGGCTGTCAGACTGGCGGACGAGAGAGTGGGTCAGCGTCAAGCCGAGACTCACACTGTCCGTGCAAAAGTCGGTAAAGATGGGACATGTACAGCCCAAAGTGCTCAGCCAAGAGTTTCGAACGTCATTTACTGATCAAAAATTGCAGTACAAGTACTAGTCTTCATGAGGCGGAGGATTGATACGGCGAGCCTTCACTGGACATCGGGCGCACTCCAAGCGATCAAAACACTCCCAAAGAAAGCGGCTATATGCTGGAGGCTCTGACTTTAAAGGTTAGCTGCCATATTTAATCGCCACATCGACTTCTCTAAGCCTCTGGCAACGTGATGCGACAACCCGAAAGGTCGAAGAGTGGCCTTGGTGGGCAAGTTTTCTGTGACCTGAATAAATTGCAACCTTGTCAGCACCCACTTCGCTTTGCATAGCTTTGTTGGACCAATCCTTTCCCCATATTTTTGGGAAGAAACGACTCAGGCGGCAACATCGATCCGCGACGAAGACATTCGCCAACAAAAATTCTGCGAGTAGTCTGAGAAGAGCTTCAAAGGGCAAGTGGCACATGGAGAATGAGACTCTGCGTTTCAAGAGAACTGCAACATCGCTGGAAAATTCAGACCCTGCGAGCCGTGTGCTATCAGGAGACAGGGGTTGAGACAAGAGTCGAGGACAATGGCGAAGCTTATGACAGCGACATGGATGATGGTTAAGAGGCGATGCATTGCGTGGAGTTGTCGACGGAGGGCTGGTTGCGATATCGAGCGAGTGTTGAGTCCAGTGTCCAGTGTCATCTTCCTCGTGTCTCGCTTATCCGGAATAGGCCAGCATTTTTGCCATACATAATGATGCACCTAGTCGTCTCCACCACCCTGCTGTTGACATCGAACTGGGACAAGTGGCTGGGCTCGATTTGCTCGCGTACGGTTGCAAGATACGTTGAACGTCTCCACCACGGCTGTATTCTGGAATTATCATTTGGCGCATCGTTGCAATGTGGTATCTGATCGCCAAACAGAAGAGTCTCAAAGCTCTCATTGTGACAGCACGGGCAAGCCCACAATAGCCAGAGCGGGTAAATGTAAAGGGAGACCGTTGGAAATGGTGATGGGGCAAAGGGCGATATTTCAATATCTGCAAAAGGCCAAGTCGGGTCGCGCATCGCATCGCTCGCTAAAATTGCCTACATTAGCCCTCGACCAGAGGCAGGGAAACAGCAGCTGATGATGCGCACAACCTGGGGCACCGCTTTCAGTGTTGGGTAAATTTTGGACGTTGCCGGAGTTGCTCTACAGAGATGGAGGAACAATCCGGTGTTCTTGGAATCTCTGTATTCCATGAGATTCGCCATACCATCGATGCCAGAGTGTCATGGTCAAGACAGAACCTGGAGACGGATAATTATGAGGCTCATTGGCACCTCTATCATCCTCTTCGGTGGTTCCATATGCTTGAATGGAACTTTGGCTCTGGAACAGGGTATGTCACTCTTCTTCTGCTTGCTTCGTACCAGTGCTCTCGACCAAAGGTTTCCTACTACTTCCCCATGATTGGGTGATGGCTGATCGCACGTGACAGATCCTCGCAAGAGGTGTGAAATATGCCAAGGCGCTAGTAACTGGGAATAAAAGCGGCATTCGGCACGCCCTCACTTAGTTAGCTACCAGTACAATTCCACTCGTTATCCGTGCTTAGTGTGTCTTTCTCATGCCAGAACATGAGGCGAAGGGCAGGTCGGAGCAGGTTGCCGGATTGGATGAAGATGCGAGGTAACCAGGCACATGACTCGAGCAAAAGGCCATCCAGTCGTCCAACCTTCGGCTGACTTGCCCTGGCACTGCTTGAGTGGGATTCCAGGTCGCTAAAGGCAGTCGAGGCCTTCTGCTAATGAACACTTGGGCGACACTAACTCGTTACGAAAAGTACCTGCGTCACGCGCGCAGACTCAACAACCAACATTTTGCCAAATCCATTGCTTCAAACCCACCAAATTTTCCTCACGCTTTTATTGCTTTTGACACTCTGAATGCTTTTGACTTCTAGTCCAGTTTTCTTTCTTCGATTCTCTAGATTGTCTGTTTCTCTCCGATCCTTATCTTGTCTACCCAAATCCTCCAGCCCCGTCAGAATGGACGGGCTCCGAATCAAAATGTCCGGCCTCACGCCCTACGTCAGGAAACACAAAGTCACAGTTATAGGTTCGGGCAACTGGTATGACCAAACCCTCACTGCCTGATCTTGGCTGACACAAGCAGGGGCTCAACTATATCCAAAGTTGTTGCCGAAAACACGGCGGAACACCCTGAGCTGTTCGAGCGAGATGTGCAGATGTGGGTGTATGAAGAGGAGGTTCAGCTGGACCAAAAATCGAAACATTATAATGAATCCTCAGAGCTGAGTCACAGGCCACAGAAGCTCACCAGGCTCATCAATACCTTTCATGAGAACGTCAAGTACCTCCCTGGAATAACCCTTCCCCATAACGTCATCGCCAATCCTTCTCTCACGGACGCCGTGAAGGATTCCTCGATTCTCATCTTCAATATGCCCCACCAGTTTATTCTGAACATCTGCAAACAACTTCGAGGTCATATTCTCCCTTTCGCTCGAGGCATCTCTTGTATCAAAGGTGTCAACGTTCGCGAATCTTCCATTAGCCTATTTTCCGAAACAATAGGGTCAGAGTTAGGCATATACTGTGGTGCCTTGTCCGGTGCAAACATTGCCAGTGAGATTGCGCAAGAGAAGTTCTCCGAGACCACAATCGCTTATGACCCTCCCCCAATGGATTCACAAGCTCCCACACCATCTACATCTCAAGGCCCCAGTCCGGCTTCTAGTCACGTAGACTTGACCAAGCTAGTTCATAAGGATGTATCGGGCAACCCGTCCAAAGTCAAACTTCGACCTCTTCCTCCCGAGTATCATGCAATTGATCATGACACGATCAAGAAGTTGTTCCATCGACGATACTTCCATGTTCGTGTTGTCTCCGACGTCGCTGGAGTGTCTCTGGGAGGGGCTCTTAAAAACATCGTGGCTGTTGCTGCCGGTTGGGTCGACGGTCTTGGTTGGGGTGACAATGCCAAAGCCGCCGTTATGCGAGTGGGCCTTCTCGAGATGAGAGAGTTTGGCAACCGGTTCTTCCCCAACACCATACAGCCAGATACTTTCACTGTTGAGTCAGCCGGTGTGGCTGATTTGATCACCACGTGCTCGGGAGGCCGAAACCATCGATGCGCCAAAATGAGTATTCAAGAAGGAAAATCCATCGAAGAAATCGAAGCAAGAGAGCTTAATGGACAGAAGCTACAAGGAGCTCTTACCGCTGTGGAAGTCAACACGTTCCTCAAGAGTCAAGCGCTGGAGAAGGACTTCCCTCTCTTCACTGCCGTCTACAACATCTTACAGGGCAAGGACAAAGTGGAACACCTACCGGATCTGATCGAACCGGAAGACGAGTAAGTTGCCAAAAAGAAACCCCGTTTCGATTGGTTTTATGTTTTCTTGTTTCCCATGACCGGGTCATTCGTTCAGTCGAGATATATTCACTCCTTCCTGGGAATGACTCGGATCTTGCTATATAGCACATGCGTCGGTGGAATGTCGAGCTATTTTATGTAAGCATGACATGATGCAATTGCATTGATTGATACCCCCCAGGGTTTGAGGGATGATGAGAGTTGGCATTCGAGTTGGCATTATTGGACTCAAAATCAGAGTGTTCTCGGTCTATGGATGGGATGGGATGGGATGGAACAGATGAGAGATGACCGGGGTGGGCACAGAGGCAAGGGCAGGACTCAGGACCATCCATTCATCATCATCACCCAAATTATGGACGAATTTCATTTCTCATCGTGATTTCTCTGTCTTGGGACCTGATGTTATGGTGTCGTTCGTTGACTGAGGTGTAGATAGGTCTACTACCACCCCCGCTACTGCTTCTAGCATATCAGCGCCCTCGAAATCCATTCTTTCGATCCCATCTGCTTCGCAACACCCTGTTTCCTTGACTTCTGAATCAAAAGACGCCACTTCGCCGTCACCCGAACCTGCTACTTCTTCTATTCCCGCTCCGACATCGACGTCCATCATGCAACCAGATGCAGATCCAACACAGCTTCCCCTTCCCCTGTCATCCACTCCGGTATTAACATCTTTCTCTACTACTCCCTGTATGTCGCCACTCCTGCCCGCCCCTCCCCTCGCCTCAGGCCGGTATAATCGCCAACTCCTCCTCCCCCAACTCCGGCTCTCAGGTCAACTCCGGCTCCTCGACGCCAAAGTCCTCCTCATTGGCCTCGGGGGGCTCGGGTCCCCTGCCTCCCTCTACCTTGCAGGCGCTGGAGTGGGGACCTTGGGCCTCATGGACGGCGATACGGTCGAGCTCGGCAACCTGCACCGGCAGATCGGGCACAGCGAAGCGGCCGCTCAGGCAAGGTTGTCGAAAGTACAGAGCACCATGCAGCGGTGTCGGGAGGTCAATTCAAGTATAAACTACGCCATGCACGAAGAGAGGGCTCGTGCGGAGAATGTACTCGAGATCGTGGCACAGTATGATCTCGTGCTCGACTGTACAGATAATCCGGCTACGAGATATCTCATTTCGGATGCGTGTGTGGTGCTGAGGAAAGTGCTGATTAGTGGTGCGGCGCAGAGGGGGGAAGGGATGATGGTAGTCTTGAATTCACCACCAATTTCTTATCGTCGGTCTCTTATTGACAGTGAACGAGAAACGGCGCGGGAGACGATAGAGAAGGGGCCATGCTACAGGTGCGTGTTTCCTCGTCCACCGCCCCCAGAGATGGTACGTGGGTGCAGTGAGATCGGCATTCTAGGCCCCGTCGTCGGCGTCATTGGGACATTGATGGCGAGTGAAGCCATTAAAATTATTGTTGATGGTGGACATTCTCAGCCGACCTCTGGGGCTGTGAGGGGTTTGGCGATTGGCCGTCCGGAACAAAAGCAAACACAAAATCAACCACCAGCACATATGCAAAGTGAGCAGAAGCAAAAACAAAAACAGGCAACAGGTCACACGATGCTTTTATACAACACATACTCCGCGGACCCACGCGGGATGTTCCGAACAATCACGCTGCGTGGGCGGCGGAAGGACTGCACAGCATGTGGGGATGACGAGGCTCTTGCCCGTAAGGGCTTGAACAGGATCTCTGCCGAGAACATCGCGCAGGGTCGCTTAGATTATCAGGCTTTCTGTGGCATGGAAGAGGATGTCAAGGTCCTCGGGGAGAAAGAAAGGGTTGAGGCAAGAGAGTTTCTTGACGCAATATATTCACATTCAAATTCGTCATATTTGGAGCAGGTCGAAGAGAGAAATGGATCTGCGAAGGAAAGCGGCAAATGCAGGGGAATAGTGATCGATGTCCGCGAAGAGCACGAGTATGAACTTGGGCCGAAAGTCCGAGGGAGCGTGAATATCCCGATGTCGCGGATCCAGAGGCTTGGAGGAGCGGCATTCGACGGTCTCGTTCTGGGTTGTCTGGATGAGAGGGTGGATGGAGGTATGGTGGATCAAGAGATGCATATTCCTGTCACAAAATGTAATGGGTTCCGCAACGCCGGGTTACAGGATGATGGACAATATCCACACGCTGAACTGTATCCCAACGGCGACGCAGAAGACATTAACGAGGAAGACCCGGAATCAGTATACTTCGTCTGTCAACGCGGGAACGATAGCCAAATCGCGGCGAAGAAGCTGATTGAGCGGATCAAAGCTGAGGCGGAGACAGCAGACAACGGTGTGTCGCCGATTAAAAGGAAGAAATGGGGATGGATCGGTGATGTCAAGGGAGGATATGTCGCGATGGAGAAGCATTTGAACGTATCATAACATTCGAGTTAAGACCTGGATGAATGATGGCAATGAAATCATTGCGATTTTGGTTGTGATACCCATCCGTCATCCTGCTATAGAGAGAAAGGTGAATGTACTCGAAATGACCGGTCTCAGAAGACCTGAAATCGACAAATCCCCTAGGCGTAACCAATCAGTCAGCTTTGCGTTCTGAATGAAATCAAAGCCAAAAATCTCGGAGCAGGCAGTTTGGTCGAAAAGCTTTAACAATCTCAGAAGGGGAAAGAAAGAGGTTTTCGCATTGACAAACGAGGAGTTCGCCTCGACCAAAAAAAGTGAATCAGCCAAAGGTGGTATCATCATGTGATTGTTTTGCTTGTAGCTGTAAGCTTTGCAAACGCCTCGACTCGACTGGACGAGTGTAGGACAGCAGGAAAGCGTGAGATAAAAGAGGAATGCGGTCGAGTCATACCTCTTGAATTGGACTTTTGGTCAAATGTCATCCGATGGTAGTTTATGGAACCTATATCAGCCCCTCATGGCTGCATACTTCGATAGCGGCAAATGTGTATCAATGGATAGAACTCGGAGAGCATGAGGACAAATTGGATAGCCTTTGCTCATAATTTGACATGGCATGCAGGAAGAAAAGAGGAAGAAATTGAGCACCAGAAAAAGTAAGGCGCCAAGGGAAATCATTTCACGTGATTGAGTTTTAGCCTCGCCATGCGCAGCCTCGTCCCCCAAGGGGTTGGCCACCGAGTGCTGAGAGCCCGAGATCGTAGCAGCCTGGGTAGGTCGATAGACCTTGCACAAGCGGAATCCCAGGCTGTCTTTGAAAACCTTGCCCGTGCCTATATTCATACCATTTCATATCTATCATTTTCCCCATTACGCGTTACTTTTGCATCAACGAAAATGGTCATCATCTAGATATCGGTCTTCATCAAGACTCCCGGCTCCGTGAAGAGTCTATCCTTGGTGGACTCTTGGATTTCCTGCTTGGATGGGGGGAATTGCTAATTCTGTTCAAGCCGGTACTTTCAGGCTGATATTCTCTTTACGCACAAAGCAAGCCAATGGGAAAATGTAGACTTACGATCTTCTCTTCTCACCTTCCCGTCTGAAATCGTCGATGATTCGTAGCATTTCCTTTCTCCCTGCAGCTGCATCCACCGTTCTTCCCCCAAGGCTCATACTAACTTTGGCATCTGTCCTCACCATCAACAATCTTTTGAGCAGCAGATGTCTCATGTTCAGGCAGACGAATACTCCGCAGTCAGATGAGTTGTCCTGGAGGGGACTATCGGTCAATTGGATAAATCGCAGGGGTTTGTTGATTAATGTGGCAAGCTTCCTCGTGACGTAGGCGGCTTCCTGTTGATTGCCTGGAGGCATGGAATCGTAGTGGAAGGCCACTCCATCGACGATCGAGACGAGAAGCAATGACCAATGTGTTCCACCCTCAGCCACAGTGACCGAATGATTGTCGTTGATGGGGAGGAATATGTGTGACACGTTGCTGAAGTCGGGGAGAGCATCCTGAGGAATTAGCGTCCCTGTTGATTCCTTCGATTTGGGAGTATACCTTTATCGTCCGAGGATCAGGTGTTTGCATGAGCATGAATGACATGGCCGGCCGAAGAAGTACAATATGGGAGTGCGTAAAGTTTGCGAGATACTCGCGTTCCAGGTACCTAAAGCATTCTTTTTGTCAGATATTCTTACTCATTGTAATCGCCCAACACTGTCATACTCTTCCCAGAACGCGATCACCTATATCCTCGTCAGTGTTTCTACCCCCCGGCAACAATCTGATATTCTCAAAACCAACATTGTCTGTCAACCAGTCACTTTTCAAAACCGATATATCTTCTCTTGTCACTATTCTCAATTCTCAGTGAGGATCGATGGGTGGGAAAAGAACAGGGACCGACACCGAACATCATAATCTGTACCACCACGGTTGGTTAGCGGAACAAGCACCCGAGCAGGAGAAACTCACAACTGAGGTAGGCATCTTCTGGGGCAAACTTTGGATCCATTGCAGTTAGCTATGATCTTCCGGAGCCAACTATGAACTGCAGACTCGACAAGATATCGACAGAGGGACACGATCGGGGCAAGGTAAAGCCGGAGGCCTGGGGAACAAACGAAACCAGGGACGCACGACATGGAATGCGGCGCACATACCGATCTCCCAAAAGCCCGACTCATTCGACCACCAAACGGATGGAGGTCCGGCATTATTGTAGTTTTGTCTAGTTCAGGCGTTCAGAGGTTGAGAGTCTTGCGTATCGAGCGTCGGGTGGACTGCGAGGGGGAAAAGGTTCCGTAGGCGGAGGAGAGACACAACGTCAGGCTGCGGTTTTGAGAGAACCGCGGAAGATGAAGTGCTCGGTTCACGGCAAATGCTTCCCTAGATCAAGCAACAAATAATAGAAAGAGGCTATTATTTCCTTCTTGTGGCCAAGGAGAGCTGGCGAACAGAAAGTCGTCGTAATATCCAAACTGTGCTTCTCGATTTGGTTCAGTTCAGCCTCATCGTCACCTCCCTCCTAGCCAACCGTTGGCCACAGTCAGGCCACAGCACCAATAAACAAAACATAGACTAGTACTAAATAGCTCGATTGTTTGTCCATCTGCCTCAGAGGATTCCACTGCGTTTCTGTCACCATTCATCCAACGACAAATTCGTCCCATCCACCGTCACCCATAATGGAGTAATGTACATTCGTTTCTTTCCTCTTTTTTTCCCCCAGGAACAGTTCAGCGCCGACCCCTAATCCTGTCCGCTTGAACGCTGAGGACCAAAAAAAAAAAAAAAAAAAAAAAGGAAGATCATCGCTAAAAATCCGACAAAGTTCCATCTCATCAATCCGTGAAACACATCCATGAGAAGGTGTAATGTTGCTTTTGTGTGGTTCAAACTCCTCTCGTCAAGCTGGTACGAAAAGAAATCTTCCCGATGGTCCTTTTTCAAGGCCAAAGACTACCCGGTCACGCTGTGTCCAGGTTTCCAAGATATTATCCAAAACTCGCCATGAAAATGTCATCACTTGGTGACTGACTGGTGTCCTGTTCCTCATCACACGTACGGAATCCATACGCATGACAAGGTATATCGAATCATGATTATTCTGCCAGCTTCGCAAAGTGTTTGTTCCAGATCCACCCAATCTCTCTCGTGGCATCATCTTGGTTGATGGCTAGCCACAATTCCCCATGTTCAGCAATCACGTCGAAAATTTCCCCCGTGACGTAGGTGAGATAGCGGAAGCCACCTTGCTGCCGGGATCGGTCAATATTAAATTCATAAACACTGGCAGCCGTAAACAAAACTCCCGGTTCTCTTCGAGGCTCACGCTGCTCAGGCTCTCTTTCAGGTTCGATACCATCTTCCATTGGCATGGCCGACGAGAAAATGCTTCCCCCGCTTGTCGGCAAATGAGATTGCGATTGACTAGGACCTGGAGAGGCTGAATAAAATGTTGACATCGAGGTATGTTTGACTGCCGCAGGTGATTCCGTCAAAAGAGGCCCAATCGATGGCGAAGGTGTTTCCAGACTGAGTCGAGGCGCAGGCCGTGTGTGGTCTTCTGATTGGCCCAGGCTAGTACCTGGTCGGGAAACATTCGCACTATTAACAGTGTGAATTGAGGCAGCAACAGTTCGACTGCTCGTCTCCGGCATCCTGCCAGACATCGCCGAAGGAGCACGAATCCGTCCGTTCACGTGCGTCGCTGAACTCCAGTCGGTTGGATCTTCATTTTGCGAACTGAGTGGACCACCGCTATGTCGACGATACTGTTCCGTCATCAGCCCTTGTGTCCCATCATTACTCATTGAAACTGATCGATTCATGCCGCTGTTCCACGATGCTTGGCGAGGCGAGTCGTCGCCTGTCAGAGTCGATCCCGGAGTCAAGAAAGATAACATATTGACCGCGTCGGCCAACAATGATCCGTTGCAGATACTCAAGGACAATGCCGACGCCTCTTGATAATCGAAATCTTCTTGCCAATCCTTGACGATATCGGCCTTGTCGAGTTTGTCCAAGGGAATTTCCATGGCCGCTGAGAATTTTTGCTTGCACATTGCCAGCCAATTAAGATGAAGTTCGAGAAGGTTGGCTTGGCAAGAGTGCACCAGATCGGCGGTCGCGCGAAGAAGTCGTTTCATTCTCTCTTTGGCTTCCAGGTTAAGAGCTTCCCATTGTTCCATGCGCTCTGTCATCTTCTTGTCAATCTTCTCGCCTTTGTCCTTTTTGTTCTTGAATTGATTATAATCAAGAAGTCTCTTTTCTCTCTTCTGGATCAGTCCTTTAGAATCGCTTTTGAATTTCTCTAGTAACGGTGTAGTTTTCTCCATAGGCTGTAGCACTCGCTTCGTCACTTGATCAATGTGATCTGGAAGGGCAATCGAGTTGATCCCTCGAACAACTATGGCGAATTGTCGAAGCTTGCTTTCGGCTTGTGCATAATTGGTATGTCCAACATCAACCCACGCTTCTGCAGCCGCGGCAAGCTCACACATGCGAGTGACCCATTCTTTGATGGCTTCAATGTATCCCTGGCAATCTTTGTTGACCAGAAATAGGTGAGCAATGTTGTTGTCATAATTGATCTTCAACTTGGCGTATTCCCCGTCTTCGTACATTTCGTTAATGCCGACGTGTTGTCTCAGTTTTTCTGCGCGACGACCGAATGCCTTCGTAAGACCATTTCGGACGTCCGATTCCTTTCGCTTCCTATTGAGAACCTGATCGACCAGTTCAGTGTGCTTCTTGACCTCATTAATGCGCACGTTAACTTCGGAAATTTCTGCTGCCGCTCTTCGAAGAGGATTGATATCAGGGTGGGTGTCAGGGGTTGCTTCCAAAAGTTGGTGCAGTAAAAGAGGATATTTCGTGATGCGTTGGATCGGTTTGACAAGAAGTGCATCCAGACTCCAGGCGTTAGTGATGTCAGTCGAGTTTTCACTGCATTCCTTAAGCCACTGTCGTACTGTAGAAGATGATTGTAGAGCCTCTAGCCTCTTATTAGCGGCATGCCTAGTTCTGATATAGTCAGTGTACACTTTCTCCATTTCGGGCATCCCGGCTTCGAACGCTTCACCAACAGTCGTTTTCTCATCTTTTTGTGCATCGGTCATCTCAATGAGATCTATCGAAGCATTGGAAGATTGCGCCGTGGAAGCCCGGTCCCCGTTCTTTCGTCGGTCGGACTTCTCCATCACATATGCTGGGTATACCACCTGTTTCAGGTATCCAAGGAAGTCCCTCGAAAACTGCTGGACAAGCTCCACATTTCCAAAGATGATCTTGATGTCTTCATCGCTTATCACCGTCTCGGCGGTTTGTTTATAAATATCACACAGAACTCTCATGTCTCTTTCGTAGGTATACTCTGTATCAACCAATTCCTTGAGAACGTGCCGTCTTTGTTTCAGGCGACGATGTTCGGGGCTCTGGTCTTCCACGGACGGTCGGGTGGTGCTAGAGCTTGATGGGACCACTTGCTGATCGAGGCTTGATCGAGCGGATATTTGGGACACCGCAGTAAGCGGCCGCGCAGGTGGAGGTGGATGCGCCATGACTGATTTGATGCCAGCAGGAGCAGACCAGGTTTGATCGATGGAAGGCCTTTTTGCAACTGGTGGAGGCGGTGGCGAGTGGGATGGTGGCCGAGGTATATTTGGATCAGCTGCTAGTGGTGTCGGTTCACTCATTTGATTTGTATGATCGGTGTGCCCTTGCCCTGGTGGCTCGAGCCCGTCATGTAGAAATGTTTCGTGAGTAAGAGAAGATTGCTGGTGCTGTCGTTGAGCATCCGTTGGTGATTTAAGGGCAAATTGCATCCAATCCCCCACCGATGGCGAAGTTTCAGCCCAATCTTCTGCACTATCCAGGCTGGACTTGTATTTATGAGATCGATAACTTTGCGGCGGTGGATGAACCACATGGTCGGAAGAGGGAAAGTCAGCAGACGCGTGAGATATACCGGCCTTTTCACCAGCTGCATCACGTCCTGGGCCAGGGTGAAAATATTGAGCCGATCGCGGACGTAACGGCTCAGACCGATCCCATTGACTGTGGTACTCGTCGAGCTCTTGCAAACATAAGCGGACAACCTTCTCTTCATCCACGTTCTCTGCGTCCGCCAAGTCGGGCGAAGCTTGTATAATACGATGATAGATGTCATCCACAAGCTGTTGATCAACAACCCCAGAAGGCGTCTGTTGCTGCAAAACAAGATTCACGATGGTGTAAGCGTCACTCGCGTAGTTCTCTCCGTGCGCGTCATCCTGGATGCCAGAGTGGGAAGACTCGGAAAGTGAATCAGAGTGAATATTATTGGCAACCTCCTCGTCTTGCCGTGGTGTCACTTCCGGACCCGAACTGGTCTGTTCTCTCGTTTCCGATTCACGCTGATCTTCTATTGAAGAGCTCCACGAGCTTCCCTCATTACTTCGTGAGAGTGCCAGCTCCGGCCCCGCCGTCGGCGCAAAAGGTCGATAACCTTTTTCGACAGCTTCGTCATCGTCGAGATAGGTGGTCTCCCGGAGCATCAGGTGAACAGAAACCTCATCGGCATGATCGGAGTTTTCACCAGACACTGGTGAAGTTGAAGACAAAGGGGAATTGGAACTTTGACTTCGGAGAGTGTTAATCTGACTCAAGAGCGATTGGCCAGGTGTCTGAAGCCGTGTCGCATCGGTTTGCGGCTCTGCATCAATCATCGTGGCTTCGGTAGCCTCCGTTGCCATAGTCCCTTCTGTAACCGCAGAGTATGGCTCCTGTTCATCCCTCCGGGGGAGCAAATGCGTGTCAAGTGTTAACGGAATGCTGTTGAAAGCAGCCTCGGCATGGCCAAGAGTTGGCGAGTCTATGTCTTCCACAACCTTCAAGGCATTTTGAGTAAATGCTCGTTGGTCTCCTGCCTGCCCCTGGATAGGGGAATAGAATGATCGCTCGTCGGGCGTGTCCATTACGGCCTCGTTCACCACAACTGCAGGAATCTCCGTATGTTCCTGCACACCTTGATCGGGCCGATCAGGTCCTTCAAGTGAAGGGGTCACGCTGTTGGTCCGGCTCGTCGATCGGGTTTCGATTCCTCCACCTCTTAATTCTTGCCCCTCTCGTGACCTACTCAATGCTTGAGTAATTTTCAGGCGACGAGCTTTCAAATCAATGTCACTAAGTTCGGGGGGTCGTTGACGTCGGTAGGTCTTCTGCTCGCTTTGTTGCTTAGCCATTGTTTGGAATTTCTCTGCCATCTTTGCCCGAGATGCTGCCGTTGTGGCAGAAGACACCGGCAGTCGAGGTCTCGAACTTCTCAAGGGTGGTGAGATTTTCGGCGGAGGAGCGATAATGTTGGCCCGCAGGGAAGGACTCTTTTCCCCCGTTGCCGAACCAGTAACTCGGGTCCTTCTGCCTGGGCTCTTGATCTGCATCGGAGAGTGTGGTCGCCGGCGCGGACTCGGCGGTTTTCGATCTCCAGATGGCGAAGGGCCTGATGAGGATTGTCCACGATCAGGTACGCGCAGGGGCAGTTGAGAAACAATGGCAGGATGGTTTGCGGAGGAGATCGTGGCTGAATCGGAAGCCATTCGGTGATGTCGAGTACTGACCGGAATGCGAGATTGCGCGCTTGACTTTGCCAATGGCTCTGCCTGATGTTTTGACGTGGTGGCCATGCCCATCAGGGACGGGCTCTGACTCTGTCGCAAGAATGTCTTTGATTGCGGTCCTGTGAAATCACTGTTCGCCCTCCGGTGTTTACGGCCACTCTGTGACTGGCTGGGGCTTTGCGGGCGCCGGGTTGTTGCTTCTCTCTGAGACTGAGAAATTCCGTCGTTTGAAGGAAACATTGGATTAGGGCTGTGCATCGGAGAACCTTCCGAGCCACGTCTCCGGCGTGCATTGTATATCCCATAGCCAGCAGCGGGGACGTTGGATGTTGATAGAAGTACTTCTCCGAATAACAATTTACGGCCAGGTTCTGGGGCTTCAGGGTTGCTCGCCCCTGGACTTGGGCCGGCAGTAGAGGAAGAACCCCTCGGACGACTGGATTTATCATTTGACGGAGCTCTAATTCCTGTTCTGGCAGAAGTAGTTGGCATTCTTCTGGAAGATTCAGATAGCCTCGATGCTGGCTGCTTGGGTTGCGGAAGACTACTCCCATAGGAGTGAGAAGTATCCATAGGAGCATAAGGCATGGGACTCGCAGTTCTCGAAGCAGGGCGCGAGATTTGCTGTGTGGGCAAAGACGGAACGTCACCCGGTGACGCATCGAAACGGGCCACGAGATCTTTGAAAGAGGTTTTCCTTGATCTCAAAACGTTCGGCATCGTCGTGGAAGGTTTGGTCTGTCCATTGTCCCAGTTCCCATTCGATATTCGTTGCGTATTCACAGATAGTTTGTGAGCACCGACAGAATTTCGAGCTGCTCGGGAAGCTTTATCCTCATCGGATTGGGCTGATGCGAAACTGGATTTTCGAGCAGCTATAGGATGCTCATCTTCATTGTCCAAAGCCGTTGTACGTATCGCTTCTTGGTGTAGGGCAACTGGGGATGAATTTGTGAAGGGATCCTGATATTGCCGATAGAATTCATGTGGATCGTTTGTCACGTCTTCACTCGGAGCAGTATCCAGTCTCGGGTTCGATTTCGACGCTGTGGTGAAAGACGAGTTGCGAGAGCGTTGAGTGACAGGTTGGGAGGGTGAGTATGCGGTTGACGGTAAGAAGACGAGAGATCGATTGGGAGACTGGGCTTGCGACGGAGAATTTCTGATCTGATCGGGCAAATTGGTCTGCGACTGTGAGGATTGTCGACGATGATGGGCGGCATAATAATTGTTCTGGCTCGACACCGCGGAAGGCATCTCGTCCGGACAGTGGATTGTAAATGTCACCCAAGTCACGCAGAGGCCTTCCTTCTTGGACGGTGATGACTATCGCGTAGATGCATGGCCCGAGCCCGGCATATCTAACCTCAGTTCTTCTGCTGTCGCACTGAGTCCTGTCCAAGCGTTGTACTTTGGTGTTCCTTCTCTTGTGCAAAAGACCTGTGTGGACTGGGTCTACTTTCAAGTTACTCCAGACGTGCCAGTTCGATCGACTTCAGATCGACTTCACAGAACCTGGCTGCGACAGAATGGGTGAGGGTAAAGTATGTCGGAGACCGTTATAGGATCACGAAAGGCTTTGGAAGTCGCAGGTGACGCCGGAGTCTGGTGTCGTTTCTATACTTGTTCAGGTGCGGGAGGACAGATCAGAGGTTTTGTCGATCAGCCAGCATGATGTCGAGGAACTAAGATGCGGTATAGGTCGAACGAAGGGAAGCGTAGTAACTGTTGATGGTGAGTGCAGATATCAGGTTACGAGTTGGGTCTGTCGAAGTTGGCGTTTGGTGTTCAGTGTTCGGAATGGGGATGCCAGCAAGATGCCAGCAAGATGGCTTTTGCAAGGGGTGCGCAGGGTGAATTGGGGGGGGGGGGGGGGGGGGGGGGGGGGGGGGGTGCGTGCCGCGCTGTCTGTGACTTGACGGATTTGGTCATTGTGGGCAATTGGGCTACCAACTAGCGAGGGCATCGACTTGCGAGTATACTTGTACTCCGTAGACAACAGAGTCTCGTGTGCATTGTACTGCAGGCCCTGAGAACTAAAACATTTTGTCTCCACCAGGCGCAAGCATTCCAGGATGCGAATTGGGCATTGGTCGTCCAAATAATAGGCGAGAGTTTGCTCTGGGAATCTTCAGGGTTCCAACGGGGAACTCGTGCCCATTTTTGGTGCCCAGCAAAGGAGAAGAGAATTTAACAGAAAATGGCGATTTTACTAGGTCTATCTACATAGCAACGATTCAGACACTGTCTCGTTGATCATGAGCAATCTGAGACACTGTGAATAACATAGCCGTCCTAAGACTCCAGAAAGTCTATGCGGTGTACTGCTACTCACAACAGATACGCAAAGGGTACTTCCGTGGTACTTTGGAACTTTTGCCATACCAGTGCACCTCGCCTCCAGACCTGCTGGCATTTATCCATCCACTATCGAAACCCGGGCCGCTGGTTTCCTCTGTTCCCGGTCCAAGCCCTGTCAACGCACCGAAACAGAACTCCACTAATCAGGGCATCCCTACCAACGACAACCTTGTCTCTTCTGATCCGAGACACGGTCGATCATTCGTGCTCGACGACTCGAGTCTACGCGTTGCTCACGTCGCTACGCTTCGCCATTCGCAGCACACCCTTTTTCTTTTTTCACCTTCGAATGCATTTCGCCTACGGATCTCTAGAGTGCCAATAAATCCCTCATGGATTTTGTGCTTCTCATCACATCCCTGTGCGGTCTGAATCAATTAACTCCTCCGATAAACGATAAATGTCTAGCTAAAATAACCCCCTTTGCCCTCTAAGGCATGCTTGCCAGTCACTCCCTCAGGAGTCAGGCCCTTGGCGACAGAGATCATTGACAACATTTGGAACGCGTTGACCCAAAACCTTCCTTGCAGAAAGACACACTTTTGTATCTCGTGCTTTGGTGCCCATGACGAAGCGAAAATACCCCAACAACACGTCCGACCGTCCTGCCAAACTCCGTCGGACATCCAATGGGAAATCACTCTCCAGAAACAGAGATGGGGCAGCAGCTTTGCCCAACGTCCGCCATGCTGTACTTTCGACCTTCTATCCCAAGGTTTGCGCCTTGAGGGACTACCTTCTGGCAAATTTGCCTTCCACCTCTCGCGTTCGACGCCGAAAATTGACTTCATATGGGAGGGACGAGGAAGACTACGTTCTCGACACCTGCTTGGTTGGTGTCTTGAAAGAGGCATCGCCGGATGTTAAAAAGACCCGTAAGGACGACTTTGCTACGTTTACCCAGAGCCAGCAACGTGCCACTGGGACTCATCATGCTCGAACTCAACGATGTAGCATAAAAGAGGTAGGACATTCGTCTCTTCTGTGCAGTCTACGTGAAACTTCGGTCTCACTGACGTAACTTCAGATACTCGACTTTGTGGTTTGGTTACTCTTTAGATCCAATGGCACCAAAGGTAACAGACCTCGTCACATTCTGTGTCATGGTCTGCGAAGGGCTTCGGTTCACCACAGCCATGGTGACTGTGATGGGGGTGGGAAGCCGATATTCCTCCCTGGGATTGTACAACAACATGCTACTGAAAGCCTGAATCAATTCAACTCCAGCCCTTGGACGGATATTCTACCGCTTCTTGGAGAAGATGCCGTGGTCATTTTCTCGAGCCTGTTGCTCGACTGTGGTGTCTTCACCAGGCTTCCCGGCAGCAATGAAAGCTATATTCAGCTGAGTGGAACACCAATATCGGATCTCCCACAACATTCCCCATCACAATCTCGTCCAGGACTGTCGGCCAACAAACAACAGAAGGCAGTCCTACAACCAGCCAGCATTCGTTTTGTGAGAAATCGGATGCTCTACGGAAAACCATCCTTGAATTCCAGTGGTAAGGTCAAGTTTGGATTCAATCATGCTCATGCTTTAGAAAGGTTGTCAGACGCAAGTCGACAGCCCTGTGCTATTCATCTTTTGAAATATGTCTTCCCGCGCCAATTTGGTCTACACAACGTCTTTACCTCGACAGTCGATTCGACAGAATCCACAAAACAATTCAAGGACTATACCTTCCGCGAATTGGAGATTAATGGCGAAGCCAAAAAGTCCTCGAGCAAGATTCCTCGCCGGCTGCGTGGCGAAGCTATCCAGCTCGTTCAAAAGATCCAGAGAAATCATATGCGTTGCTCATACAGCCAACTCCTTAGGCATTATTGTCCGATTTTGTCCGCGTGTCCGGAGATCTCTGTGCCATCGCTGAATATGAATCACATTTCGGTTCCTGGCTTAGAGCCAACGGTAACGCAGATTCTAGCTCCAGATGCGTCAAAACCATCATACGGCACGCCTTCCGAGCAGTATGACAGTAATTCTGCATTCCTGCCACACGCAAGTCCCCCCGCAAGAGTTTCGGCATTCTGTCGATCGGTCATCTCACATCTGCTCCCCAAGGATGCATTTGGTCGTGGTATCGATGGCCTTCACAACCGTGAAGTGATCATGAAACGAATTGAAGAATTCGTCCAAATGCGCCGATTCGAATCGATGACATTACATCATATCGTTCAAAACCTTCGATTCAGCGCAGTCACCTGGCTTTCGGCCACACAAAATCTCGATCAAAAGATGTCCAAATCAGATTACTTGAAGCGTCTCGAACTTTGGTACGAGTTCATGTACTATGTTTTCGACTCGCTATTAATACCCTTGATCCGCGCCAATTTTTTTGTTACTGAAAGCAACATTCATCGTAATCGATTGTTCTATTTTCGCCACGATGTATGGAAAAAATTGTCGGAGCCCAGCCTTGCGGTATTGCGATTGAATATGTACGTCCCGATCAAACCCAGTCAAGCTCGCCAGACCTTGCAGTCAGGAACTATGGGCTACAGTTACCTGCGCCTGCTTCCTAAGGATCAAGGCTCGAGGCCAATCACGAACCTGAAACGTCGACCGATGAAGGTTGGCGCCGGACGGCGGACCTTAGGGAAGAGCGTGAATAAGCAACTTGGGCCTGTATTCAGCGTCCTAAATTTCGAGCGTGGACGTGACCCTACGCCCTTGGGCTCAGCCTTGTTGTCAGTGGGAGACATTCATGACCGACTTGCGCAGTTCAAAAAGATGATCCCTCCACGATCGCGTTTATATTTTGCCAAAGTCGATATCAAATCGTGCTTCGATAGCATACCCCAACGACATCTACTCGACCTCGTCAGATCGCTATTTAGAGAATCGTCATACCGGACCACCGCATATTCTCAATTCAAGTCCATCGAGGGCCGCCATCAGTTCGAAAACGGAGGACTGTCGCGTCGCTTTGTAGGGTTAGCCTGTCCTGCGGACGGTACTTCGGCCTTTTTGGAATCGTCCGCCCCCTCTCTGGCTGCCAGGAAACGCAAAGTGATCGTCGCTGACACTGGCAATCACCAGGTCTGGACTCAGAGATCGTTGTTCAGTCTCCTTGAAGAGCACATTGGGAACCATATGGTCAAGATTGGGAAGAAGCACTTGAAACAAACGGACGGGATTCCACAAGGCTCGGTGCTAAGTAGCATTCTCTGCAGCTATTTCTATGGATCGTTCGAGCGTAACGAACTGGCATTCTTAGATCCCAGGTCATCTTTACTTTTACGGCTGATTGATGATTTCCTTCTGGTGACGCTGGATGATGGAGTGGCGCGACGATTCCTAGAAGTCATGGCCAACGGTGACAAGCGGTATGGCATATCAGTCAACCCTGAAAAGTCCCTCGTAAATTTCGATGTTTCAATCAAGGGCCAGAAGGTTCCTCGCCTACACGGCAGCACATTTTTCCCATATTGTGGAATGGGCATCGAGATGAAAACACTGGAGCTGAGGAAAGATCGCGGGAGAAAAGATGCATTCGTCAGCAATACGCTGACGGTGGAATCTAGCTCGAGGCCAGGAATGACATGGAGAAGGAAGATTCTGTCCTTCCTGAAACTGCAGATGCACGCCATGCTACTGGACATGTCTCTAAACAGCAGAAAGCAAGTGATTTCCACTCTGTTGGGAAATATGACCGAATGCGCCATGAAGATGCATCAGTACGCGGTCAGCCTCCCACGAGAGAGCCGACCGTCCCAAGAACTGATCAGAAGCTTGATTGAAGAGTTGGTGTCAGCTGGGACGAAAATTTGCAAGTTCAAGAACAACGACAGTCGGCCGATCAGACGGACTCAAATGTGTTGGATCGCGGCCACAGCATTTGAGAGAGTGCTATCGCGGAAACAGAGCCAGTACCAAGAGGTTCTAGTCTGGGCGAGATCATTGCGAGAGTGTACCGAAGCCAATATGAGACTTGACCGGAAGACCTTGGGAGATTTGCTTGCAGAGAATGAGAAGTCGTTCCGGGGATATGTATATTAAGGAGTACTCCGTACTGGTAGTATTGGACTCCGTCAATCAATGCTGTGTCTGTCCGAGCATGCATGCACGCCCTGACAACGAAGTAGGCCAGTCTAGCAGAAACGTCGTTGGAGGAAAATCTGTCTTCAGGTTTAATAGACGGGCAGCCAGTCAGGTGGTGGTCTATCATCTGCGCCAGCCACCAACAAGTCCGTCTACAGTTCCTCACCCTCCATCATTTTAATCAGCAACTGAATATGTCTCTCTCTTCAATCTTGCTTTCTCTCTCTCTCATTTCCATCAGATCACTCCTCAATCAACCCCACGATTAATGAATGATACCCCGACATTTGCCACGCTTGGCAGCCCCCGAATTCTTTGGATACCGCCTGAAACAGCCACACTGCATCAGATTGCGATCAAGCCCTTCGATTTGGCCCATTTGACGACCTTCTTCTTACTCCGGCGAGTCACGAACCCTGCGCTTGAGCCTTCGCCCGCCTGCGACATCTCTCCCTTTTTTACTTGAAACACACCCGCGACCGGATCTGAGCAACACCCGCCGTTCAAGGCTTCAGACGCTATACAGAGTACATAATATCCCATCTCATCCTCGCGCCGGTAAGATCATCCACAATTGCATCAAGATCAAAGAATCAAGATCACGGAGAAAGATTTATTCAAAGTCCGGCACGAGCAGTGGGTCAGGACGGGAAACGCTGTCCATCCCTTGAAACCTCCCCAATCGATGTGGCCGAAAAGTGCAGGAAATCCTGCCAACCCCCCTTTCCAGGCCTGGAATTTTCAGCACATGTCCGCCACTCAGTCGCCATGGAGGAGCCCCTAACACGGCCGGCTTTTCCCTATATTCAGTATAGCTCATCGACGGGAGCAGGGCCAGCATCCTGTCAACTGTCAGCATCATCATCATCAATTCCACCAATCGTCCCAGGGGCTGGACCATTGGAAACGCTCCCTCTTGGCGCTCATCAAGCTTCCACTCTCGAGTTTGCTGGTCTTGATCAAGTTATTCTCCATCACGACAATGCCCTCTGGCGCATATCGACGCTCGTTTCTCCAGACTCTACAAGACTTGAGCGAACAGAAATAACATTACGCTCACGCGCCAACACCCATGATTACATTGCCCCCAATAACAACTCCCGTCCGCCGGAAATTAATTGCCCACCTCTCGCTGTGGACCTCCTCGAGACCTCCAAAAACGACCACCAAGATCGCGACATTCTAGATGAATTATCCCCGAACATAGCACAAGACTCACGCTCGAGAATACGCTCGCTAACCTCCTTACCCAATGCCCGCATCCTTACCATGACCACAGCCACCACCAGTGCTCCAGGGTCACCTCCTGACTTGTCCGGGTCTCGCTCCTCGAAATCCTCATCGTATTCCTCTACCTTTTCCGGTCCCGATGGCTTGGAGTCAGATATCATCAATTTTGAGGAGATTGGGCTAGAAGACGAGAAACATACTCCTTCGGGCAGCTATCATGTGCGCGATATTTCAGTGCAGTCGGTTAGTTCGCAACACGAATTGATGAAGGCCAAGGAGTCAGGCTCGAGAGAGAAGAGGCCCACGCTTCCACAACTTCAGACACAAGTCAGAATATCTAGCCAGAGGCAAGAATCAATGCCACCAAGAGCAATGGGTTCTAGAATGGCGGCCATGAAGCGCGGATTTACCAGTCCCGAGTCATTCTATCCGAGCAATGCGCGGACAAGATCTTCCTCTCCTCCCAATCGAAGGGCCCTTGCCTCCGCTTCCACCACATCTTTGAGTTCGGGCGGTCTGCGACCGATCCCGCAATCTCCCGCCACATCGCTTGGTTTGCCTTCGAGGCGGGCTTCATGGCAACCACACAGAAAGACCGTTAAAGAATTGGAGGCCGAGTATCATGACTCGGATGATGAATTACCAGACGACGCCAGTCTTTGGAATGTCCCAGTGTCTCCATTTCCCTCCGGACCGAGCTCACACCGGTCCAGTTTTCGCGGTAGCCCGGAACGAGATCAGCCAGCTCAGAGTCCTCGACCTATACCTCTGGCACATGCCAAAACAGCTCCAGAGACTCCTCCTCGACCTACGCTGCATTCACAAACCTTGCCGAAGAATCGACCTCCGCCTCCACGAGCAGTTTCTCTGAACGTTTCAGCATCAAATCCCTCTTCCCCTCGCCAGGCTAACCATCTGCGCGATGGGAGAACGAAGTCTTGGAATCTTGCAGTGGCCGACTTGAGCGAAGAGGCCAAGATTATATCAGAGGCACTCGAATACCATGCCGGTACTAAAGAAAAAGAAAGACGTGATAGCTTCCGAGGAGGATCTTCGCATGGAAGTTTAGAGACCCGGGTGGAGCGAAGCTCACGCGTGTCATCAATCCAATTGCCCCCCATCCAAAAGGGTGCTTTGGACTTTATGCCCATTTCCAAGGAAAAGGAGGCTATCCTGTCAAGGACCAGGCCATCGTGGTTGCCACCCAAAGACCCAAAGGAAGAGCGACGACATTTGAAAGAATACCAGCGCATGATGGCTGCATCAATGGAGGCGGAAAAGAAACGGCGCACAAAGCTGCAGGTTCAGCAATGTGAAAGGGACGATACCCGGGAATCACTGAATCGAATCTGGCATTATTATATGGATGAAACCACTGATATCACCACGATTGACACGCGCGTCAACGGCCTTTGCTGGCGAGGGATCAGCCCCAACCTTCGGGGCAAAGTGTGGCAACGATCCATAGGGAACCCTCTTGGACTGACGGTGAAAAGTTACGAGAAAGCACTGCAACGTGCAAAGGAGATTAAGAGACAGCCGAGCGACCAGCTTGACCGTAACGACAAGAGCATGGGACGATGGTTTGTCGACATTGAGAGGGATGCTGAAACCGCGTTCCCCGAACTCAACCTGTTCCAAAGGAACGGCCCCCTTTGGCAAGATTTAGTGGATGTTTGCGAAGCATATGCATGTTATCGGAGTGACGTGGGATATATTTATGGGATTCAACTTATCGCCGCATTACTTCTGTTACAGTTATCTACGCCAGCAGATGCCTTTATTCTTCTAGCAAATTGTTTGAACCGGCCGATTCCATTGGCCTTTCAGACGAATGACACCACCACGACTGGTCGAACTTACAATCATGCCGTATCGACTGTGAGCATCAAGTTTCCCCGCCTCCATGAATATCTCTTTGGCTCCAAGGAACAGGGCGGTCTAGGGTTCAGTGGAGAGGAAATCTTTGAACCAATGCTCCGGACCATCTTTTCCAATGGCCTTGACGTTGACCGGTTATGCCGAGTTTGGGATATCTGGGTCTTCGAAGGTGACCGAACGTTGGTTCGGGCGGCCGTCGCAATACTGGGAAGTCTCCAGTCTCAGCTGTTCGACATCCGAGGTGACATTGATTTGAAGCGGCGCAATATTCAAGAAATGCTCGGATGGGGTCCCTTCAATCGACAACCTCACTCCGGTCATTGGAATCTCCAAGCCATGGGAGATGAAGAAAAGTTTGTGGAAGAGGTCAGACTTGCAGGAACACTGGACTATACGGGTAAGTGAATATAATGATGAGGGATTATACAAATATTGTACAGATGACCATTCGAAAAGACACATGAAGGGGAGAAGTCGACCTTCTTTTATGGTTTGGGGGCTGCAACTTTTTATTATTGATGAACTTTTTTTTTTCATGATGAGCTGGTTGTACCCGAGTGAAACAAAGCTGTCCATCTGTCTGTTTTGATTTTGTCGTCGTCGGCCAGAACAGAACATTTGCAAATTTGTTCCGGGACTGGTCGTTGAGTATATTTTCTTCCTTACGAGATCAAGATCATGATGAGACGGATTAGATTAATTCAACGGCCAAATATATATATATATATATATATGTCAATCTTGTATATCTCTACCCATCTTGTGATCTCTTGGTTTCTCACAGGCTTACCATCTACGCTGATCCTGTCATGGCCAACTGAAGAGGGGACGAGGCCATGAGGCGTCCAGCGTGAGGCGTCCAATTTCAATTTCCAAGTCAGCGGGCTGCATTCGCCAGAAGATGGTCATCCTCCAAATCCGAGTCCGTCCGAATGCGGGTTGTGTTTTCACTCGGGGCTCTTTTGGACTTGTACCATATATGGATAACTTTGGTTGATGTCTGCTCTACCGAATTTTGAGTCATGAAATCCTCGAGCAGGGCTAGGTTATGCGGCTTATCAAAGGTAGGTTGCCATATAACAGCCTTCCCAACTTATGTCCTGGTCATTGACCTTTATCACCAGCAAGGCAGCACCTAGCAGGGACCTCCAACCAATTTGAGCCAGATCGAGTGGAAGAAAAGGGATCGTCAACATACTTTAATCCAGGTTTTGACCAGAGGTCTCGGACCACGATACCTCATCGTCGACTCAAAACGAACCTCCACCACTAAGAATGGTCCACCTCATTCTAACCGGTGCCACCGGCCTCGTTGGCTCGGCCGTACTATCACACATCCTCTCCCTCCCAGCCAGCAGTACACCGACCATCACACGACTTAGCATTCTCTCTCGCAACACAAAGATCCCGCTTCTCTCGCTGACACCGCCTCCCGGCACGCCCTCCGTCAACAAACACACGCGTATCGAAGTCATCGAGCACAAGGACTTCGCCTCTTACCCTCCCGAGCTACTCGACAAACTCAAGGGCGCCGACGCCTGTATTTGGACCCTAGGCGTAAGCCAGAACGATGTCAGCAAAGACCAGTTCGCGCGTATCACGCGAGATTTTGCCCTTGAAGCAGCAAAGGCATTCTCTTCCTTACGCGACCATAGCGCAAAAAGTGACGGTGACAAGAAGACAACCTCGACCGCGCCCTCGCCATCGGATTCGGGTTCTTCTTCAGACGCAAAGAAATTTAAATTCATCTACGTCTCATCCGAAGGCGCCACAACGGCTCCTAAACCCTGGACACCCCTTTACTGCCGCGTGAAGGGAGAAACGGAACGAGCATTGCTGGCCCTCTCTAAACAGAACTCCTTCAAGGACTGTCTGGCAGTCTACTCTGTCCGCCCGGGCGCCGTGGACGGACATAACGAGCCGTGGCTGTGGAAGGGGATTCTGGCGGAGAAGCGCAGTGCGTTTCAAAAGTTTTATCTGCCGACGTTGATGGTGCCGATCCGTGCGGTGGGAGGGACCCTGCATACCCCGACGGAGGAGTTGGGGAGGGTATTAGTTGAGATGGCGGTTAGGGAGAGTAGAGAGGCGTATGCCTTGGGACCTGGTGTCGAGAAGGAGGGTGAAGGGAGGACGCTGGGAAATACAGCGGTCAAAAGGCTTGGCCGTGAAGAGGAAGGAAGGTGAGCAATGAGGTGACGGGAGAAGGAGGCTGAAAGATGCGTTCCTTTGTATCCTCTCTTCATATTAGTTTGATATCCTCCCGCGCATACCATAGTCGGCATGGACGTGGCGTGGAATTCATTCCGTTCTATACGAGCAACTCCAGGCCAGTCAGAACCGGTCACCCAGGACACCGTCTTCTGCTTCGTCACTTATCTTCTCGTCTTAGATTGTAGTCATTCTCTAGCTGTCAACTCGTTACAACCCGGATATAGGCATCGCAACCAATGAACTCCTCTCCCGGAGCACAACCATGCGGAACAAAAATTCAACGCTCGCAATCTGTCAAGACATCCCCAGGCCAAACAAAACAGCGGCAACCGTGACGCACACTGCAGTGAGCAACCGACTCCGATCGACCTCAATGCTCGGACTGCCGAGTGATTCTCCACCAGGACTCGTCGCGCTCGCAGGAGGACTGTTCGACGAGCCCGTGGAGCTGGGAACATCACCGGTCGCACCCTGCGTGGCCTCGAGCTCATCGAATCCGTTGTCGCCACCACTTCGCTCGGGCTCGACGTTGTCTATGAACCAGCGATTATCATCTCCCATGATATTGCCGGGCGGCCAATATTCGCAGACGAGGAAAACACCGTCAAGCCCGTTCTTCCCGTCACAGTCAGTCCACCCGCATCCCGTAGACTGTGTACTTTTCCAGACCAGTTGGGTGAAATGGCCCGTTGCCTCCGTGAAACCCGTTGGATCGTTCTCGTCAAAATCATAGTCCTCGCGTTCGTTGCCCCAGGCTTCCACTGCGGCTGTGACGTTCGTATATCCCCGAGCGAGGTTCTCGCCGTAAACTCCGTGCGAGTGCTCCCAGATGCATTGTTCGGAGTAGGACTGGGCGTATTCGGCGAGTGATTCGTTCCAATAGATGTAAGAGGCGGAGTGTTCGTAGCGGTAGAAATTGGTCGAGTTGAGGACGGAGGTGCGGAAATCGAGAGAACTCGTATACTGAGGCGAGAGGGGGACAGTGGAGGCTGCGATCGTGTAGTAATGGGTTATCGTCGTTGCGACGACTTCTATTGTTTGCGTTTCTTGACTGAGAATGGGGAGGGCGTAGAGGGCGAGGCTGCTGAAGAAGATTGGGAGTGGGAGTGGTAGCAAGAGCATCTTGCATGGATGGACGGTCGGATTACAAGTGTTTTCTCTTTTGTTTCCCTGCTCTTTTCATTTACGCCAGATCGTTTATGAGGTCATGGTCCGAAAGGATCCTGCGGTATTCCGCACTTGAAATAATATACCCAAAATTATGGAATGCTCTTCCACTGTTGTTGTTTCCTGTAGTCTTAAGATGTCGTGCACCTGACTCTTGAGTGAATGCCAATACCAGACTTCTATTGAGCGAGAGCATAAAACGAGGGAGGTTAGCATATGAAGCGATGGACAAAAGATAGCCAAACAGCCGGATAGACAGACAAGAAAGCGTGCGTAGTGGATAAAGAATCAATCAAGACATGACAGAAACTAGAGGCCCTGTGAGGCGAAGCAAGATGAGTTGACGAGTTTGGACCAAAGATCACATCGTAACTCGGGCTATGGTTTGCCTTGTGCTGATGGCCGTGCCGCCGTTGTCATTGGATCGACGGTGAGACGCGACGTCATTCTGCGCCGAAAATTCGCCCGGCGAACCGATTTGTCCTTGCATCCTGGTCATAGAACTGCCAGTGGAGTCGACGCTTACAGGCTGTTGCGAACCATCGTTGGAGCCACTCCTAGGGGGGAAGGCTTTGGGGGTTTGTCCATCTCCAGATATTTTGCTCATTTGCTCACTTTGGATTGCGGACAATGAACATAATGAGAGATTCATAGATGGACGTTGTCGTGGTCCTATCCATACTGCTATTTTAGCTGGGCTATTGAGCTTCCTCTAGGGATTGATGGTGGTCATTCATAACGGTGAAAACAACAAAACCATGAGAAGAGTACCTACAGAATACAGAACACAACAGCCATCCTGTGTCGAAGGGGGCGACAAACAATACCGCCTTCACTCAGTTGAAGCGATAAATGCGCAGCATGACTTCTCCGCTTTTTTAATCCTGCGCAGGCATCCATATTCACCAACATTCCCTCCTTTGGTCGTCTTGTTGATCAGATACATCTCGAACTGGCCAATATTTTGTTTGATTTCGCACAGATAGACATTCCTGACGACTTTGGGAACCAACGAGTGTGGTAGGGACCTTTTTTGGCCCCGTCACCACCAACGTCAAAGGTGGCAGAGTCCCTCCGTTGCCGCCTTTGACAAGTGGCAGTTGGCCAGATGAGCACTAGCGTGCCATCCAAAAGTCCAAGGTGCGTAGAAACGACATCCTCTCCCAGGTGCTCTACGTTTCCACCCTGAAGAACATCTTCCTCCTGGAGATCAATCTCTGCACCAAAATCACCAAGGACGGCCCGTGCGAACCTGCCCCAGAGCCTGCTCTCACCAATCTGGCGGAACGACATGAATACCTGCAGAGCCTGCCTGTCATCGCTGTGGCCTCCCCTCCAACATCGTGAATAGAGTCAACAATATCTACAAGGACGAAATTAGGCCTCATGAAGTCCGGAAATCGTATCTACAAGATCACATTATAGAGATCAAGAAGGTCCTCAAGGAATCGGATGAGGAGCCACCAAGATGGCAGGAGTGGCGTGTCGGACGAGCAAGTGACGCAGAAGGGGAAGAGCTTGGGGATGAGGATGATTCTAAAGCCATTGTCGAAGCGGTCTGAAAGAAGATGAAAATGAAAAATCTGGTGTCTGAATGGAACAGCCCCACTCCCGACGTGTATGATACGATACGATACGACGCGACACGATGCATCAATACGAGGTCAAAGGTGGACACATCACAAGCTGAGGCCATGGTGAAAAGTGGAGATATCAGAGGCTGCGCCGCATGGCCATGGCAAAAAATGGGAAGGTTCCGAACTGGACTCCCTGCAGAACGGTCGAAGAAATGAGATAGGACGAGCTGTGTTACATGGTCATGGTCAAGCATGGAGATGTCGACGCTGACCTGTATGGAATGCCGTCTAGACTTCGGGAGAGTATGAGAAAAAATAGACCTTGGTAAAAGGATTCCAAAATGAAAGACACATTTGTCTCGGCATTTCCATGCTCCATTCTTCATGCTTCATACATTCATAAATTCATCCGCCTCGTAATGAGCAGTGCTATAGCGCTCACACATAACATCATTTACATCTACATGAGATTAAGACCCAACGAGGGGCAAATATTCTTTTGTCCTCCTCCTCTTCTCGCTCCGGCCCATACCAAAATTCTCACATAACAAGACAATTGTCACCTTGAACCCGTCTCTCGACCCTCGCTCTGACGACTAGCCAATCACTGCGTCGTTCTGCAAACTCCACGACTTCCTCGGTCGTGAAGACGCCTTTATACCGCTCAGCATCAGAGATGATCATCGCCATCTCAGCGACGTCTCGCTCGGACTCGCCACCAATCAAGTAGATCTGCGCGACTTCCCTCAACGCGACAAAGTACGAAGTGAGGTCGTTGTTTTTGAACCCAGCCACAAAATTCGCGTACGCGCTGAGGTCAGAGAGGAGCGGAAGTGCGCCCGTGGTCGAAATCCGCTGCCGTTTGATATGCTTGGTCAGGGTGGTGAAGAGGCGCAGACCTACTTCTCCAGTAAAAACGTCCAGAAGAGTCTTCTCGGTTGCGCCAGTGAGCATGCTCGTGTGATGTGATACAAGGGAAATCACTCGCGAAGCTGTTGCTGTCGGTTGGTCTGAAAAGTCCATGACCATGGCGCCAGGTTTGAGGCCTGGCACAGTCCCTTCTGACGTCAGGGCGAGTTCGGGATAAAAATCGGTGGGAAGCTGAGTTGTCGCGCAAATGAATTCGACCTCGTCGATGAGGACGTCAATTCCCTTGCCCAGGCCGGCGGCGACGCGCTCGTCCAGCATGGCTTCAAATTTCTTCTTTTCTTTGACATTGATGTCGAGAAAGTCATCTCGGTTAGAGATACGAAGCCGGACGAGCTCTGACTCGTAGAAGACGTCCAGCATCTGTTGGATCAGATCTCCGACATTGACGAGTTCGAGGAAGGTAACGAGAGGTGCCACTTGGACGGCGGTGGTCGAGGTTCGGTCGACATTGTTGATATCACTGTCGCGTGGATTGTACAGTGAAAGATGGTCGATGGCTTTGTCAAAGCCAGCCTTGATGTGGCGTACTCCTACAGATTGAAGGAGAAGGAGGAAAATTGCTGAACATTGATTTCGTGCAGATTCACCCGCCTCGCCTCCCAAGGCGACGAATTGAGCGGCGCGTTCGAGGGAAGATTTGGCTGCATGGACGAGGTTCAATGCTACCTCGATGGAGAAGAGAGATCGGATGTTTTCAAATTTCGCATTCATGAGAGCGGCCTTGGCAGCGAGCTCAGATGTTGGTGCCTCGACGGGAAGAGATTGGGTGACACCTCTTGGAGCAAAGGGATTGGGAGTGGAAGGTCTTGAGGACGTCGCTTCTCCATTGGGAAGAGATTTGGCGGCTGTTTTGTTGCTTGAAGATCCCGAGAAACTCGGCAAGATGTTCACTGGCATCATGACCACCTTCTTGAATGACGATAGGAAGTCCTTTTTATCTGCTTGTCGATTGACGTTGGACATGAGAAAACTTTCTGTTGAAGCTGCTTGTTCTGACAAAGCTCGATCCCACTGCTCAACTTCAGATTCAGCCTTTTGTCGAAAGAACGCTAATTCTTCGGCCAAATATGTTTCGATATGCGGGCTAAATATCTCGGATATGAGTGCATTGCATCGCGATAGGGTATTTTCGTCCACGTCCTTGGATATGGCGAAGTTTTCAATGAATTGCCGGGTCCCGACAAATGTCCCCGATATGATTCGAAGATATATGGATGTTCCCCGAGTCCAGGCGTCTTCGAATAAGGACGACAAGAAAGGTGAGAGAATCTCCTTGGCGACCTTCTCCAGAAGCAGCATGGTGACCTCTTCAGCGTTGGGAAAGACGGCTTGAATAATGGCATTCTCCTGGTTAAACGCGTTTCCTAGCCTTTCGAAATAGCCTCGGACCCTTTCGAGAGAAAGCTGACCGTAACCTGAAGAGTAGTCGATACAGTCTGACACACTGCCGAGAGTCGCTTTGCCGGTGATGAGCTTGTTGTCATGTAGGTACAACTCCACGCCACTCTTCCCTCCGTTCAGAGTATGCATCACACGCGCATACTGACGCATTCTTCCTTGGATGTCCTTATATTCATACCCTTTCCGGAATTCGAGCAACGCCTCCGTGTCGAACCGCTCGACAGTTTCCATCAGTCGCCGTTCTCGAGCCCCTGATCCAGGAGAGAAATCACTGGCTGAGAATATTCGCACATTGACTAGAAGCTGTGCTTGTTTGTCAGGAGCGGCGAAATGTTTGAAAATGCGACCTTCCATGGGGTTGGAGACCGACAGCAGGTCTCTATAGTATGGCGCCAGCAGTTTGTAAATCTTGCCATACTCTTGCCTAGCTTGTTCCCTTATAGATTTGACTCGTTGAAAGGCTAATAGAGGAGCTTCCCGGTCAACCGGCAATCCAGGTGAGCCGACGGGCTGAGGGCCAGACAATTCAACCATGTCAAATCCATCCGTACCAACTGGTCGAGGCCGACGTGGCGAAAGTAAGTTCGATTGATGTCGCTGTGCAATCGGAGAAGAATCGACATCGAAAAGGACGTCAGGTCTACCTTTTCCGTTGATCATATTCCGATCTATTGTACTCTGTCTTCGACCTGGAGTTGTAGGTGTCTCGAGGGTTTCTGCTCTTCTCCTGGCTTCTGTGTCATTCCAACATCCCATCTTCCGCAATCTTTGGATCCATCTTGCGTCGTCATAGACCATTTCATGCATACGACGTGATGTTCGAGCAAATCGAAGCAAATCGGGAACATCTAGGTAATCAACCACCGCGGCCAGTACCTCTAGAATGGTTTAGTTTTTGAGAACGTCTTTTGTAGATTCTGGACAAGTTGCTGTACCTGCTGGAAGAGCTGGTTTTGAGATGACCATATCCGCCATTTTCAAGGACGCCAACGGATCCCTCCGTGGCGCCTTGTCAACGGCGCTCGCCTTCTTCGGCTTCGTCATGATGGAGAGTTGTTGTGGGTTGGCGTGGGAGGTTTATTTTTCCCTCTGGATCAGGTTCCCAAGATTCCCCTCGGTCATATCATTTTTAAGATGAACAGTCGGTCAGCCAATGATGGCAACAGAAACAGTGATATGGTTCTGAGCTGTCGGGGTCCTGGTGCCTGAAGCACACATTTCAATTGTGGCGCAACGTGCAGTTCGGGGTTGTTCGACTGTACTTACCGACGACTTTCGTGTATGTGCCGCTTTAAACACCCCAGCTTGAAAGCGGTGGGGTTGGTCTAAAGCGGCATCGACGGTGTTTCTCGGAACAGAAACAACAGGTCAAATGTTCAGTAGATATGTCTGTACCTCCTGTATGTGACCAAGAGAATTGTACAGCAATGCTATTTCGGTGAGTACTGTCCACCATTTTTGGTTGAAGCATCCGATGCTTCCCATCCGGTCCCATCCCAAGGACTCCACTCCAAAATGCTATGCAATGACCCCCTCACTGTTTGATGATCTATTCTATGTCCATTCGAATATCCTTCAAGGCCAAGGATTGAACGATCCCGTCACCAATTCTGACCACTAGTAGTCGTCGTCGTCGTCGTCGTCCGCAGCATCTTCATCATCGGCATTGGGCCCCTTTCTCCTTTTACTATTCCCATCTTTCCTGATGGGAATTTTAATCCCTTGTCTGGCAAACTGTCGACTTAGATCAGTGGTCTCGATGACACCGGGGAATTTTTTGGCGCTGTAGACTTTGAATGGCTTGCTGAATGCCGATGCCAAACATGGCGCTTCTTGTAGCAGTTCAAGATTCGGAGGGTTTCCCTTGTCGCCCTCTTCATTCATGACAAATTCCGACAGGTTGAAAAAGTTCATTTTCAACCGAAACCAACCCTCTGTACGAACGCTCAAATCTTGAAGGACAAACCAAAGTCCCACCCGGCCCTTGTCATCCGTCAATTTGAAGGCACTGGACGACGCACTTCCGATAAGATTCTTCGCGATGTGGGCGTCTTTCGGTGGTCCCAGATCTTGCGACGAACGGGCAGAACGAAGCGCATTTCCTGAGGAAGAGGCGGACCCAACAGTGGATGAGCGAGAATTGTAGGAAGGCTCATAACCATTTTGGTATTGGGAGCTGTATCGAGATTCGCTGTAGGAGTAGGAAGGATTTCTCTGCCCATAGCTTTGTGCACCATTGCTGTAAGTACGTTGGTCTTCACTAGGGTAGTAAGATGAAGCGGGGCTGGCCGCGCTCGTTGTTGGAGATGCAAATGTCTGGGAGGCAAAGGCTGGGACATTGGGGATGGGGAAAGTTGCAACTGGTCCAGTGCCGCTGGTGGGACCAGTGACGGTAGGGGGAAAGCTCGTGGTGGTCACCGAGGAGATCGACGGCGACGCGGTGTTGTGCTTGACACAATTATCTTCTCGAGAACCTTGAAGATTCCACAAGTCCACATTCAGGACGAGTCTCGAGAGATCTGCCACCTTGCTTGGTTGGGTCAGCACAGAAATACCCAGAATCACCGGAAATTCCGGGAACGCACTTATAGTCAACCTCCTTTCCCGATTCCGGGTCAAATATCAATAGCCTGATGCACGGTGGAGGTGAGATAGGACGACGATCCTACAGATATGTTAGCATTAAGGATCGTCCTGGCTGAATGGTCGGGCATACCTTGTCGCCAAACCCGCACATACGAGCACGAATGGGCTGCTGGACCACTTCCAGGGCCCAACCTTTTCCCTCCCACACTCTTGAAACTGGAGCTGGTCCTAACAGGTTGAAGTTCCCTTCATCGTTGGGCTCACTGCCTTGGCTCGGACTTTGAGGTGGGAGGCTGATCGACGCATTGTAAGGAGTATACGGAGAATTCTGTGGAGGTTGAATGGAGAGCGGTGTTGGCACAGGATGATGACCCGGTGGCCGCGAGTTTTGATAGTTATGCGAAGGTGGTTGATACATGGCGAAACAAACGTTGGAGAAGGGAAGGAAGATGTACAAAGCGGACAGTTATAGCCGCCTGGGGGCCGAAGATGTCCGCCTCGGGCGCCTGGATGGCCCTTTCCACACCGGAGATCCTGTTTTCTGGATCTTTCAACAGCGAGAGGGGCAATGGAAGTTTCCCAATATTCCGATCTAGGAAGCGCTTCCAGTTATTTGGTCCACCTCCGTGGCTACCAGATGTCTGAAGTATTCCTGGAAACCGAGATCCACGCCGTGCCACAGAAAAGGGTCCTCCACACCTTGAAGATTGGGTGCAGAACTGGTAGCGGTGTTGGAAGCCAGGGGTGGTATATGAACAAAACAACCGAAAGTCGTTGAGGTAACACAAGCAAGCCAGAGAAATAGGCTAAGGGAGGTACACAGATGTCGGCTTTTTGAGTTGGCGTGGGTTGTAATGATGCCTGAATGGTGGCTTTTCGGTGGTCGTTGTCGGTGGAAGATTATCTGACGGCCGTGACAGACTGGGATTGATGACAGTGTGACAAGGGGACCCTCTTTTAGGGCTAAAGCATTGAAGATCTAGCAGGCGTCTTATGGGGCCGGATTGTTTGAGTCGAATGGCATGAAGATTTCGTAGTTGGTTGGAACAGTCTCAGTGTCCAAAAGGACGATGGACAAAGCGGGACCAAAATTCGGGACGGAAGAGGAAATGCGGACCAGCATAAGAAAAGGGGGGGCCAACAAGGCGTTACAAGACTTAAAATGACGAAGCCGGTGCAAACACTGGCCGGGTCTGTTTGTTTGCTTCGTCGAGAGGGCAAGTCATGGCATGGCAAGTATGTGGTCAGTCGAGATAAGACTTCATGGTGGGCGTAGGACGGAGGCCTCGCAGAGTGGACCGAGGGATGTAGAACAAGGCAAACGCGGGCGGGGTGTTGACTTTCTGTCCTTTTAGAGTGTGAGATAGGGTTGTTGGCGGTTTTCGAACCCGTCGAATCTGGTGGATCCTGTCGCAGAGAACTGATGGCTGGGTGAGTTTGGTGGAGATGGGACTTCGGCTTTTGAATTTGGGTGATATTCTCTGTGCGGAGTATGGAGCACCGAGTCTTGGTACACACCACAGGCGAATCGAGTTGAGAAAAAGTCCAGCTGAAGTGGATTAAAATACGGAGGAAGATGGTGATTGTGGATGAGAAAATGTAAGTTAGTACCGTCAAAGGTCGTAAGGGGAAGGCCGTATGGTGGTATTTCACAAGGATACGGGAGTGTGGTGTTAGTGGTGGAATCAGGGCGTCGTAGCGGTTAATGCCAGTGGATGATTGTGGATCGTGGATCATGGATCATGGATTCGGCGGAGCCGGGTGGAAAGAGTTGTGCTAAGATTGATGGGAATGTGATTTTTGTACAAAGATGAAACAGGCCAACATGACGAGGCAAGGAAACCTTGACGTCGAGGCAAAGAAGAGTAAACCCAAGGCCGACGCAATACACCAGACCTCCAGCCAAAGCCTACTGAACATTTGACAAGTGGCAGCGAACGACTTAACGACTAGCATGCTGCAAATGACCCGAGAACTTGGGGTTGGAGCTCGAAATGCATCTAGGCAGAGAGACTAGTCGCCTTCGTACGGTCTTGGTGTAACCGGTCCGAACATGAAGATGATCTGAATAGCATTCAAATGCGAGATAGTGTTCCCCGCTTAACCGCCTTCAAATGAAACACTTCAGGCGAGATACAGATCAATACTGCGTACCCCAAGGTGCTCTCTGATTGCTGAGTCGCTGCCGAAGCTGTACCTTTGCTGGCTCATAGTCTAGTGCCGTGACGGGTACTACTGTAACACAAACGGGTACGAATCCGACAGGCCTTGTTGCCCCGGGCCTGCTGTAGCTGTACCTCCAGTTGGTTACCATCCGTCGCATCCTTGACTTACCTAGGTACTCCCCCATACATACAAGTGTAATGGATTCCTGTCTACCGTAGATCGGGCTGTGTGGGTATGAATTGGACCCGGCGACTTTTGGCCCTCTGGACATGTGCATGCAGCGCTGGCATGCCTCTGGCGGCTTCACCGTTGTAGCTATTCTTGTTTCTTTCACCTTTCTTCCACTGCTTTTTCCAGCCTCTTTTCGCTCGGCAAAAAGCAGGCCAGTTGCCGATCTTGTCCATCTCTCCTCGAAGCTTGCGCTCTGTCCCAGTGTCCACCCCCCCCACCATCCGCATCCTATCGCTCCCTGAATGGCTGAATGGACCAGCAGACTGTCTACAACATACAGACCGGGTCTAGTGAGCTCTCCTCTAGCTTGCTTTCCCTTCTCATCTTTTTGTCCTTTGTCACAGGGTATCAAACTCTATTTGCTGCCACTTTCATTGGCGCTGGTTGGCATGCGGACGAACTCCCTAGTCTTTTCACCCTGGCACATCCTCTTTTTTCGTCCTCGCCGCTGCATCTTACTCCGCCCAAAACCGACCAAACTCTAAACCGACAGCTGTCCGTCTTTGTCCAGATCCCAAACTGTGTTGAACCTAGTGTTTTTTCTTCTTGCTTCCACATCCGAAAGTCTCATTGACAGCTACCAGGATCAAGGATTCTACGGGTCTTCTGGATTCAACGCGGCAATGTTCTGTCTGTCCAGGGATGCATATATCAGCCACCTTTCCTATCTTCTCCGGTCGTCGCTGGTCACCGCGGCTCATCGCCACCCATTTAGGCTGTTCGTCGGTTGTCGTCGCATGACCGGCCGTTGCATGAGGTCAGTGGCTGGGTTTTGTCGTGCAACGTGTCACATTTTTTATTCTCTTTCCCACCTTCCCAAAGGTTCGTGAAAATATTCGTGAGGATCCCCTCGGCTGGATCAACGGTTCGCCTTGCATCTGTGCCTATCATTGGTCAGTTTTGCAGGAGGCGTGGTCTGCCTTGTCCAACCTCAACCTCGCCGTGGTCATACTACGTCCAGACCAGGTAACGCTATCCGTTACCCTCAAACCCATGCCTCTCGCCAAAACCCGACCTGACGGTCCCAAAAGCTGTTGAGACTGCAGTTGGTGGAGTGGCCTCGCTAATCGCAATAGATTTGCTGCCAAAAATGCAACATCTCTCTTCAATCTTGTTTGGCCGATCAAGGCCAAAATGATGCCCAGTGACGGTCCTAATAGCACCCGTGGATTATTAACTCCAGTCATGCCTGTGTCTGTTACCAATATGTCTCCCACTGACCACCCCCCTTCCCCCCACAAAAGAGTCACAGTCCCCCAAATGCAGTAACGGATGATGAACATCACTTTCATATCGTTGAATCCAATATGCATCCCCTAGCCAGTCCGCCAATCTGGTCATGCTTCCCTCTCGCTACTGTGTTGGCCAGTCAAAGTGTCCTTTGCCTTGTCTGCTATGGCTCGGATACGGGTGCGCTCCTTGGAACCATCGCGATTGAAAGACTCCGACCGAACCTTTTCATTGTGGGTCCGGGCCTCCCGTTTTTCGTTTTCGGTGGGCGTGTACGTATTGGCTGCGCCGCCTTGCGTGCAAATGGAAGAATCAGCATGGTTTCTCGTTTATTTCTACAATCCGAGCCTGCATCATGCATACCTCTGCCCGTGTGATGTGATCCTTCGGGGAGTATGATGCCTGGAATCTCGACATCCTGGGATCGTCGTGCCGCCTCGGGATGCTCAAAGTCGTTCTTGGTCATATTTCCAGTTCCACCTCGACCAGTAGTGTACGTCTTGGACTTCAAGGTAGGTGTGGATTGCGGTTCGAAAGCAGGCGACGCGTCGGTCTTGTTGGTGACATTTCCTAAGGAGGGTCCATGTCAGGAAGGAGTGAGCCACGCAAAGCGCTGCTCAAAACATGGTACTCACCTGCGCCCCCTCGACCATATGTGACTGTGGATTTGGTCATGCTGATTTTGGCTTTGAGGAGTTGATGGGACTGGTTTGAGTTTGGGGGCAATGAGGGTCGTTGGGGAGGTTGTTCAGGATTCGGACTGGACCGTGCTTGTTATGATCGCCTCAACGCGCGTGGCTTAAGATCGGCGCAGAGGCAGCCGTCGCGTGACAAGAACAGATTTAAACACGTCAGACTAACACGGAAGCAGTGAGGAATGAGGTAGGATTGTCGAGATGAATCATTGAGGGAAGTAATTGTGGAAAATTAAACGGACACTGCGAGGACTTTTGGCACCACCCACCTTTTCTACTTACCTGACACCATTCCCCCAGATGTGAAAGCTCTGACGGTCACACGTGCGGAGTGAAAAGTCTTCTGGCAGTGCTTTGGAGGTGGTTGAAGATGCCGTAAAAGCAAAGTTAGACGTAACAGAAATAGCCTCATTAGTGTTGAAACACCTTCCCAAGAGGCTAGACAGGCTCGGCTTTCGCTTTTCTCTGCGATTACAAGTTCATTTTATGTAGGAAGCGGCGGAGACCTCTATTCTCCATTTGTGCTCTGTTCTCCTCTTCCGTGGAATCGACAATGGTGTAAGACGACAAATTATCATACTGGACAGGTGATCCAGCAATATTCTTACTCGGTAGTATTTTTGTCGGTGTGACTGGGTTGGTGAGAGGATTTTGGATCTCTCTCTATTGGGCCGCAGACTGAGCTTGGAGCTGGTGGCTTGGAGCTTGTGTGAGCTATTTTTGCTGGGCGGGGAGCACTCCCAGATTTGCGTCTGAGGGGGAGCGTTTCTGACGGAGATCGGTCACTGATATATGCACGGTTGAGAGACCGTAAGGTTCATTCTCTTTCCATTCTGCTAGCATAGCGCGTTGCCCAAGATAGGGTGGCTGAACGCGGCTAATGAGATGACTAAGGACAAGACTGATGAGTGAGAGTCATGCATGGTAAAGATGTATCTGCAATCAATCACTCGATCTGAGGATGCCCGAAGTCGTCATTGTTCTATTCTGTTGCCCTACCTTGCCCATCCAACAAGTCCATAGGACGAATACTCACCTTTCCTGGCCTAAAAATGATGAGGCTGTAAAAGAAAAGCCTACCCTCTTCAGCCACTAACGCGATTGAACAGATACAGAAACTTGACCTTTGCGGCCACTACTCCCAGGAGGTACTAGGTGCATACATTGAGATTGCTCCCTCTTAAACACTTGTCCCCCGCTTACTTGGAAGGGCAATGCAGGAACCGGCCTGGACGTTCGTGGCTTGCCCACATTCTGGACTTTCCCATCACTGAATGCCAGTGTTCTCGCCTGCGCCTGCGCCTGCGCTCTTGTGCCCCGCGATCCAGATATCGACGCACCGACCAGCTGAGCTGTTCCTTGCTACGACATTTTCATTTCACCGTATTCCTCCATCCACCGGGCAAAGTCTCTCTACGAATACGTTGCATTCGTATCAACTTTCATTACCTTATCGTATTCTGGCACTCATTCTCTCTTCCACCACATCTTTCTGCATTGAGCTTTGAACACCAGACAATGCAATAGATACGTGTCACCATCCATCGATAGAGGAACGTTCCATCTCTTTCCTTGGGCCTAGAATATGCCTCACAAAACCCATCAGAACTCTCGCCGGGTTTATCTGCTGCCTCTCACTGATGCCGGTGCTCCAGATGTTCCCAACGAGTACATCTATCTGCCCGTCCCTACCGAGCCAGCATACTTTCTACGATTTGCCATTGAAGGGACAAGCTCAATATGCCGTCAAGGTAGTCTATGGGTCAACATTCCTGAGCCGGGTCAGTCTTTTGATCGCAATCGCTTTCGGGAATACAAGCTCTATCCCGGCTTCAATCGGACTCTCGAGATTGATATTCCTATCACCTCCGCTGGGGCATTTTCTTTCTACACGACGTACACTCCTCTACCAGAATTTTCCACGTCTGACGTTAGAACACCTGAGCCCACTCGTACTCCCACTTACTATGTCGACATCGAGCCGAAGTTGTGTTTGGCGGGCTCCAACTTACCATTGGACGCCTTGGGGATTTTCTCAGTCGTGTCCAAATTCATGGGCAAATACCCGGAGGACTGGCACAAGCATTTAAGAGGGATCAGTGCGAGAGGTTACAATATGGTGCATTTTACGCCGCTGCAACAACGGGGCGAGTCCGACTCCCCCTACAGCTTGTTCGATCAATTGGCTTTTGACCCTGAGCTCTTTCCGGGTGGAGAGAAGGACGTTGCACACATGATCAAATCCATGGAGGAAGAACACGAGTTGTTGGCCCTCACGGATGTCGTCTTCAATCATACCGCGAACAACAGCAGATGGCTGGAGGAACATCCAGAAGCAGGCTACAGTGTCGAGACTGCCCCTTGGCTGGAATCTGCTCTTGTTCTTGACAATGCACTTCTCGACTACAGTGATAAGCTCGAGTCACTTGGTTTGCCTACTGTCTTCAACTACGTCAGTGACTTGGAGAGATCTGTAGCAGGAATCAAGGAGCACGTTATCGACAAGATCCGTTTATGGGAGTATTTTGTATGTGATGTCAAATCTGATACGCAGGCGGTGATCGACGCATGGAAGCAAGGCTCCACCAAATTACCCCCGGGAGGATTTGATGACACGATCGGTGGCGGACTTGACTCTCTGAAATCATGGTCCCTTTACCAGAAAGCCGCCTTCCTCAAAGAAAAGGGACTACTCAATGGCCTTCGTATTGACGGCCGATACTCACGAAAGGTCAACCCCGCTATTGGGTCGGCCATGGTGACGGCCTTGCACGGACGCTATGAGGATGGGACAGACACTCAACCGGTGGAAGACGCCGTGAAAGCAATTTTGGACGAGCTCAACCTCCCCTTTTATCGCGAGTTCGATGCCGATGCGGCAGCGATTCTGGATCAGGTCAAAGGCAGATTGCTCTATACCAGATTGGACCCTCACGGTCCAAGACTGGGGCCCATCACCCGGGAATACCCACTCATCGAAACTTATTTTGCTCGGCTACCTCTGAACGAAACGACCAAGAAACATAATCCAGAAGCACTGTCACTTGCAGTCAACGGGTGGATCTGGGCTGCCGACGCCATGAAAGACAATGCAGGGCCAGATTGGCGACCTTATCTCAGACGAGAACTGATTCCCTGGAGCGACTGTGTCAAACTGAGGTATGGCAAAGGACCAGAGGACAACCCTTATTTGTGGGAACATATGACCCAATATGTCCGACTCATGGCCAAATACTTCACGGCCTTCCGAATTGACAATTGTCATTCCACTCCAATTCACGTGGCTGAATATCTACTGGACGAAGCTAGAAAAGTACAACCCAATCTGGCTGTCTTCGCAGAATTATTTACGGGCAATGAACAGACTGACTTTGTCTTTGTGAAGCGTCTTGGATTGAGTGCGTTGATTCGCGAGGCTATGCAAGCTTGGAGTACGCAAGAACTAAGTCGGGTTGTCCATCGACATTGTGGTCGACCCATTGGCAGTTTCGAAATCAATGTGCCTCGGCGGTCAGGGCAGAAGTTCGCCAACAATCTGGTCAATGGAAGTGGTCCGAAAACGAGAGAAGTCGTCAAACATATCAGAGAAAGTCCAGTGCATGCTCTGTTCATGGACTGCACCCACGACAACGAAATGCCAGCTCAAAAACGAGATGCCCGGGACACACTACCTACGGCCGCTCTGGTCAACATGTGTGCTTGTGCCACAGGCAGTGTTATGGGTTTTGATGAAATTTACCCAAAGCTGGTCGAAATCGTTCACGAAAACCGCACCTACACGTCAGCCAGCTCTGAAGGAGGAGTTCAGACTGGCGCTGATGAAGGAGGAATCGCCAGCGTCAAAAAGCTGATGAACCAGATTCACACCATGATGGGCAAGAACGGTTACGACGAAACATTTCTCCACCATGAAGGCGAACTTATCACTCTTCACCGTGTTCATCCGGACTCCCGTCAGGGATATTTCCTAATTGCTCACACTGCTTTCCCTGGTTCAGGAAATGGTAACGGTGGTCTGAGTCCTGTTCACTTGGCTGGCACCAAAGTGCGCCCTCTTGGCGCGTGGGTTCTTGAAGTAGATCAAAGCGACGAAGCAAAGAAAGCGGCATTGAATGATGAGGAACGCCTCGTCGGCTTACCCGCTCGAGTCAGGAGTATCAAGGGGGCCACCATCACGTCCGACAATGGTGACACTACTATCACCATTGCTGATTTCTTCCCCCCCGGATCAATTGCACTTTTTGAAACGTGGGTTCCTTCTGCCGAACATTCTCTGGGCCTGGGTACCTTCATCGCAAGTGGCACAGAGCAAGCCTTCGGCGAACTGGACCTCATCGATCTCAATTTTGTTCTGTATCGATGTGAGGCTGAGGAACGTGATTCAAGTGATGGCCAAGATGGCGCGTACAGTATTCCCGGCTATGGGCCTCTGGTGTACGCAGGTCTTCAAGGCTGGTGGAGTGTGATTGAGCCTATTGTCAGGCGGAACGATCTGGCGCACCCTCTTTGCAGCCATCTTCGCGAGGGACAATGGGCATTGGATTTCATTGTTGGGCGAATGGAGAGGATTTCAAAACGCGAAGGATATTCCAGGCTGCATAAACCGGCTCAGTGGTTGAAGGAACGATTCGATGCTGTCCGTATCGTTCCCAGTTTTCTCTTACCGCGCTATTTCGCATTGATCGTTCAGATCGCGTACGACGCTGCATTCAAGCGGGGGATCGAATTAATGAGTCCAAATATTCGGCATGGTCAGGACTTCTTGCAAAGTTTGGCCATGGTAAGCATACAGCAAACAGGATATGTCAAGTCTGCTTCGTTGTGGCCACACGAGATCGTACCGTCACTCGCTGCCGGATTGCCTCATTTCTCAGTTTCTTGGGCTCGCTGTTGGGGCCGCGATGTTTTTATCTCCTTGCGGGGCTTGTTTTTGTGTACTGGCCGATTTGAAGAAGCCAAAGAGCACATCAAAGCCTTCGGCAGTGTTCTGAAGCACGGTTTGATTCCGAATCTCCTCAGCAGCGGCGCGGCTCCCAGATATAATTCGCGAGATTCTCCATGGTTTTTCCTCCAGAATATTCAAGACTATACGAAGATTGCCTCTGATGGACTATCAATTCTCCAGGAAAAAGTTCCTCGTCGTTTCCTCCCATATGACGATACTTGGTTTCCTCACGATGACCCTCGGGCGTACTCGCAAGAGTCCACCATTGAGGACATCATCCAAGAAATCTTTCAACGTCATGCGTCCGGTTTGTCCTTCCGAGAACACAACGCTGGCCCTAGCTTAGACATTCAAATGAAGCCTGAAGGATTCCAGATTGATGTTCGTGTCGATTGGAAGACAGGAATTATTTTCGGCGGCAGTCAATATAATTGTGGCACGTGGATGGACAAAATGGGAGAAAGTGAACGGGCTGGCAGCAAAGGAGTGCCCGGTACGCCTCGAGACGGTGCTGCCGTTGAAATTACTGGACTTTCATACAGTGCGATGAAATGGGTTTCCGAGCTCCACCAGGCTGGCAAGTATAGATACTCTGGGGTGACAACGGATCAAGGGGATGAAATTTCCTTTGCGGAATGGGCAGCCCGCATCAAGGCAAACTTCGAAAGATGTTATTGGATCCCGGTGGATCCCAAAGACGATGTTGAGGATGATGTCGACCCGAAGATTATCAACCGTCGTGGTATCTACAAAGATTTGTACCGATCTGGCAAGCAATACGAGGACTACCAACTTCGACCCAATTTCCCTATTGCCATGACAGTGGCACCGGATTTGTTTACACCTGAGAGAGCATTACTGGCATTGAAGATGGCGGATGATATCCTTCGTGGACCTACCGGAATGGCGACGCTTGATCCATCAGATTTGAATTACCGGCCTTACTACAACAATTCAGAAGATTCAACCGACTATGCGACATCCAAAGGGCGAAACTATCATCAAGGACCGGAGTGGTTGTGGCCGACAGGATTCTTTTTGCGAGCATTCCTCATGTTTGACCTCAAGCGACGGACCACGTCGGCGGATCGATTGGAATCATTCCAACAAGTGACTCAACGTTTGGCTGGATGTAAGAACGTGATCAAGGATAGTCCGTGGAAGGGATTGACAGAGTTGACCAACAAAGATGGGTCATTCTGTGCGGATTCGGTATGTTCATCAATCAAAACTGAGATGAATTGATATACTGACATTTGACGCTAAGTCCCCGACACAGGCATGGTCGGCAGGTTGCATGATTGACCTCTTCCACGATGCATCGATTTTGGAGCCCGAAACGAACGGCTTATGAAACTATATCAGAACGAGAAGGATTAATGGCCAAATAAAAAGGGAACGGCCTAGACACGATTGGGGAACTCTTGATACACGAAAGAAACGACTGGATTAATGATTGCATTGGCATTGAATGAGAAATTAGAGCAGAAGATTGTTAGAAGTCAAGAACGAGTGAGACACAGTCGTGAGAACTTAGGTATATGAACAGAACGCAGTGTGGTCAAATCTTGTCCTCCTCTTGTAATGTTCGCGTCCTGGTCACTTTACGTGTGATATCATCCAATCGGCGACTTGGTATATTTTTGGGGCTGCGTCAAAGTCATGCAAGGAACCGAAAGGCTGGACGCCACAAGGAAACTTTTTTTTCCCCCTCTGGACGAACGCCACGTCTCGAATTTTTCGTGAACTTACCAGGGACCATTTGACCACGACATTGCATTTGAGGTCAATAGATCTCCCTCCCGCTCTTCCTTGTGATCCTTTTATTCCCTTTCGCTCGTTGCTGTCATGGCTGTAAGCTTCTTCGTCCAAGGTTTCCCCCGCAGATTCATCGCCTGCGGTAACTCTGACTGACTCACTCTCCGCTTGGAACATAATAGTCTTACTATCTCCCTAATGCCAACGTTGGCAACAAACAGAGTTCGGAAGATTGGCGGGGTATGTTCAAAACCCTACTCTCCTTGAGTGCTCAGCACTTCGATGTCCTCATCTAAACCGTGCTGCAGTCCGGGGTTACAACCCACTCACACCACCCGACTTACTACAACATGAAATCCCTCAGACACCAGCCTCGAAAGCGACGGTCCTCCAAGGTCGCGAAGATTGTGTCGCGGTTGTGCAAGACAAAGACCCCAACCGGCGATTGCTTGTCATCATCGGCCCCTGCTCCATCCACGACCCTGTTGCGGCCCTCGATTACTGCGACCGATTATTGAAGCTGAAACAAAATTACCGGGATGACCTGGTCATTGTGATGCGGTCGTACCTTGAGAAACCCAGAACCACGGTGGGCTGGAAAGGGCTGATCAATGACCCGGAGATTGACGGCAGTTTCTTGATCAACAAAGGTCTCAGGCTGAGTCGGCAACTGTTCGTCGACCTCACGGCCAAGGGGATGCCGATTGCGAGTGAAATGCTGGATACTATCTCTCCACAGTTCCTTGCGGATTTGCTGAGCATAGGTGCCGTGGGAGCGAGGACAACTGAATCACAACTTCACCGTGAGTTGGCTTCGGGGTTGTCGTTCCCGGTGGGCTTCAAGAACGGCACCGATGGAACTTTGGGCGTGGCCATCGATGCCATTGGGGCAGTCAGACATCCTCATCACTTCCTGTCCGTGACGAAGCCTGGTGTGGTGGCCATCGTTGGCACGGTAGGCAATGAGGATTGCTTCGTTATTCTACGTGGAGGAACGACGGGGACCAACTACGACAAGGAGAGCATTCGCAAAGCCAAGGAGAAGTTGGCGGCGAAAGGTCTCAGTCCTCGGGTCATGGTCGATTGCTCCCACGGCAATAGTGAGAAGCAACATAAGAATCAACCCAAAGTCGCAAGAGTTTTGGCCGATCAAATCGAGGAAGGTGAAGAGGGTATCATGGGAGTCATGATTGAGAGTCACATCAATGAAGGTCAGTTTGCATCCGGACGAATTGTCGAAAGTGACGATGCGTCTTCCTTTGCCTGAAATTATGCTCACGTCCATGCCAAAAGGGAACCAAAAAGTCCCTCCGGAAGGGAAAGCAGGCTTGAAATATGGCGTTTCGATCACCGACGCATGCATAGGCTGGGAGGATACGGAGGCTGTTCTCGAGATGCTTGCCACCTCGACCAGGAGGAGGAGAGAAAAACTTGGCAAAAAGAATGTCAATGGTGCTGTGGAAGAGAATGGAAATGGTCACGTTGGAGGAGTGGCATGAGCGGATGAAGCAAAGAAAGTGTGGCTCAAGGTCAAGAGCCATACGAAGGATTCAGGAAAAAGAGACACTGTTACGTCCGTTTCAGGTTGAGGGCCTTCAATGATACAGAGCACAGAAGCACCGAGCAGAGGAAACTCCCTCTCTGGCAAAAAGGTAGTAATGACATTCATGGCGAACGAGGTCAAAGCATATATGGGATGAAAAAGGTCTATTCCGGTGACTAAAAATGAATACGGTGGAGTCATAGGGGAGATAAACCCATTTTCCTCCCATCCTTGAGCGAGGGACACTATCAAAAGGGCTGGTGCCCGAAGGTGACAAGGCTAGGTTATGTAGATCTCGCTCGCCTTTCTTTTCGATGCCGATGAAGAGATTTGTGTTCTCGACATCATGGTTTATGAAAGGCTGGAAGTAAACTGAAGTGTTCTTTTAGATATGTAATATGGAAGATGAATGCGAAATGAAGAGATAAAAATCAGAATGCAAAAAAGTACAGCTGAGATCCAATATACTTATTTCCCTTTCCTCCGTTTTGGAAGGAGGAACGCAGATGGACAATTGAATCTCGCACGTATGGCTTGTCCGTGAATGCAGCAAGGTCTCCGGTACCATGTCTTCTGATGATCCCCTTTCGAAAAGGTCGATGCTCGTGACGAGAGGGGGGTAGCCCACCGCAAAGGACATGAATACTGACTGAGCGGAGTCGTTGGGCTGAGGCGGGTTGTCTTGTCTGCTATCTAGGCCTGAAGCTGGAGCTGAAATTCGACCAAAGTTGGTGGAGGGAGGCCTGAGAAGTGAAAGAAACAATAACAATAGTTAAGGTGACTGACGAAATGGGTGCTGTAGAATTGATACTGAAAATCGGTTTAGAAAGAAGCATGATCATGCCCGGACGAAGGAGTCCAACTCCACGAGAAGGCCAGGGAATGTCATCCGACGCCTAGTTCCGGTTTCCCCTTCCCTCGGGGGAGGGTTTTCGAAGGCACAGCCACCGGTACATTTGCGCACGTTAACGGTTAGCACGGAGATCATTCTCCAAGCATTGCGCTCGGGATGGGCGTAGAACCTTTTGGCCGCGGTGAATGGCGTTTCAAAGTCGGTGATGTAGGACCACCCTCCTCCTCGTAGGGGTATTCAACATAATCACCCTCATCGACCTCATCAGGCATTGGTCCGTGACCGCTGTGATCAAAAGTCAGCCTCTTGGGACCCTTGTTGAGTTTTTCACGCACAGCGGAGCGGTCGCGGCGTCGAACCCAGCCTTTCCCTTGGTTTTTGCTCTGTTCTTTGATGTTCATGTTGCGAACGTTCGGGTTGCCGGTCACAATGTCCATGAAAGGTCCACCCGTTTGGTTCTCCCACCAGTGGAAGACTTTCATTTTGATTGCGCGACGAGCGAGGCGGGAGACTTCGGGATCCTCGTGCGAGAAGTTCAGGTTGATGGCTCGTCGGGCCAGTTTTGCGACTTCGGCGTCCTCATTCGAGAAGTCGAGATCCAGGTCGTCAATGTTGGGGATGGGATCGTGGTTGCCGCGGTTAGAGCCCATTCCGCCTTGTCTTCCGCGGTAGTAAGTGTGGTCAACACGGTGACCGTTCCTATGTTCGCCTTGCCATTTGCGAGAGCATCTGCCCTGCCCGTGACTCTGACCCTGACCCTGACCCTGACCCTGACCTTGATGGCATGGCGTCCAGCGTTTCTCGACGTAGTATTCGTCGTCGGGGACAAGTATTAGGGTAGTGTCATGAGGTGGTGTTTGAACGGTGGACAAGGCCCCGTCGGTGGTTTGAGGAGAAGGGAGAGCACCAGCCGTGGCCATGGTGAAAGCCAGGATAGCAGCGGCGGTCGATGCTGTTAATCTCATGGCTGATCGCGTAGATATTAGATTTTGGGTATTTGCGTATCTCTGTGAGTGGGTTTTTCTGTTTTGGGTTTGGGGGGGGAGGGTAATAGATATGTAGATGATCAAGTTAGGGTGTGGGATATCAGTACCTTATTTATATCAGCCAGGTACGTCCAGGTATATTCTTTGAGCAGTACAGCATAAAGAAAAGCAAACGGTAGACATCACCGAAGTGCAGAAATATCATAGGAACATCTTGTCATAATGACGATGAGAAGAAAGGAAAATCCAAAGAAACTCCTGCAATGAGAGCTCAATAACAAATACCAAGATCATGAACATCAAGAGGCAAGAGGGAATAATGAAAAATGAACTAGAGCTAGACTCGATTCCGGCCTGAATAGTAATCGAGGACAACAGACCGGGCTCGAACTTGATCTCAATAGGGGGTATCTGAGGATATGAGGCCGGATGTATATCTCAATAAAAATGCCGGCTTGCCACATCCGTTCACAGTATCGTGTTCTCGTCGCACGGACCAAAAAAAGGGAGGTGATTTGCAGCAGAATAAATAATGAATGACATTTCAAATATCCGCTACAGAAGTGCTGTCAGTATCAATCGCTGAATTGCCGAGAGGTAACATCATGAGAAATCTGGGTATTGAATAGAATCCGAACGGGAAAAAAAACCTTCGCACAAACTATTCTTGGGGAGTAGCGGTAGCAGTTCCATTCACTTGTTCCACCACTTCATTGGGTTCTGAAGGAATCGGTTCCTTTTCTGCCTCTGCTTTCATTGCATCCTCCTTGACGGCTTCATGCGGTGAAGAGGTTGATTCTTCTGGCAGGATACTCTGTTCTTCACCGTTTTCCGTATTTTCGCCTCCAGTCTCTGCGGATGCCTCCAGGTGCATTTTCGGCGGGGCTTTCTGCTTCACAATGTGCTTGATCTGATTTGCAGATGCGGGCCTCGGCTTCGGCGGGCTGTTGATTTGAAGCTTGTCATGAACTTTTTGGGCACTGCTCGCTGTCGGTCGCATCATTCTCGCTAGAAATCCCTCATCTGGTTTGCTTGCACTGACTCGAGATTTGGGTCTGTCATGGCCATTGGTCAGGGAAGCACGTGACGACTTCTTCGCTAGTGTGGAAGTTGTAGATGAAGTACTGACCCGAGGTTGTCGTATCGATATGGCGGATGGCTTTTTGGTCACTGACTTCCGAAATTCAGATTCCGTGGGTGAAGGGTGCATGTCGCTTTTGGCAACTGATGACGCCGTCGTTGCAGTAGCTGCAGCGGGAAGTTTTCCAGGCTTCGTGGGTGACTTGGGTTTGACCGCTTTGGGCGACCTGACAACGTGGGGAGATGTGGGAGTCTTCTCCTTCTTGACAGCTTCCGGGGCGGGCTTCGTCTTGGATTGAGTGTCTAGCTTTGGCGCAGAGGATTGAGCCTTTTCTGCCTGTACCTGTACCGTCTTTGCCGCATTCTGCTTTGTTACTTCTCTCGAGTGTTGCGCCTCCTTGGCGGATTCCATAACGCCTTTTATTTTTGCAGCTCCTCCTTTCAAATGTGCAGCTGGCGACGTTGGGGTCTTGGAAGAAGGCTTCGAGACCACAGGGGATTTCGGGGCCGGCTTGGCGACAGTCTGTCTTGTAGGTGGTGCCTTGACTGGCTGCGCAGTTTTCGTGGTCTGAAGGGTCGTACTCGGTGGAGGGTCTTGTTTTTCCCCGTCTCCTCGCATTTTTTCCACCATTGAAGCGGCCTTGGTCTCATCCTTGGATTTGGACGGTGATCTCGCAATCTTTTCTTGTGCTTGTCCAGAAGAAAGTGCGTCACCCAATTTCCTGGCCTCCGAGGGGGGCTTCGAGGGCGTATTTTCAACAAAAGCCGATCCTTTCAAAATATTTCCCAATCCGCCTTCTATGCTATTCTCCACAGACGGCTTCTTCTCGGGGACTGCGATCGGATTTTCGTCCTTTCGCGTTTCGGTGTTCGAAGGCATCTTTTCAATATTTCCAGTGTCCACAGTTGTGCTCTCTTTGATTTCTCCTAAACTGCTCACTTCACTAGTCCTCCTAAGACCTAGGATCGGGGGGCCTCCATTTTCTCCGGGTCTTTCCACTGCAACAAAGCTTGTTCGAACTTTGCTCACGGGTCTGCTGCTGCTGGAAAGTTCTGAGGGATTTGGAGATCGGCCTCGACTTGGGGGAGATGTAGATTGATCGCTGACTTTATTCTCAAACATGGCCCGAAGGTTCCTCACTCCGCCGCTTCCAGAGTTGGCAGACATGACTGTAGATGCAGCGACGATTTAGCGATTGAGTTTGAGCTTGAGCAATGGAATTGCGATGGACAGAAAAAGAAGGAGGATTCAGTTATGGCAAGAAGACAACACAACTGGGAACCAAATTGGGGGCGGTTGAAGAAAACGAATGACGGTGAAGATGTGAATGGTGGATCCGGGGTCGAACAGGGGGGACTAATGGGTCATCCGAGACGCGTTTTGCGTCGGCATTGCTTTTGCTGATGGGATGGATGGGCTTACGAGGAGCAGCGGTTTGATGGGGACCAACTTTACACACGAGCTTTGCTCGGTGTCCAATGGATGCTGCCAACACTGAAGACTGCTCACGATAGGTGGTAATTGGAAGGTTGATGCAACACATAGAGTTTATGGACTGCAGATCGCAATACGATGCATCAGGGGCAAACACCCGTCAATTACCAACAGCTTCTCGGAATTTTTGATATGTCAGCTTGCGGTATCGATAAGGCGGATTGCATCCCCCCAAATCCAAATGGGATAATGAGACCTGTCGATTGACAATCAATCTGTCCATCCACGTCATGAGATAACGCATGTGTATCATTATATGGACAGGACGGAAATCATCAGCTCTCCATTTATTATATGGTAGCTAAGCCCCTGTCTCCCCAACGTGCTCCCCAGGTATTTCGGCCGTCACCCGCCTGATGTCTTCGAAATCCGAACTCGATCCTCTACTGCCACGCAACCCGCCCGCTCCCGAGATCCAGGGCCATGGGTACTCCGTATATAGGCAGCCGACCGATATAAGATCGTCGGAATCGGATTTATTTCCTCAGAAAAGCTGGAACGTTGAAGATGAAGACGAGGATACCCAGTCGATAATGACTTCCACCAGATCAGCCTTGAATACTATCGGCTTGATTTTTACAACTGTTGTCCTCATTGCCTTGGTGTTCGCCTTCCTAAGGCCTGATATAGCAGACCACCGTCCCATTCCAGTACCCAAAGCTCCTCCTCGAACTATAGCCGACAGAGTATCTGCGATTCTGGATGGAACACCATTGTTTGATGGGCATAATGATCTTGCCATCTTCATCCGGGGCGCATATAACAATAAAATACACACTGATGAATTCAAGGACAAATTTGAAAATGGAGGCATGGAATTGAATGTTGATCTTCCACGCCTGCGCACAGGTCAGGCTGGGGGTACCTTTTGGAGTGCATTTGTCATCTGTCCAGATGATGCGAGCGATGACTTTTCAGATGAAACCTATTCCACATCCGTCGCACATACGCTTTCACAGATCGACTTGCTCCAGCGACTCCAAAGCGAATACCCAGATAATTTCACATCCGCAACCACTCCTCTCCACACGGCTTTGACCAATTTCCATTCAAAGAAATCCCTGATCTCACCCATCAGCATTGAGGGACTTCATCAAATTCCACAATCTGCCCCGATGTCCACGCTCCGCCTGTACTATGCTCTGGGCGTCCGTGCGGCGACACTGACTTGGAATTGTCACAATGCTTTTGCCGATGCTGCGTTGATCACTTCGCGAGGGGAGACAACAGTAGCTCCCTATCATCGCGGGGGCTTGACCGCGGCAGGAAGAGAGGTGGTTCGTGAGATGAACCGCCTTGGAATGCTGGTCGATATCTCTCATACCTCGTACTGGACTCAGAAAGCAGTCTTGAGCAACAAAACGTCTGCGGCCCCAGTTATATTCTCCCATTCGTCGGCTTTTGCACTCTGTCCTCATCCTCGAAATGTTCACGATGACATATTAGACTTGGTAAAAGAGACGGAAAGCTTGGTGATGATCAATTTTAGTCCGGCATTCATCTCTTGTCTTCCTCCACCTAATTCGAGTGTGCTCCCGGAATTTTATGAGAAGAACAATACCTTGCATCAAGTGGCTCGTCATATCATGTACGTCGGCGAGAAGATTGGATTCGACTATGTTGGCTTGGGTAGTGACTTTGATGGTATGGGTACTCTGACTCCGAGAGGTTTGGAAGGAGTGGATAAGTACCCTGATCTGATTGCCGAACTCTTGAAACTGGGAGTCAGTGATAAGGATGCTGAAAAAATCGCGGGTGGGAATTTGCTCAGAGTATGGAAGGCAGCAGAAGGAATCGCAAAAGGGTTGCAAAAAAAGACCTGGGAGGGCGAGGATGAAGTCAGCGGATGGTAGTAGCTGAGTAATGCTCTGGGTTGTCCACCGGATCACCGTTATGGTATATGCACGCCAAATTGCTTCCGCCTCGATTCCCAAGACTCGCACCCTGCTCAATTGAGTAAATAGCAATCACCGGGCGCACAATCAAAATCGAGATCAAATTGATTTCAACACCTTTCCCCCTCCCCCTCCAGAAAAGGCCAAAAAAATAAAAAATAGTGATTGACTCTTCGGCAAGGAATCGAACCTGTCTTTGGGTTAATCATCGATTTCCCAATCGGTTTTTCCATTGAAGCTCACCTTGATCACCGGCGAGTTGTATGACAAGCCGGTATCCTGACCCATTGGACGACCGAAGAGAAGGCGTTGTAATTGTTGAAAATGAGTGTGATTTTGCAATATATAAAGAATACCATTCATTTTGGTAATGGGCTGTGAGTCAGCATGAGGTGTGCATGTATCACATGCCAAGCGACATTTGGTCGGCAAGTCATCTCCTCATCTGAAAACCCGCGATGATGACTGGGTATGAATTGGTCAATACAATCCTACTGATGAAGATATGAACCCCTTTCACCTGTTGTCTCTGATTTAGAAGAGTAGTTGGCTGAGTCTCAACAACTCGGGTTCTCAGCCTTGTGCACTATGAGCTGTCAGCATAGTGGACACCCCCATTTCAAGTTCCAGGTCAAATTCTTCACCATATTTGGAGACATTTGAGTTGGAGAAATAGGTTCCGCCCTGCGGCTGGTCACCAGACAGAGCACTCTGACCTCTGAATTTTCCGGGACTTCTGTCGAAAACCCAACGTGTGATCAGATTTTCCATCGGTTCGATTAGCAAAGGAATCCAAAAGTTGGTAGGGTTTTTGGGCCAGAAAACTTCTTATACGGCCCAGAAAATGAGGAGAAGCTAGCCAATGATGGGTCAGGCCTTTCATGCTCCAGTCATCTTTTGGCCAATCGTGGTCCGATACCTTTGCCTATATTTCGCAGATGGCAGCAACCATTTAGGGAAGATATGTCGGGGACTCTGAGAAGACCACTAGAGTCCAAGTCCGCTTTGAATATTTCATTGAAGGCTTCCAAAGAGTGTTGGCCTGGGCAGACGACTATACTGGGGCTCCATGTTGTGTCTGAACCGTTCTCAAACGGTTGATATGAATTTGAGGATATCCTTTAGCCTTGAATCATGTTAACTGAAAGTCGGATTAGGGCAAAGGTCGAGCACATGTCGGTCGAGCACCTGTAAATTCCGAGTATGAAGACCCGAACGTAGTCCATGATAGAGAAAAAAGGTACGTGCAGAAGAATAGAAAAAATATCTCCATCCTCCTTCAGCGATTGGTGCTCAGCACTGCAGGGAAGTTGCCCTTGCCAAGATCCTCCTCAAAATGTCGGCGAGCCGAGAGTGCGGCGAGGGGTAGTAGTAGCAGAATATTTTGACAGGCCCCAACGCTCCATTCTTTTCCTGAATAATTGTGCTGACGCACAGAATCGCCGTCGGTAGTTTTAGGATGTCGATCTGAGCGTCTCCACTGTGTTGTTGTGGCCTGCAAACAAGTGGGGTGTCATTTTATTTTTGAGATATATATTCTTTGAGTAACTGGAATTTCCATAACAATCACACCGGCTAAGCTCCTGGGAGTACCCAGAAGAAGCATCTTCCTTAGTGTAGTGGTGATCATTTCCGCTTGTCAATGACCTTCTCAGTCAACAAGCGCGGGAGACCGTAAGCAATTTCTACTTCTCACCTCATAACGAGACTAACTGGTTTAGGGGGTTCGATTCCCCGAGGGAGAGATACTTTCTCACTTGGTTTTCTTTTTTGTTTGGTTCTTTTGTGTGGTCCGTTTTCAAAGGGCACGCATGCCAAGACGATGAATCAAAGCCGAGTTTGTCAATCACGTGACATCTGCTTGGCATTCTCACGTGGGGTCGACTTGTCGCCCTGGACTACGCACTTCAACCCAGTGGCGCTCAACCAATCCGCATCCTTTCTGCTCCTCCACGACCCCTATCCTCTGCAGCTCTTACTACAACGAATCCTGCCTACTCTCTCTACACCTCTCGATTTCTCCTCACCGCAACCAATCATGGGGAGGTTCTACGGAGGAAAGGACAAGTTCAATACGATTTTGAAGGGCTAGTCAAATTACGAGCAATGGGTCCTTGCTTGCAAGGAGGAGCTCCAGTCCGAGGGAGTCATTGATGGCTTGACCCAGGAAGCTCCCATCGATCCTGATTCGATCTCTGACAACGACGAACTTGATTCACATGTCAAAGCCTGGCTTTTGGACTACGAGGAAGAGCCTCAAGGTGGGTTCTCAGGTCAGAGGATTGTTGCAAACCGCAACAAGTGGAAGGCTGCTGCCAGAATCAAATACAAGGAATGGGCGCGGTTGAACAACAAAGCACTTGTTATCATCTACCACTTGTGTGATAAGGTTCCTCAGATGATTATTGCTGAGGAGGTGACTGCAAAGAGTGCTTGGGCACGTCTTTCAGAGGCCTACAAATCTCAGGGCTTCCCTGCTGTCTACAAGCAAGTCTCATTGACTCACACTGTCACGTATCGAGACTGCAATACTCTGAAGGAATATGTCAACAAGATTAAACTTAATCGTGCCAATCTCGATGCTCTCGGGCATAGATGGAATGACGATGTCTGGTCTGCGGTTCTCATCAAGGGCCTCGGCGACTCTTTTGAAATCCTCACATCTTCTTTGCTATCCGCTGACAAAGGGACTAGATCCTTCGACGATGTCATTCAGTTGATCCTTGACGAGGAGTTACAAAAGAAGAATATAACTACTACTGGCTCTATTTTCAAATCCCACGGGGGGAAAGGCAACAATAACGGCAATGGAAACAACTATTCCTCTAAGTCTGTCGACCCTTCTAAAGACAAGTCCAACAAGAAGTGGGCTTGCAGGACTCATGAAACCAATAGCCATACCTGGAAAGACTGTCGCCAGAATCCCAAAAATCAAAATAAGTTCAAAGACTGCCAGCGATAAATCGTCAAGCGACAACAAGAAGGATAAGGGGAAAGGCACAAGTGAGAGCAGCAGAACGAATTCCTCTGCAATTGCGGCTCACTTGAATGAAATCACAGTCGAAATGATCGAGTAACTCAAGCCTCTTGTTGCTACTCCTGCAGAATTTTTTTTTTTTTT